TGTTTGTAGAATTTGACCTTGAGTAACCTCTTTTCCTCTAGGACATATATACAATATTTAATGTCACATACACTAATTTCATTTCGTCACAGGTGGGTGAGTATATCAACCATCACAATCAACATTTAATTTATCTTCAAAAGTTCTCATTCATTTGTCACTAATTAAACGTAGACTTTGATTTACAACATATTTTATGCGACCAAGCACCTGAATTGGCAAAGACATATCAGTAGTTTTAGTTGAATGGTACCTTAGTATATATGAGTTTATCCCTATTAAAACAGGTTGTGTAATTACTTAAAGCAAGAAAGTGTTTGCAGTGATCCACATACTATACATATGTGATGAATCAGACTGAGTTAAACGATTTGCTATGTTGCTGCTTGACTTTATGATAAGGAGATCATGCTACATTCAGCCAACATACAAGTAATTCTCTAATGAAGTTTTAAATACCTTAACAGCAACATTGGTAAGACCTGATAAAGATATGGGCAGTGTCAGGTACCTTCTATATCTGCTGCTATTTAACATACAAACTTCTGTTAACCACATAAACAGGTATATTACTATTATGGAGAGACAACATGCAAGTACAAGCTGCTGCATGGCTAAAACTAATGTTAGATTTCTTTGAAAACACCGTAAAAAATATATACATACGCGATGCAGAAATAGTAGTATCGCATAGCATATTTTGACACATATTCCTTTCATTTTGCAAGCATACATATCTCAGCTAATTATCTAATCACCATACTAGCTGAATGGTCTTTTTTCTGCTCCACAGAATACTGTAAATGGTACAGCTTACTTTCCATTATAGATTTTACAAACATATTTCTTAACAAAGTATAATAAATTTAACATGATAAAGTTAGCAATGTGCTGCTACTTCTTATTTTAAAAAAATTGACGTAACGTATTGGAGAGTGTGGTATGGACCGTGTTCTAATGTTACATACATGTGGGCTTCCTTAAATACATGTATAGGTGCTTCATATATCATTATATTCAAAGTGCGCTGTAATTAACGAGTTAATTAATGTGATTACGCATATGTTAAAACTACACAAAATATAATACATTATTCTTATTTTTATACAAAGCAATTATTGTACCTAATATGATAGACATATGTAACTTTCAATCTGAATAACTAGTGATCACTTGTGATAAACAGTTCACCATATGAGTGGAACATTCATAAACTCCAGTAACATTTTTGATAAATATTTGCTGCCATGATAAATCTGTTCGCCTCCTGTTAATTATATAAATGTAGTATGTAATTAAGGATATTGTTACACTGTATTGAAAATTTTAAGATGAATTGTGATATTGACTATTAAAAATGATTGAATTCACACATATCACCTGAAGCATATTTTTCTTAAAAATCTAGATAAATTTTTGTTAAAGACTTTTTTAGAGACAACTGAAACATGAATTAATATATGCCTCTTTGTCGCACTGACCAAATCTTACAACAAATACATTTACTTCAAAACATAATATGATAGAAAGGTGAATTTTTAACGAATTACTGTTAGCTGACAAGTTACCTTACCATGATTCTAGCGTTATATTGCCAGCATGTTTTCTAGAAATTTTTTTTAGTTCTCCGTGAAATGTAAAAGTGAAATTTACAAAAATCTTTTCCATTGTGAAAAGTATTTCAGCTTTAGAAAATTAGTTCAATATCTAGTGTGTAACATTAATGGAATGTACATTTGATATATCCATCACAAGGTTTGTATCTTAAAGCATAAAACAATAAAAATAATGACAATGATATGTAATATATCGGTATCAAGGTAACCTCTATCACAGACAAGTGTGTAAATACATCAATTAATATCAGTTAATAAAATGTTTTAAAAAGTAACCATATGAGACATTGTGACTTTGAAAATTAGTGGTTGTGCATTAGCACTGACTAGAACCACTGATAAAGAATTATATTGTACTCACACGACCTCCACCATCCAGAAAAGAAATCTCATTTTCATGAGAAATTTTTAATCCTTTTGTTATTTCTTTTGCCTGTAGTGAAATTTATGATAAATAAACAGCCATACCATAAAGTTTGATCTTGCATACCTATGATCAATATTACTGTTAGAAATCATTCAATATAATTGTACTTTTTTTCTTTCCCTTTCAATATCAATAATATGAAAATCATAGTTTTGACAATTTTGATACTCATACAGACATTCAAAATTATAAAACTGTCCAAAAATCTTTTCATTATATATTACCACATGATAGAATAGACAAGGTTACTACACATAGGTTTCCATTTTGAAGAGTCATGTAGACAATTCCAATCACAGCTGCAGTAAGATATTGAATTTTTAAAGTTCAATATGATAACTTGTAAAAGGGTTTGGACGGATTCCTTGCCAAAAGAACAAGAAAAAATAATAAAACAAAATTCTATAGAAAATTTCCCCTTGAAAGGGACAAATTTTGTATAGAATGGATAAAATAAATGCCATTCTTAATTTTTATCTATTCTTATTTTTCATGAGCTTTAACATCAGAAAAGTAAATATATGAAATGTAGAAATTAGGTAATCAAATCACCATACCTATATAGTTATAAATCTGTAAGACCATGTTGACATCTGTCACATGAGAAAACATTTTCTTGTATGTCTTTGTATCTAGTCTGAAAATTGTTAATTTCTAAGAAAGATAATCTTACTGATAAACTTATTACTCAATTTTCAAGATTACAACAAAACACAATATCTATTTTAGCTTTTACAGATTTAAAACTTTTTTACCGATGTAAACAAATTATTTTAAAATCTATGCTGTCTTTTTGTAAAACAGAGTTATCTGCTCTTGTAAGCAGGTACTGATTTTTACCTCATTTGTTTGAGATTCAAACATTTGTGTAATCTCTACCCAGAGTTGACATTTCTTACACAATGACAACTGTTGGTAGTGAATTAAATGTGTGGGAAAACTACGTAATTTTCCCACACAAACTAGTGACATAACAACCAATACCAGAGCTGGTAACTCTGCATTACAAAAAGAATATTTGTATCAACTTTGGCGGTACATACAGATTTTTAGTCTATCTACTCTTGGCACAGTAAACTGTGCTATCTCTCCCAAGCATGTTTTACATTGTAGGTATACATACTTTATAATTATTCCCTGTAAGTTAAATAATGGCTGACACATGACCGACGTGACTGAAATCATATAGACAATCAAATAGATCCAATTATTAAACATGTAACTAAATATCTAGTTTTAGTATAAAATCCAAACTCTACATGATCAATGCAATTGTGGGTTTTGCGTATTTTTGCTAATCAATAGCACGTTTTTGTGTTATATTTGTCTACCGGTCAGCTACATATACAAGGACAAAACCTAAAAAATAAAATAAAGAAAAATAAAAAAAAAAGATGATAAATATGAGCGTGAGTGAAATCACAGTCTGAACATTACTATAAACAAAAATGAAAAGCAAAACACGAACTTTGAAGAAAAAGTTAAAATATGTCATATGAGACATGTACATTTGAGGTACAATATCGCACTAAAGATATCACATTTGGATTCATTCATTTCAGCATTCTCCTTTACAAATCTTTAAGATTCAATGGGCATGGTTTCAGAACCCTTAATCGGTTTAATAATTTATTACACACACCTATAAACTTGATGAAACTAATGCCTTCTAAAAACTTCTTTCCTGTACTTTATCTAAGCTAGCAAAATTGATGACAAATTTATTTCTGAAAACATATCATTCCTAAAAATATCCCCACAGATCACAGTCTGAGTTAAAAGCAAGGCTTTAAAAGACATACAAATACATACATTTCAATCCAACTGCCTTAATTGAGCTAAGATGTTCCATTAATACGATACCCGAGATGGTATCCTTAATACAAGGATACCCGGGATGGTATCCTTAATACAAGGATACCCAAGATGGTATCCTTAATTCAATGATACCCAAGATGGTATCCTTAATACAACGATACCCACGATGGTATCCTTAATTCATCGATACCCGATATAATACAGGATACCCGAGATGGTATCCTTAATACAAGGATACCTGAGATGGTATCCTTAATACAACCAAGATGTTATCAGGATACCTGAGATGGTATCCTTTACTCAGATTGTACAGCATGCCCATCGTCTTCGAGACAAGTAGGCAATGGCTGACAATAGGGCATTACAATAAAGACTGGTATGAGTAAGTTACATCAAGAAAGTTTCAGTGAAGAGCATTAAAACCAGAAATAATAAATTTGATTTTTTTAACACATGTTAAAACATGATGTTAGAACATCAGCATGTGGAATACACAATATTGTCTTTAAAAATATGCTTGTCCATTAAATTTCAAATAATTATTTGACATACAGTAAATCAAACCCCTCACAGTCACAACATGTGATGACTATGTAGCTTGTCTGCTTCTCTTAATGATTGTACTGACAGAAAGGACCAAAAAGAGAGAGAGCAAGATGTTATTTTGGAAAACAGATAATTTGAAGTCTACAAAATTGCAGAAAAAATTAGTTAATTCTTCCCATTTGATGTACATTAAGGTTAGGGTTATACAATGTATAAGATTTACTCATTTTTTCCAGGTTTCTTGAGAAAGAAAGACAGATATCTATACAGCACATCATCTTGGAAACTCAATTATTCACAGAACGGAATCTTGCACTTTGTTTCGCATCATTCCATTTCTAAATGTCTTTTTCTTGGACTTTTCTGATTCCCCACTCAAGGTAATCTTTCTAATTTTCTTTTAAGACCCAGGTGTATACTGTTTTGGGAACACTGGGGATAATTCTAGAAAAGGTATATTTCACATCTACTCCAGGTGGTGAAATAAGTGGGTTCTTCATCAGCAGAAAGTGTATTATGTGTAAAAGGAGATTCATATTCAATCATATCAAATAAGTTAATATTAATAGAATTCTAACTAATTTTCTAGGTTTTCATCGTCGAGTTGATAAGTCATCTTCATAATCATCGTCGTCATCATCATCGTCGTCATCATCGTCACCATACATAGTTGACTGCAATATAACACCACATATTATGTCAAAATATTGAGAAGAATGTAGTTATTTTCAAGCTGTTTTACTTTGTACAAATGATCAAAAGAGCCTGTACCATTCACCAAATCTGCATTATTCAAACAGCAGGACAATTCAAGGTTTTTTCTCTACCCTAATGGGTCCTGCCCCTCTATCCCACAGTGGGTCTAAACCTTTCTTTACATTTAACTGAATACCATACACCTATAATGACACTTCAGAATAAAATTGGGTGAATATCCGTTCATCCTTACAGAAGAGTTTTTAATTTTCACCTCTATTCACCCTGTTACCCAAACGTCTGTCAATTGTGGATTAGAACCTTTGTTTATGAAAAACAAATCCTGTAAACCCAATAATGCTTCAGACCAAATTTGGTTGAAAACTTTGCCTATTATTAAGAATTATTTTTAAAATTCCTTTTTCCTATTGGGCTCAAAGCTTTGTTCCCAAGGAGTCAAACATTTGGATTATACAAAAATTGACATGTCAAGTCTACATCACTCTCCTGGTTGGATTTGGTGAAAATTACAGTACTTAACTCAAGCAAAAGAAGGATTTTAAATGTTTTTGATGGGGTCAGACCCCTGGTTTACACTAAATTGAATAACGTTTTATATTTGGTCGAATGTAAAACACGAATAATGAACAATCTGATTTTAATTATTCTAACCAAATTTGACTTTTTCAAACAGAAATTAAACATACGATGCTCAAAAATGATTTTTTTTTTTTACAAACTATAAATAAGTGATTTTCAATAATAGGCCTCAGAGGATTGAACCATATCACTACGAATACTCACCCCTCTGGTGTTGATGCGTACTCGTCGATTAGATCCAGACATTGACATTGAAGAGTCCCCATAAGTGTCCCCATATGTATCTGTTTCCATGGATCCACTAGCCATTGTGGTGGACATTCCAGACGAGGTGCCTGTTCCCATACTTTCAATAGTCTGGTTGTATTCCTCAGGATTTCTACCTTTAGAAAGCCGTAGCTTCCGTCGGAATTCCTGTTAACATTACATAAATCTGTACTGTTTTTTCTTTTTTTACACAAAAGTTTGTAACTTTGCAATCTGCCTATAGCAAATTTACAAAACCTAGAAACCTGTCTCAAACCATAACCTGTATAATTTGTGAACCTGCCTAAAAATAAATCTATTTAATATAGAAAGATATCTTAACATTACTCTTTATTATTATTCACATACTTATTTAAAATAAATCTTCTATGTGTACAGCAAATTTTTTGTAAAAATAAGATATAAACTGATCATACACTTGATATACATGTATGCAGATTAGACTAGATTTGGCATAAACTTCCTTTATAAGTATGCAAATTAGATATAAATTTGCCAGAAACTTAATATACCGGTACATGTATACAAATTAAATATAAATTTGTCATTAACTTAATATACATGTATATAGTTTAGATATAAATTCGTTATAAACTTAATATACACGTATTCAAATTAGATATAAATTTGTCATTATAAACTTATGTATACAATCAAAAGTACAAAGTGTATATAAATCTGACATAAAAAATGTATAAAGATAAGTTATAAATTTGCCGTGATAAACTGTGCCTAGTGCCTTACATCTAAATCTCTTTCCTCGTCCACCAATGCCAGACTCTCAAAACACTTGGAGTAGAATTCTAACGCTCTGGCATGAAACATCATCTCCACATTCACAAAGTCAATCATTATGTTCTGTAAAGATGGAGACAGATTATAGTTTAATACAAACCATACAGTTAAATGTAATGGGAATGAATTTATCATCAACATCCTCCTAACATCATATGTACCAGCTAAAAAAACTGGAAATAAACTTTTATACTACTTCTGTTTTGTGAAATTAGAAACAACTTGAGAGTCCGCCTGTGCGCAATCTTTATCTAGAACAATGCATTAAGGTTGCCCAGTTTTGTCAGTAAACATGAAGTTATGAGGAGATAAATTACATATAAATGTACATGCAGCAATGGTGCCCCATACAAAACAGACCATATGAATAATTCAGTAAAATTAAATAAAAATTGGAGATATAAAGTGACTGATTATGGTAGCCTATAATTATATAACAGGTTACTTACTCACAAATCACTTTGATATACCAATCCGAATGGAGGGGACATCATGTTACTTAGATATACCAATCAGGATGGAGGGGACATCACATTACTTTGACATACCAATCAGGATGGAGGGGACATCATGTTACTTAGATATACCAATCCGAATGGAGGGGACATCATGTTACTTAGATATACCAATCCGAATGGAGGGGACATCATGTTACTTAGATATACCAATCCGAATGGAGGGGACATCATGTTACTTAGATATACCAATCCGAATGGAGGGGACATCATGTTACTTAGATATACCAATCCGAATGGAGGGGACATCATGTTACTTAGATATACCAAACAGGATGGAGGGGACATCACATTACTTTAATATACCAAACAGGATGGAGGGGACATCATATTACTTTGATATACCAATCAGGATGGAGGGGACATCATGTTACTTTGATATACCAAACAGGATGGAGGGGACATCACATTACTTTGATATAGCAAACAGGATGGAGGGGACGTCATATTACTTTGATATACCAAACAGGATGGAGGGGACATCACATTACTTTGATATACCAAACAGGATGGAGGGGACATCACATTACTTTGATATACCAATCAGGATGGAGGGGACATCATATTACTTTGATACAGCAAACAGGATGGAGGGGACATCACATTACTTTGATATACCAATCAGAATGGAGGGGACATCATACTACTTTGATATAGCAAACAGGATGGAGGGGATGTCATATTACTTAGATATACCAATCAGAATGGAGGGGACATCATGTTACTTTGATACACCAATCTGAATGGAGGGGACACCATATTACTTTGATATACCAATCAGGATGGAGGGGACATCATACTACTTTGATATACCAATCAGGATGGAGGGGACACCATATTACTTTGATATACCAATCAGGATGAAGGGGACATCATGTTACTTTGATATACCAATCAGGATGGAGGGGACATCATATTACTTTGATATACCAATCAGGATGGAGGGAACATCATATTACTTTGATATACCAATCAGGATGGAGAGGACATCATGTTACTTTGACATACCAATCAGGATGGAGGGGACATCATGTTACTTTGATATACCAATCAGGATGGAGGGAACATCATGTTACTTTGATATACCAATCAGGATGGAGGGGACATCATGTTACTTTGATATACTAAACAGGATGGAGGGGACATCATGTTACTTTGATATACTAAACAGGATGGAGGGGACATCATGTTACTTTGACATACCAACCAGAAGGAAGGGAACAACATATTTACCTTCAGGTCATGAAGACGATTTTTCTCAAATAAATCCAGCTGAGATTCAAGTGCTCTGCTTCCTATAGAAGCATCGGCAGATGCCTTCTGTACTTCTGTCTCTGCCTACAGACAATAAAAAATTTATACTTCAAATAGTCATCTAATTCAGTAATTATGGGGTGAATATTTGACAGTTTCTCAGCGGCCTGTTTTATTTTATCTAGTCACTACAGACATCACGTTAGAATTTAATTCCTATTGTTTGTATTTTCCCAGACAATCTGTGATTCCTACCAGATCTGATTGTATTTTCAAGACTGTCTCTGTGATTCCTACCAGATCTGATTGTATTTTCAAGACTGTCTCTGTGATTCCTACCAGATCTGATTGGATTTTCAAGACTGTCTCTGTGATTCCTACCAGATCTGATTGTATTTTCAAGACTGTCTCTGGTCTCTGTGATTCCTACCAGATCTGATCGTATTTTCAAGACTGTCTCTGTGATTCCTACCAGATCTGATTGTATTTTCAAGACTGTCTCTGTGATTCCTACCAGATCTGTTCTTTTCTACATAAACTCTGTGATTTCTTTTCTAGATAACCTCTGTGATTTCTCTAGATTGGTTTGTATTTTTCTAGATTATCTCAGTATTCAGTCAAAAGTACCAGGTACTTTCAGTATCCATGCATTGAATATTTACGGTAATTCATTGATATACTTTGTACATTTCTAGACTATGTGATGTCCTACAGATCTACTGAATTAAGAATCTCAGCATAACTGTTATGTTATCTCATGAGAGCACTTTATTATAAAGTGTTGTGTGGTGTCTCAGGAGAACTGTTATGTTATCTCATCAGGACACTTTATTATAAAGTGTTGTGTGGTGTCTCAGGAGAACTGTTATGTTATCTCATCAGGACACTTTATTATAAAGTGTTGTGTGGTGTCTCAGGAGAACTGTTCATATTATCTCATCAGGGCACTTTATTATAAAGTGTTGTGTATGGACGACTATACTTCTCTGATCAGTCAGGTCTGATTGTTGTCATGATGGAGATGGTATTGAAGTTTGTGAAATTGATCGTCCCTTAATCACTTACCCGACTCTGAAAAAAGGTGTTAAGGAAATCAATAACTAACTTGTTTCAACCTCTGACCTCTGGCTTAACAGAGCTCTTGGATCAACCTTAGGTATCATCTATCTGACCTCCCACAGAATTCAAATACCCCGTAATAGTACAGTTACAACATAGGAAGCAAGTTAACAGTAACAATATGGGAAGCAAATATTAATTTTACAAGACTGTATAGCCCAAACAATACCTTAAACATCAGGGAATACTCTACACATTCCAAAGTATTTACATCACCATCAATAAAAAGATCTTTTAAGCGATTTTGTCACTTAAACTGCAATGAATCTTTCAAGATAAAAAAATGGCAACTTTTTGTAACTAGAGGCCAATTTGATACTTCATTTTTATTTTCAAATCAATTTTACATAAATTCAAAATATTTAACGTATAAATTTTTAGTACCTTTAGTTAGATCTTACCAAATACATCAAAAATCTATATAAGGTCCAATAGGGTTCCCTACAAGTATTGTAAAATCCAGAGTGACTTTTAATAGACTCTATCAAAAGGATACTATTTGATGAGCATCGGCAGGATTTTTCGTTCGCACTTTTTGGAGCTGTTGTACCATCTTCTGTTCTTTTTTGATTGCTGTAAGTTCTGTTTTTACCCCAGACTGAAAATTAGTAATGTAATATTATTTCAGTCCCCAAGATGAAAATCATCTCAAAACGAACAATTTCCACATAAAAAAAGGATCCTAATCAATAAGAACATCTTTGTATCAACAAAAGCAGTAGAATTGTTCATAATATACTGGATAGGAAATTCTCAATGGCGTCATCATTATGGATGATGTTTTTCTTGATAATGCAACAAAATAAAAGAAATATTTCAGCAATTGAGCTCTACAAATTTTACTGTCATCACTTGCCACTTGTTAAAGTGTCTACGCGCGTAATAGGTTTCATGTCTACTTTTGTGACCTTTCAGCAGGCAAAACTGTACCACTAAACACTGCAGCACATATACTTTCAATATTTTCTCTAATGTATTTCATGGTAAGGCAAACCTTGAGAACTGTCTGCCAATCTTTCCCGTAAAATTGTTAACTTTTGAATTTTGAGAAAAATGAATGACTATTTGAATTATCCATGAAAACATATATTACAAAAATTTTGAAATCTTCAATTTTTGTTTTTAGTGAAAATAAATCAAACACAATTCATGCTCCTAAACTGGATGTAGCTAGGTAATACATTACTTATGTTTATACTTCCACTTGGGTTTTATTTATATACTCACCTTGACTTGTTTACATATATTTCCATAATCACTAAGTGGACGTAACACTTTAGATTCTACTCTCTGAATCTGTCAAAACAAGATTTGTTTTTACTTTATTTGCCATCAAACAATTGAAAACTATTTTCCGCATTTCGATAAAAGCATATAATTTGAAATGATGTGTTGTTCTCCATATCATTGTAAATGATTATTTGGTCTTTGATATATAAAACATTCATGTTTTTATCTTAATCTAAATCAGGTAAAGCTTACTGCAATAATAAATAAATGCAAAATTCTTAATGTAAACGTTGAGGAGAAATTACTGATGTAATGCTGTTCTGACTCTGTTGAAATGGAAACATAATTTTCCATGGAGATCATGTGCACATCTATTTTTTAACAAAAACAAATCATTAATCTTTTTTAATCTACAGAAAAGAAATCTCTTTCAGCTGATTTTTATTAACTTACTGCTGCCTGTCTGTAATCCTGTATAGCAGACAAATTTTCAGAAAAGTGTAACAGGCCGTTCTTCAAGGAGTGACTGGTGTCCTCAGTCTTTGCGTAGTCAATCAACTGTTTAGCCAGAATATCACCTGTATAAAGAAGAAGAAGCTGATCACATTCCACAAAATGTTTGACCAGGATAATTCACAAGCTTGTATCAAATTCTACAGAACGTTTGACCAGGATAATTCACAAGCTTGTATCACAGTGCTTATATCACATTCCACAAAACGTTTGACCAGGATAATTCACAAGCTTGTATCACAGTGCTAATATCACATTCTACAGAATGTTTGATCAGGATAATTCACAAACTTGTATCACAGTGCTTATATCACATTCCACAAAACGTTTGACCAGGATAATTCACAAACTTGTATCACATTCTACAGAACCTTTGACCAGGATAATTCACAAACTTGTATCACAGTGCTAATATCACATTCTACAGAACGTTTGGCCAGGATAATTCACAAGCTTGTATCACAGTGCTTATATCACATTCTACAGAACGTTTGGCCAGGATAATTCACAAGCTTGTATCCCTGTGCTAATATCACTTTCTACAGAATGTTTGACCAGGATAATTCACAAACTTGTATCACAGTGCTTATATCACATTCCACAAAACGTTTGACCAGGATAATTCACAAACTTGTATCACAGTGCTTATATCACATTCTACAGAATGTTTGATCAGGATAATTTACATGCTTGTAACACAGTGCTAATATCACATTCTACAGAATGTTTGGTCAGGATAATTCACAAGCTTGTAACACAGTGCTAATATCACATTCTACAGAATGTTTGACCAGGATAATTCACAAGCTTATATCACATTCCACAAAACGTTTGACCAGGATAATTCACAAGCTTGTATCCGAGTGCTAATATCACATTCTACAGAATGTTTGACCACGATAATTCACAAGCTTGTATCCGAGTGCTTATATTACATTCTACAGAACGTTTGATCAGGATAATTCACAAGCTTGTATCCGAGTGCTTATATCACATTCTACAGAATGTTTGACCACGATAATTCACAAGCTTGTATCCGAGTGCTTATATCACATTCTACAGAACGTTTGACCAGGATAATTCACAAGCTTGTATCACATTCTACAGAACGTTTGACTTATAATTCACAAGCTTGTATCATTTATATCACAAAACGTTTGACCAGGATAATTCACAAGCTTGTATCACAGTGCTAATATCACATTCTACAGAATGTTTGACCAGGATAATTCACAAGCTTGTATCCAAGTGCTAATATCACATTCTACAGAATGTTTGACCACGATAATTCACAAGCTTGTATCCGAGTGCTTATATCACATTCTACAGAACGTTTGACCAGGATAATTCACAAGCTTGTATCCGAGTGCTTATATCACATTCTACAGAACGTTTGACCAGGATAATTCACAAGCTTGTATCCGAGTGCTTATATCACATTCTACAGAACATTTGACCAGGATAATTCACAGGCTTGTATCCAAGTGCTAATATCGCATTCTACAGAACGTTTGGCCAGGATAATTCACAAGCTTGTATCCCAGTGCTTATATCATATTTAACAGAATGTTTGACAAGGACAATTCACAAGTTTGTATCGCAGTGCTAATATCATATTAAACAGAATGTTTGACCAGGACAATTCACAAGTTTGTATCGCAGAGCTACATCTAAATGTATTTTTCGATCCCTGATTTCCATAATCAACAAAGGTTATAACACTTCTAACAAGTTTTGGAGAGATAAGTATATCATACCTTTATCACGCATTCTTGCTGCTTTTCTGTTCATAGAGCCAACTGTTTCACATAACAGACCCAAATGTTTTTCTGTCTGAGCAACTCGAGACTGACAAAACTTTGCTTGGTTCTCCCTAAAACACAAGACAAGATCATACAAAACCTTCATCAATCCTGGTTCTAGTTCTGAACTTAACAAAAGAAGAACAAAGATACGTACGCATAAAATATTTATGTACTGAGTTTAATTATCATAAATTAAAGCTTCCTTATCTGGAATAATAAGTTTGAAAAAGTAATTTCTTTTGAAAACAAAAATATGTTTATGAAATTGAAGTTACATTATTGAATCAAATATTTTGTGAGTTTAAGTACAAATGAATTGGTTGATAAATAATCTGTATAGCAGCACATCTGATCAGTGCATCACTGTACCCAGCTGAAACCAGCGTTTCAGAAGCAACCCAGAAATTTAACCATTATCAAAGTGTCTATATTCAGGATTTATCTGTGTGAAGATGATATCATTTGTAAAATAGCTACTTACTGGGCTATGGAATGACATATTCACTTCAACATTTAAGTACAATTTTTCTTTTTGTTATGCTATCTCTTTTGGTTCTGTTGTAGCTGGTTTGCATCAAGTATCTTTTAATCTTTCATTTTTTTTCAAAGCATCTCTGACACATGATCTTCATGTATACACTGATGATTGAATGACTATACTATTTTGTGGAACAGTCTGCCACAGTACCTAGTATATACCAGGTGCTTAAACATATAACTTCACAAACGTACATAATTGGTTGAATAGTCAACATGCTTATAAATAAGATGTATTAATATCTTCAGAAGTACTTTTACAGATACATTCCTTTAACAAAAAACATTGCAGGAGCATTTCAGAACATTTAAGCAAGGATAAGCAATTGCAAGCATGCATTTAATATACAGAAGTGCATTGTGGGTATATAAGAACAATAAACATGTACATGCAAATAAGATATATTGCAGAATTCCTTTAACTCTCCACATGGAGAAAATAAATAATTTGTCACAAAAATTCAATGCAAATAACTTCTTGTACAATTAAAATCAACAATATTGAGCATTCTGTAGCAACTCTTTACTTCATAAAAACTTGCACCTAAAACCAGTGAAAATAATTAATAATACAAAATTTTTAGTAAAAAAGACGATTGTTTGATGATGAGATAGGTTAGTAATGCCTCATTTTATATTTCCAGAATGATAATTATGCAACATGAAAGCTTTATAAGAATATGATTATAACCACTCCCACAACCAGAGTTTACTACTTGCTATATATACAGATCACAGTAAGCCGTAGAGACTTGGTGTCAAATAGATGTTAGAAAGATTAATGATAAAATTCTTACATACATGTATAAATAACACTGACCGATTCATTAAAACGCTTTTGAGACTATTTAACCTCAAAATGCTCCAAAAAAAATTCTCTGCTCATGTCTACAGTATTTCACTTACCATATCATACAAATAACATGCATCATTGATTGTTTATGACATGAGAGGAGTTAAATGATTAGAACTATTACATGAGTAGTACTAAGTATCACATAAGGTAAAATAGTTCAAAGTGATTTGTATTCAAGTTATCTCCCCTTACTATATATTAAACTTGTCCACATTAATCAAATGAAGTGCAATTTTTATGCAAATTACCATTCAGAATATCACATGTTTCTGGATGTTGCAAACACATTTAGAACTAAGATGCATGGTAAAGGTAGATATTTATACAACATATTATTTACAGATAAAATATGATAAATGATATTACACCTTGCTCTGGATTCATAAAATGGTCTAAGCTTTTCCTACTAAGCTTTATCAAATATTCATAATGGAAATTTGCGTATTCAGATTGAATCAAACACATTTGTAGTTACAATTTTCAAGTTTTCATATACATATACATTTCACATCAATATGTGCATGGCAAGTAGAAATTACAACTCATGAGACATGTAAATTTAACTCACAATTGCAGAAATTATGGTCAAATATATACCTTCAGCATTTCATGTTTTAGCATTAATTGTCTGATCCTCATAAATGGTTGTCTCTGATATGTGAATTTTACAAAACTTTCCTGTATATGTAATGTGTTGTATGGAACAGTTAATCACTGAAAAAATACATTTGTATATGATCTCCTTTACTTGATTACCAATTAATGACTCCAGGGCAAGGCTATCCTTAAACAATGTGTTTGTTATGACATGTAAACTAGGTCTATGATTAAGATGTACTGTTATCCATTTCATAAAAGAAGAAATGGAAAATGATTGAAAACACATGAGAATGTCTACGAAGTCTTATTATGGCTTTGATGAGCCCAAAAATAAACAAGTTACCGGAATGTTTCCACATTATCCCTGAGAAAAATCAGAAAATATGAATCGATAAGCAAAAAATATTAGACTGCACATAACATTTTTGTTCTTTATTTATTCATTAAATGAATACATTTCTCTCCTTAAATTACAAAAATACAGAAAATGGGAAAAAACACAAGTTTTGGACATTTGAACAGAGCGTCAATTTTGTATTAGAAGTATGAACTTTTGATATGTAACTGATACATTTGTACCATTTATAATTAATAACTTTTGAAAGGCCCTTATAGGATTACACTATAACAAACAGATCATTGTTTACTGACACTCTACAGGTTGGTGCAGGATAACCGAAATACAAACAAAACAATGATACCAGGTACAGTGTACAAATAACTTACACCTGCTTCTCCGACGAAGTCATCGGAACTGACAATCCACTGCTGATTTCAACAAGAAATAAGAGGTTAAATGTCAGATGTCTCCATGAAAATATACTGATTTTTCTACAGGAACAGTATCTTTAATTTGTAGCATGCATATAATAAAGTGTGGCTGTTTGAATAACTACATAAAAATCTACATGCATATATGGCTATTTAATGCATTCTCCTAATAATATGTCTAATGTCATTTTGAAAATAATGCACCTTAACAATTAATTATGGTAACTTCTTTGTTGCAGATGAATTCACCTTGTTTCTTTTAATCAGACAAAATACTTCAACAGTCTCTAAAACTCAATCACTATAGCCCCTAATTTTCTGTTTGATATGATGTGCTTTTCCAAACTGAAACTGAAAGAAGTTCACCTCATTTATTGACTTTCTTGTTGAATGACATTCTGATCAAAATCAAAATCAAAATACATTCATGGTGAGAAAGTGGTAGACATCTGTGTTTTATAACATAAACTATTTCAATGAGGCTGATTTTTTTATCTCTCAATCTACAAATTGCTAGTTAAATAAAATCAGAAATGAGTTGTAAAAAGTGATAATTTAAAAATCATCACTTTTTTATGCACTTCAGTAACCCAAAAATTGTTAGAAGGTGTGGCCTATTGCTCATGGTCAATTTTTATTTATATTACAGACGACAACATAACACTGGCATCAGAGGATGAATCGATAGGTTATTTCGTCAAAAATTACACATTATGGAAAATTACACAAATTTGCCAATGAAATATATACTCGTTATATTTTATGGAGAGTGCTTCAAATCACATTTTCAAAAATCTTTCTGGAAGCGTGACATGTTACAGCAACCAAAATTTTCAGGGTGATGATTCAAGAAGCTCAACAATTCCTGTAAAACGTCTCGCCAAACTGGCCGTTCCGAAATACATAACGGTTCGTAACCGACGTCCAGACGATACATGTATTCTGTTTGCTATTGAGTGGGAAAATATCCATTTTTAAAGAATGATGGAGCAAATAGATTTTTTTCTTTTCTAATCCAGAGTAAGACTATATATGATGCAACTTTGAGTTCTACAGTAAGAGGATAAGCACATTTGTATGTCTCCGAAATAAACCCCCAACAAAAATGTCTTTGTAGTTTATGAAAACCATGAATCACGAAATATATAAGCACATATTATTTTTTTAAGTTAAAGTTAAGCGGAAAACTTTATTTAGGATTATGGCATGGAAGCATTGACGTTGCGTTCACTTATTCCACTTCGTTTTTAGTTAAAGAGCCATGCATTGGTGCAATTCATATAGGCCCATTTCCGTCTGTATCTCCAGACCACAAACGAGTTGTTTTGCACAGACTTGTCAGCACTTGGTGCTTTCAGATGTCAACAACAATTTTCAGTAGGATACTGAAGTCACACACTTCAAAATCACGAATAGTGGTTTTCGTTTGCAACTTACTTTGAAGATGATGCATTTGGACGACTCATTTTGGAATATTCGGCGAAGATGGGCTGGTTGTCCTGAAAACAATACAAACATTCCCTTGTGTAATTTTGGTTTCTATCACAAAAGAGCTCTTCTAAGCGCTGTTATAAGTTATCTCCCTTCGGTCATAACAGGTGCCCGTTTATATGCACTATCAGCTTTAAGTTGATATGTATATAATGCGTTTTTATACACAAAGAGCAACTGGATCTAAGAACGCGAATACAAGTAGCGTATGTGTTAAATTAATGATTAGAATATTTTCAACTAGATAATTTAAAAATGCACTTGATTAAAACTATTCCAAAATAACATCTTGATAATTCACTAAGATATGTGCTTAAGGATGTTTTTATGAAAAATCCATGGCAGGTGCGGATCCAGGATTGCTGGTGAGAGTGGAGGACATTTTTGTATATTGAAAAATAGCTTTTTTGGTATTGTGATCGCCACTTTCCTTTATTTTCCAGACTTTTGTTGTTATGTTTCCATTTTTTTACTGTAGCACTGGTTAAATGCTTACCGCAATATATCGCTCGAATGGAGAAAACTCGATCGGTTGAGCGTCTAAATTGCGTGTTCTGGGTTCGAATCCTCGGGAGGTATGCAATATATAATGACACACAATTATTCAAGTGCACTGCTGTGATGATGAGATTTCGGTTTATTATTCTTACAAATAATGATCACTCGACAAATTACTAAGGGGTCGCGCGCAGGATGCGCCCATCTCTTGATTCACCTTTTATTATCAGTCATTACATGAAAGACTGAAAATGGCTTTATTTCGTATTTCATTTAAAAAAAAACCTCTCAGGGTCCTCAAAATTGGTGTTGACATTTTAGTAAAAGATTTTTATCTATTACACGAAAAAATTGTTCTTTAATTCCTTCTCACCACGCAATTATCAAGTCTTCTCCATTCAAAGCATCATTTTTCATCAATTTGATCAGTTCGTCAGGAAAATAACATTTTGAACTGAACATTATTTACATCAGTTGTAAACACACACACATACATACATAAATACATACAGACATGCATGCATAAGAAAAACATGTTTACAATCTTTACATACACGATCTTTTATACAACAACTTAAGGAGTTGTATTTATCTGTTGTCTAATCCAAAGGTAGTTTCAGGCACGAATATAACGCAACTATCATCGAAAATAGATTAAAGTTATAAAGTCTAATCGGGTCCGTGTCAGTACGGTCAACTGTACTATGTAGGTGTGTCCAAATACTAAGTTCCGATTGGCTAACACTGTCACCGTGACCTTGACCAGATAAACACACATGATTTATACATAAGGTCTGTTATAACCTACATTTTTGGCGTTTCTCCAGGTATATTCTTTATGTAGTTCGTTTTGAAGTACCCAATAATGCAGGGCCACAATCAAATACAGTTAACGAAGGTTCTAACGACAGCAGGTATAGCGGTAAGTGTACGTAATATATTACGATACGTATTTGTATATATAGCATGGATCTTCATTCATAGATGAATCATGTATACAAGTATATTTAAAGTTGATTTAAATTAACGATATACGTTTGTTATGTATATTTTGTAAGGTAAACACTACATAGTTATTTCATACTGTTGTTGTTATCATTTTGAAGTAAATTCATATTTCACCTCCACCTATAACCTTACAAATGGTAAACACGTGTTAGTAATATCTATCTCCGCTGCTCTATTTACATGTTGCCTGACTGCACTTAACTGCCGGCGACAGGTGTCTAACTGAGGGAGTAACGGGTCAGATAACAGGCATTATCATTATATTAACACACTGTGTCGCCATTCCTTTAATGATTTCGATGTATGTGACTAGCACACGCAATGTGTAGTTCTGTCGCGTGGTAAAGGCGTACTCGGCCTTTGTTATGCATAGAAGTGATAGTTCTATTACCTATGTTTACACTTTACAACCTGTGAAGGACCAAAAGACTACTGCAACATAAAAATACTGGTATTTCTTGTGTAGAAGGCTCAGTATATTGAAGGATAATATTACAACACCATACAACACGGAATATCGTCTAAATCGCTGATAATCTGACGTTCAGAAAGGGACTGAGTGTTTCCTTCGTTGCATAAAAGGAGATAAGATTGAAAGCTTTAGATGTATGTATGATTGAGTGTAAATATGTGTAAAGACATTATACGTGTTGAACATAGTGAACTGTCTAACATCGGATACTAAAGCACGCTTTTAAATGGATGTAGGCTTGGTTTCTATGACATCGAACTATTTCTTTCAAGGTATATCGTGTCGTAATGTTGTGGCGTAAAGAATGGTACAACATCACATGATACATCTTTAATATAAAAACTCCATATAAAGCAAAATGTGATATAAAAGGGTTGTTGTACTCGGTGAAAACATAATTGTAGTTTCAGAGGTCAAATCGACACATTACTTCACTATAGAATGCGAATAGCACTGCTTGTTTGGGAACATGACATCACGGCTTTCTTGGATGGATTAATAGGACTGGTGTTGTTGCCAAAAGACGCTTACCTTCCGAAACATCTGGTCTTATTCTCATAAATCTCACTCAAGTGAAAAAAAATCTTTTACATTTTGCCTTCGGAGTTGGGTTTGATTTAATACTCTATTAAAATTCCACCTCAAAATTACACTGATTATAAACGAGACGATAAAACACCGGTACGCCTCGATACGAATGAACGGTCGTAATTAATGAAAGAATATGATTTTCTTGTAAATGATTGTTACACAAACTATCTCCGGGATTACATAGAGAATTAAAATTGAAACATAACATATCTTACAGGTTTGGTATAGACTAAGTATCTTACAGTATCCGTGTCTGAAAGTCTCTACTCTGCTTTTTGGTATTATTTTGGATTTGTCATTGCTCTGGATAAAAACCCCCAACCTTTTACATGTCGGTAGGAAAAGGTTTCCCTTGTTATTTCTGTCCTATATATTCTAATATTATACTTCTACTTTATATACATATCTATATATCGTACACGTGACACAGTTCATGTGATATTCATAACTCTTAATTTACATATCCTAATACTTTTATAGTCTTGTGACCTGTATGGAAGGAAGGGGCTGAAGGTGTTATTTATAGATCGGGTGTTAGAGTTGATGAACTGGCGTGTATCAACGTAAATAGTAAATAACTACATTTTACACGTGACAAGTTGATAAACTACTGTGTGTTTAAATCCAATTTTAAACGAACATTGTCATCGTAATCAAATAAGTAGTAAGATACTGTATGCCTTTTCTCCATTGAAGAAGTAACACTTATCTTTAAAGAAGTTCGTTCGACAACAATGTCGGATATACAGGTTGAAAAATTCCATGTCACCATAATTTTGGGTAACGATGATTAATGAGTGGTTTTAAAAACTGTAAAATAGAAATTTACTGCGATATATCGGTAGAAATAAAACATTCTTACTGCGCATTGGTCTTTTGAGAACATGTATTTATGTGTGCAACAGTCGTGACCTAGATAGTCCTAATTTTACCTTTTTTCACTTAAACTGCTACACTGTGTATAAGCGCATATTATTAATTTCATTACATACCGTAGTATAAGGAATTTCACTGATGTTGAAACGTAACATTGTTTTAGTGTCTCAAATCTGGCTGGATGTCGACGTGTATTTTTTAAAAACTGGAAAAGCTTTTGCTGTCATATAAACTCTGTTTTTCATCTGTGACACTTTAGATAAAATAAATTGTATTGTATTGTTTTGTGTTGTCTGGGGGTATCTCTGACCAGCATGATGTGAATTTTAATGACGGTTTGGTGTACATTCGACCGAAAACGCTTGTCCTTGTTTTGTTGAACTTTCCGTGCACTTAACTAAACTTGAATTGTAACAGAATCCCAGATTTTCATTTTATTTCTAAAGGTAAATTGCATGAAAATCATGAGCCTTAAGTGAATAAAACATCCTTGTGCAGTACAAACAAGATCTCAGATTACTAACTGGTTTAAACCTAATACAAAAATATGTTTTTTCTAAAAATGATATATTGCTTGACGGTGTATCTAGCTTACGATCAGCCAATGTATGAAAGAACAAACATATAGCTGAGTATCCTTAATCCTGAACTGCCAGAATAAGGACAAATATAGATCTGTCGTGTTTTCCTAGACTTCATTCAGCTCGAAATTAATATTATGTTTTGTATGTTGAATTACAGACATCTGTAATGGCCTCTCTGATTGGCCGACAGAACGCACCCGCGACGAGTTCGTGCAGATCACACGTCGACGCTTCGACTTCACTATACTCTCTAAGCGAAGTGGCTGACCACTGTGATATTCAGTCCTGTTGGATTGTCATTCACGACAAAGTGTATGACGTCACACAGTTCATCCATGAGGTGAGTAAATTAGGACTTGGCATGTACGGTTTCTTCTGTGAAATCTTAGCTTCGGACGAAATAATCGTCTGGAACAGTAAGGTCAAAGGATCCGATATCAAAATTCACTGTCAACATCGAAACAATACATGTTAAAATATCACGTGAACGTTCTATTTTTCATGCAAACATGTAGAAGCAATTACGTATACATGTCTGATAAATACCTACAAGTTATCGAATATAAAGTTCTTGCAAACTGCGTATCTCCCGCCATGTACAATCAAGGACGAATATTGCCTTAATTTATCTAATTATAAATTTATATCAAAATGTGCAAATCACTCGGATTTCTTTTGTATAATCTTTGGTGCCCGTAGTGGACCTAACACAATTTTAGTGTCTGCATCACCGTGAGATGAGTGCTTCATTATTTGGCTATGATTGGTGTGTTGTTTCTTTAGCATCCTGGAGGCCTTGAGATTCTCCTGGAGCACGCGGGAAGAGACGCAACCTTGGACTTTGAGGACAAAGGTCATTCTCGTGCGGCATATACACTGCTTACAGGGTATTGTATCGGAGAACTTGTTCAGGTAAGTTACCAAGACCAAGTTACTCAGAAGTTCCAGAGTGTTGAGTGCCACTGCAAACTACTAGTTTCACTTTTACAATGTAAGCTTATAATGCTGGTGACATTTGTCTACAAGATAGTGTCTCGGAACAGGTTATGGAATGGATCAAAGTTTACCTCTCGGGACAGTATAGCTCTGTAAAGTCAAGGTTATATGGGAAGTCAAGGATATACCTTAAAGGTCAGTATTGGCTGTGGTTGTTGCACAGGCTGTGGTTGCTGCACAGGCAGTGATTAGCAAAGACATATATACAGGATAACAAGAGGTCCGACAGGGATCTTGGCGCCCACCATTGTGCTATCTTTTTTTGTTCTGAAAAAGTTATATCTTTTCCCTTCTTGTCCATTCTTTCTTCTTTCCTTGATCTTAATAATGGAATTTGAAATGAAAACTGCCCATCCAATATTTCTTACGAAATAGCGATAACAAACGTTCATTGTTAAACCCCATCCTCGATACCTCACAGATTACGATCACTTTCGCTCTCTGCACCCCTGGAACATGTCATGGCAGGAGAAAAAAGTCTGACCAACCACAGGGTGATACAAGCCTTTTGAAGATTACAAAGGAGCTACACCCAACTTCAGTCATTCAATATACCGTTATGCGACCTCGTTTTGATGTACATCAAATACTCAAATAAGTCTTTTCGTCTTGTCCACAATGTGTCACACATTGAAACTTCGGTTATTCCATGAAATGTTCCAGGTGTTCCGAGGATGTTAAAACCCATGATGGCCACCGGTCAACTATTTTGTTTATTAGGTCACCAGTTTAAGGATTGAATTGATACATCTAGGGACCAAGGAATGTGCATACGAAATTTTTAGAAAAGTTCTCAGGAAAAAGGAATAAACTATCACTGTCAAAATCAGTGATGGCTACCAGTAGGCCATCTTGTTTTCCCGATTAATCTCTAAATGGGCTCTGCGCAATTAGGTACAAGGGTTGATTGGTGATTTGAACGGGTTAAAAAAGTGAGAAAAATACATGATAACACTTTCATGTGTTATAAAGTTTGCTTTTTATTCTTATCCCGGCCGTTATATACATATACACTTGATAAAAGTTAGGGACCACCTGTATCTTTCTTAAGAGAGATATTCAATGAAAACTCATTAGGATATATGGATGTTTTTAAGCGTCTAACGAAACAACACACTGTCGACAGAAAAAGAAACGATATACTCAAATAGGCATTCACAAAGCTTAGAAAAAAGTTTCACTCTGTCTCTTATTAACAGATACGTCATCAAATCACCAAAACATGTCACTATAAGTGGCAAAGCAAACTTGTTTTGTTAGAGTAAGGGATATCTCTGGTTAATTCGACTTATCGTTAAGTGGGTGTATCGCTTGACGGCAAACGACACCAAACACAAAAGAAGATACTGCAAGGAGTAGGACAAGTTTTTACTGCAATTTTTATACTAAAATCGATGGCTCTAAATTACGACCAAGTGTAACTCGCTGTCCCTGTCTCTGCCACGGACCTCTCTGTCCCTATCATTGCCACAGAACTCTCTGTCCATATATTTGTCACGGAACTCTCTGCCCCTATCTTTGCCACAGTACTCGCTGTCGCTTTCTTTGCCACGGAACTCTCTGTCCATATATTTGCCACGGAACTCTCTGTCCCTATCTTTTCCACGGAACTCGCTGTCCCTTTCTTTGCCACGAAACTCTTTGTCCTTGTCTTTGTCACGAAACTCTCTGTCCTTATCTTTGCCATGGAACTCTCTGTCCCTATCTTTTCCACGGAACTCGCTGTCCCTTTCTTTGCCACGAAACTCTTTGTCCCTGTCTTTGCCACGGAACTCGCTGTCCCTATCTTTGTCACGGAACTCTGTCTCTATCTTTGTCACGGAACTCTCTGTCCCTATCTTTGCCATGGAACTCTCTGTCCGTGTCTTTGACACGGAACTCTCTGTCCCTATCGTTACTCTAAAGCATTAAAAAAATGTCTGTGAATACATAGGAAAATTGCTATTAAAGTAACTCACGAGCGACTTCATATATTGAATGTTTTTTTTAGATAATGCTTAAAGCAATGGTTCGGGTGAGGGCATTAATGATTAAATCGTTAAAAAAATTTGGAATGTGTATAACGCATGTTCATCTTTAAAGGTTAACATGTTATTTTTGAGTGATATTGACAATATTTGGCAAAATAACAAGTTTTAGTCAGAGTCATGTTTTCCATGCTTGTTAATTAACGAGATTTTCATGAAGTACAGGACAACTTGTCTTGACATACATTCACCGACTATATCGTGAAGGAGGCGAGAGTATCATTATCAGCATTACCGTGGTTTGTCTGTAGGTTTTTTTTATGTATCACCTGGGCTCTTTCTTTGAGAACGTTACATTTCTTGTATTTACATGGCGAATATCATTGACGTAGCGTTTAACCCTCTGAAACTCTGTGTTTTATCCTCCATGTGACTTTGCATTGGCTCGTGAAATATTTCCATTGTTCATATTCTGTCTTTTATTCAAGGACGACTTTGATGAAGTGTATCCACATAATACATGTACGATAGTCAGTGTGTTATGGTTCTCATATCTTGGTATCATTTTCTCTAATTTACTTATTAGATAAAGTTTTACAATGAGAAACATAAACATTGTCCTTCAGTTATCAAAATTCACAAACAATTAAATATTTGATTTGATTTTTGCCATATTTTCATTTATCCAGGCCGACAGACGATACAAATGCGTGGGGGACTGACAATGCTGGAAAGACCTTACTGAATAAGCCACCTCTCGAGACAGTCTAACAGATGTGACACTAATATTATAATGAGTAACGGTAGTTACTTCGTCAGATATGTGAAGCTTGACAATCTACATAAACAGGACTATTCATAAACATTCAACTCTGTTAATCAACAAGTGCCTTGCTATGTCATTGTGAAAATCTGTGATGCATAAATGTTAGGTCAGTCATCTAAGATGTCCAACATCTGGAGCTATTTAATATTGAATAGAATTTGTCTTTTAAGTAGAATATAATCTCCTGTTCATTATATTCAGTTAAAGGTCTCCAGCTGTACATGAATTTTAAATCAAGCTAAATGAACTTGGAGTACTGAATGTATATCTGAGTTAACTACATTTCTGTTATGATTGTCGATTTCAGTCACCTGACCATGTCATCTTGAATCGAGTTGTTAAATTACCTCTTCTTCATGAAAATATATATCACTAAATCAAATCAATATCAATAGATAATAGGAACTAATGACACGTTAAAATTAATTAAATGATTTATTGATATCATTAAATTTGATCAAGTGACATAAGTAATTTAAATCTTCATGATTTCATGATATAGAAATGTTGAACTATGGATGTAGAATAATTTCCTGTATCGTATGGATGTTAAAATTTAGGTCCTGATCAATATGTTGATATATGAATGTTTGATGGGGTATCCTGCCATGGATGATTCTTGAACGAGTTTCTTTTTTATGTACAAATGTTGAATTCCATCTCCTTTCAGTATATGGAATGAATAGTAGAAATCTCTTGTCAATTAATGAATACTGAATTATGACCTATGTTAATGTATGGTTGCTAACCAGATATTATCACTGATGTTTATATAAGATTTTATCATCATGTACTCATGTGCTACCTTGTTTTACTGTTACACCATTTTCTACTTACTTTTTCTATTGTTACAATGTTGGATTTTTTTCCTGGTAAATATTCTGTTGTCGGTGATGGATATATTTCCTTTCTGCTAATCATTCTGTTGTCTGTGTTGGATATGTTTCATTTCTGGTAAATATTCTGTGATCAGTGTAGGATACTGAGGGTACATTTCATTTCTGGTAAATATTCTGTGGTTAGTGTAGGATACCGGGGGTACGTTTCATTTCTGGTAAATATTCTGTGGTTAGTGTAGGATACCGAGGGTAAATATTCTGTGGTTAGTGTAGGATAACGGAGGTATGTTTCATTTCTGGTAAATATTCTGTGATCAGTGTAGGATAACGGAGGTATGTTTCATTTCTGGTAAATATTCTGTGGTTAGTGTTGGATGTGCTTTTAGCTGAATTTACTGAATTATTCAGAACTCTTCTGTAGTTCTATGAATTAATTTATCTATAAATAACGGATTTCACAGATATTACCATCAATTAGATTCATCCCTGGGGTGGAATAATGAAGTCAACTTCGTGAAATATAACTGATAAATTCACCGTCCTGTTAATAGGGTTATAAGTTGTGAACCATGACAATGTTCAAAACTTTGTGGTTGTGAATGTTATATTTTTATTTTTAATAAAACAACATATCAAAATGAAGTGTTCATTATTTTATTCTTTACACCAGGAAAATGAATTTGTGCCTGACAAAATTATCAACAACATACCTGTGTAAAATTCTGTTGGACACATTTGTTTGTATCTGCCCAAATACTGAATAACAAAAGCATACACGTTTCCTGAAAAAAAACCTCAATGATTATTAATAATCAATCCAGTGGAAATGAGAAGATGTCCAAAATGTCCCGAGCTCTGTTGGTCAGGATAGCAACTTCAGGCTCCAACTAAGACACATTGAATTTACATCTCTATCCAAGTTGGCTCCATAGAATATGAGTTCAACCAGTAGATTAGAATGCAATGCTTTGATGACTACACAGTCACCTTCATAAGAGCAATGACCAGTGTGAAGCGTACTAGGTCTGACATATGAAGTGTTCCAGATGGTAAGAAAACAACCAACTTTTCCAGCTGTACTACATATCAAAAGAAAAAGGGCAGGAGATTCGGGATCCGACTTAACAATCATCAGAAAGATATGGAATCCCAAGAAGGCAAATGATTCACAAGATCAAAGCAAAAACATTCTCAGCCCCAGATCAATAAATCCATTTGAGGCAGCTAGTTAAGGCCACTATTGAGATGGTCAGTACTAAACAGGGATGAGGGGGACCACATATCTATGACCAATTGTTAAACAAAGCCATGCATATTTTTAGTCTATAATCTGTGTTTCACACACTTGTCTTGTGACACTATTTTCAACCTTAGTGTACATAGGATTATAGTACAGCTGAAACACTTGGGTGATTCCTTACTATCTTGTACATTACCTACCTCAGTGTTAGTATGCTCCACACTGATCATTTGTCTGATGAAGGTGACTGTGTAGTCATTGAAATATCACACTCAAATCTTCTACTAGTTTTGTTATAAGAAATTTTATTCTATTGACATTACCAAACTTAAGAAAATGTTCCAAAATACAAATTGGATCCATGTTAAGTCTATATCTTCTTAAAGGAAGAATTGACAACAGTCAACAACAGTTTCATTTTGACTCCAATGTTCCATAATGCCAACTGAAATATTTTAAATCACCCCAAAATAACAAGAAAAATGGCAAACAAGACAGACATGCATGTATTGACTGGCCTCAAACTAGACTTAGTCCAAATAATGAAACTAAAATGAAGTTAAGCAATTTTCATAAAGCCTTCATGCAAGATGAATGTGAAATTGTTAATTATATTGAAAATTCAAATACAGCTGAAACTAAAATGATAAAAGCATTTTAAAAAGCTATTGGTGTATTTCTCAAAAAGCAAAAAAAAAAATTTCAAATATGCCAGTTCTTTTCATGAATAAGGATAAATAAAACCAAACTAAATGTTGAATTAAAAATGTAAAACAGTCAAACGGAAAATCCAGGGAAGTAAAATAAAGCCCAGGTTGAAGTGCTGAACCTAACACTTCTGTGTACAGAAGGCTAGTTTCTGGATAAGACTGCAGCTGATAAAGCTTGATGGGCTAATCTACAAGTATCAGCTTATCAATGCTGTAATATAGCAATCTTGAGCGGTTCTGATATCTGGACTCTTTGATCTGGCACCACCACATGAAAATTCTTATCTTTCTACAAGGAACATCTTGTACCATCGTTCATGTCGGGGATTTTCGAATTTAGGCACAAAGTTTATTTTCACAATTTCACTAAAGCCTTCCCCATTCTCTGGTTCTTCATATTTTGACCTGAGAACAGACAAATGAAACATAAAAGTATTACAACTACTGAAAAGAATAAAAAATACCATACATTTTCACTTACTTTTAACTATATTTCTGTTAAATAATATCATAAATGAATTGTCTTTTTCTCTTGTTAAGAAATACATTAACCAGTATGAAAGCTATCCTTTCATGTTTTAATTTTATCCTTTCTAAAAAAGTCAATTTAAAAGCAATTTTTTTCAACATATTAACTGTTATTCTCCAGATAATTCTTTTCAACCTTGACAATTTACCTCATAGTGTTCATAGTGACATCACTAATTGATTTGTGACTTTTGTCTACCATCTCACGATACTGTCAACAAGAATAAACATATTTTAGACAACAGACTCAAATTTCGACACAATATGCGATATATGGAGATTGAAGAGAATATGCAGTAGGAATCCATTAATGAATAAATGAAGTGTATAATATCACACCTCTGTGTCTAGATATAGTCAATCATTGAAGGTGTACTTCATCAGGAGAGTCCATCAAAGCAAAAGTTACCATCAGCAGAAACATTTCTAAGACATGAAAATTGTTTATCCAATTACCTTACCTTTATAATTCACCTAAATACTTAGTCTTTATCTATAAGACAGTCTTACTACAAGAATCATGTGACCTTTTTCAAGATTTTATCAATATCTTACTAAGTGACTAGTTTACTTGTATATTTATCCTTCCAACATACATATCTTGCCTTTATATCAATCAGACTGGGTACCTACATAACTATATTACATAGCAATTATCTTACCTTTTCATTGTGTCGACACTGGTACAGAGAAGCAGAGAAGACAAAACACCTGCAAGGAACACCAGCATTCTTGGCCAATGGGACATACCTGTAAACCATCCACACCCATTGATATCATATCAAGTTTACTACTGTAAAGGATTTTATTTTAAAGAATGTACCAATATTTTAAGCAAGAGAGTCATAGGGCCTGAATCACTCACCTGGCAAAATTGATTACCCTTTACCCAAGAATCCTTCAGACCAAATTTGGTCAAAATCATATCATGCCTAGAGATATAGTAGGATTGCATAGAATTGGCTCTATTTCCCCTATTGGACCCCTCCTCTCTTGCCCAAAGGACTGAGACCCACTGTTTACACCAAATTGATTTCCTTTCCCCTAAGAGTGCTTCAGACCAAATTTGGCCAATCATTCCTCTAGGAGGAACAGATTCTAAAATTCCTCATTATGGGCCCTGCTATTTATATAAAATTTGCTCCCCTTCCCCTAAGGATGCTTCTGAACAATTCTGTCAAAATCTTGTACATTGTTTATGCCTAATAGCAATTTTTAGGGGAAAAGTTGACTGATTGATGGATGATTGACACTGCAGCATACCATAAACTCACATCTTTTTGCATCAACCTTTTTTTGGGGAAAAATAATAATGAAAACACCATTACAGTAATTCACTTGATAACTTTTCTTTTTATCAATAATTTTGTTCATTTTACAAATCTCAATCAAAATCAACAGTATGTTTACATTGATTATTTATCTCTCATAGGCTGTGTGAATAATCTCCAGAAACTAGTGAATTATGGGAAACTGAACCCGGTTCTTCACCAAGATACTTTTGATAAGACTTACCGTGCACGTTGTTCCTTAACTGTATTTGTGTTGTCTATGACAACACTTTTGCCCTCTTTCAGTGATTTAGTACACAGGGCTACACACTTCTGCCAAGTCCCAAGGCTGTCCTAGAAAGGGGAAATAAATATCAAAGACATTTTTCAACTTTTTTTGTGTTGGATAAGAAAGCTGAGGTCACAGACATGCAAGTTTGTTCATCCCTATGGGTCTTTCAAATCTCCTGTATGTTAATGGCTGACCTGTATGACACAAAAAATCATCCACACCTTAGAAGCATCTAGTCTTATAATTACAATAAACAATTATCAATTACTGATCATTTTAGTAATTGTGATGCTCTTTTATCAAATTGAGAAGTGATTCCCCAAATCACATAATATTCCAAATTGTTAACTAGTTACAGCATGGGTTACTGAAGATATCACATCCAGACAATTTTATCTTGTTGAAAACTTCCTTACAAAACTTTTTCACAACCTACCCTGTTAATGTGTACGTAGCCTTTTGGTACCAAGCGAGTGGTGGAGAAAAAGGACTTTCCAGCTGCAGTTTGAGAAAATGAAATTGGCAGAAAATTGAAAATTACTAATTTGTCATTTTTTTTTTATTTTGTTAACAATGTTTTATTGATTACCTGCCTTGATGATATAAAAATTACCCAAACTATATAGGTCAGTACATGTTTTTCATTGAGTAATACTCTGATTCACATGAGTAGGTATTTATTCACCGAATGTTCGAATGGAATAAGGTGCTAAGGGCTTCCAAAAAATCCTACATTGTATTTATATTACAAAATGCAATAAGTCAATTGTTACTTTCCATATGTCATTAGGATTGATTTGTAGAGAAGATAAGATACTCACAAGCTGGAAATCCCACCAATATCACCATCTGAAACAAGACATACAGTTCACAACATTTAATATCTCTATAAATGGTCCATATCTCATAAATTTCATCAAGTCTCATCATAACACAGAGTCATGCTGGTCCACTTTCTTGAAATAGGTGAACAGTATAGTAGATCCATTTCAGGTTTATCGTTTGGTTTATCGATGGTTTAGCATTCTAGCAACAAACAAGAAGAAAATGTTTTATCAAGGTTGATGCGGTCACACAGGAAGAATTTTCAGGTCAAGTGCTTTCATGACCTTGACCCAGTAGCATGACACACAAATACTAAGGATCAACCAGTGAACAGAAATATCTATTTTCTTCATAATTGTTGGACAAGAACACAACAATCAAGTGATTGTATTCGGTTATATAATAATGAAAATTAATAATGAAAATTTATAATGGGGTAGGCCTTATAGCTGATAAGATGTGTGTTCCAGCTCCAATGGTCTTCGGTAAAAATTGAGTTGATGTTATTTGCAGTATATCATATATTTTTTTTACATCTTATTAAACAATAGCAACGATCGGTGTTATCAAATTAGCATGTTTGCAGAACATAAATAGACAATTACAATTAATAGTTCAAAAATGATTTCAATCGAGTGATTGCAGTTTATGGTAGATTAATCACCAGCATCCATTTCTAATATGGATTAACATTTTTGACATACAAAGTAGTTAAGATATTATATCAAGATATCTTAAGAATGCATTGTCAATATATTATAAACATACTTCCAGAGATCATTACCAGACCTCAGTGAATACAATTTTATATGTGTATCTCATGATCTTTATCTTTAGAAAACCAATCATTTTAAGATGTCATTTCCATTGTGACATCATAATTCTCTTGGAAATTTTGTATTAGTAATTGTTTTAATGCAAGTTTGAGCTCAATCTCACCAGTGGAACTTTAGAAGAAGTTTAAAATGTCAAAAGTTTATGCATGGCAAACAGCAGACAGTGCATGGCAGACGACGACAGACAAAGCACATTGGCTTTAGGTCATCATGACACTTTGGGTCATATGACCTAAAAACCAATAATTTTAAGACATAATTTCCACTGTGACATCATAATTCTCTTGAATTTTTTTTAATAGTAATTGTTTTAATGAATGATTAAAGACACTATGTACTGTAATTATATTTGATGTAAAAACTTTACAAGGATGGACATGTATGTAGGAGAGAATCACTATGACATAGGGTCTTGACACATACTTATGACCAAGAACGAAATATTTAAGCCATGTGTACAACCCTTAGATGACTTTTAATTAACAATTCATTCCTGGTCATAGATCATAGAACTGTACTAAGACAAAAGAAAGTTCATATTTTCTGTTTATCAATATTGCGTCTCCTTACTGCCATATCATTTTTCCATCAGTAATAAGCAAACAAAATATAGGTGGAGTAGTTATATTAAACTTGAATTATTACAAACTTAGGTTGTTGTATTTGCATCTGATGTTCATGTATAATGATGACCCACATTCATTTCTGTTACTTCTATTTGTATTACTAGTCTGTCCAGGGCAATACACCTAGGTGTAGTGTTCTAGTATTACACACCCACACATGCAATACAGGCACATGTGTGTAGAAATTTGACCTGTCTCTTACCAACTGATATCACATCCTGATACAATGTATACTACAGGCACACGTGTGTAGAATTTGACGTATCCCTTACCAATTGATATCACCTCCAGATACAATGTATACTACAGGCACACGTGTGTAGAATTTGACGTGTCTCGTACCAACTGATATCACCTCCAGATACAATGTATACTACAGGCACACGTGTGTAGAATTTGACGTGTCTCTTACCAACTGATATCACCTCCAGATACAATGTATACTACAGGCACACGTGTGTAGAATTTGACGTGTCTCTTACCAACTGATATCACCTCCAGATACAATGTATACTACAGGCACACGTGTGTAGAATTTGACGTGTCACTTACCAACTGATATCACCTCCAGGTACAATGTATACTACAGGCACATGTGTGTAGAATTTGACGTGTCTCTTACCAACTGATATCACCTCCAGATACAATGTATACTACAGGCACATGTGTGTAGAATTTGACGTGTCACTTACCAACTGATATCACCTCCATATACAATGTATACTACAGGCACACGTGTGTAGAATTTGATGTGTCCCTTACCAACTGATATCACCTCCAGATACAATGTATACTACAGGCACACGTGTGTAGAATTTGATGTGTCCCTTACCAACTGATATCACCTCCAGATACAATGTATACTACAGTCACACGTGTGTAGAAATTTGACCTGTCCCTTACCCATTGATATCACCTCCAGATACAATGTATACTACAGGCACACGTGTGTAGAATTTGATGTGTCCCTTACCAACTGATATCACCTCCAGATACAATGTATACTACAGCACACGTATGTAGAAATTTGACCTGTACCTTACCCATTGATATCACCTCCAGATAAAATGTATACTACAGGCACACGTGTGGAGAATTTGACCTGTCCCTTAACAATTGATATCACCTCCTGATACAATGTATACTACAGGCACACGTGTGTAGAATTTGATGTGTCCCTTACCAACTGATATCACCTCCAGATACAATGTATACTACAGGCACACGTGTGTAGAATTTGATGTGTCCCTTACCAACTGATATCACCTCCAGATACAATGTATACTACAGGCACACGTGTGTAGAATTTGATGTGTCCCTTACCAACTGATATCACCTCCAGATACAATGTATACTACAGGCACACGTGTGTAGAATTTGATGTGTCCCTTACCAATTGATATCACCTCCAGATACAATGTATACTACAGTCACACGTGTTTAACAATTGATATCACCTCCTGATACAATGTATACTACAGGCACACGTGTGTAGAAATTTGACCTGTCCCTTAACAATTGATATCACCTCCTGATACAATGTATATTCATGTGTACCAAAAGTGCATTGCAGTGTCTATCTATATTTTATTTTATTTTTTAAGGGCAAACTTTGTACAGTAAATTAATTTTTTGTGTTAATTTGTTGATTATTGCATAATAACAAATATGATTTTCACGTCATATGGCATCTTTGGTAGTACATTTTCGCCATCAGAGGCTAATATTTTTTTCCAATATTTGAAAAAAATGAGGAAAAAATATTCTTTTATATGCCGGGGTGAAGGATATATTTCACCCTTGAGGTCACAAAATGTTATAAAACCCTCAGCAAAGCCTGAGATTTGATGACATTTTGAGAGCCCTACGGTGGAATATCTATTATACACCCCTATAAATGAAGTCTTATTGTATGAGATGACCCCCATTATATGCTTACATTCACAGTTTCTTCTCATATCTCCTCAGTTGATGGAAATGTTTATACATAGCTCACCTCTTGACTGGAAGAGAAAACTTTAGCATCTCTAGGATCTGTAAGACAGTCATTGTTGTTAACTTTCCTCTGTAAAAATACAAAAAAATAATGATTCCCATTAAATTGATCAATAACTGCATCATTTATTATAAAGCAAATTACATGTACTTAAGATGCAAAATTCTAATTTAACGAGAAAAGACTAGGTTAAATATTATCTTCAAACCATATTAAATTCCTTCATTTTTTTCATAAATTTTGATTTTTAAATCTGAAATGTTGCCAATTTATTTGGTAAATTAAGAAAAGGCAAATGTTCATTCCTTGCAATATCTAACTGTATCTTAGAAAATCAAAATCTAGTTTACAGTAATGATTATATAAAGTTAGTGGACATTACCGGGTCAAAATCTGGCATTTCATATTTGGCCTTAGGTTGGCCAAGAAAGTACTCCTCTGGAGTGTAGAATTTCAGCCCGGCATTCATCGCAAACTGTCAACAAATCATAATACAATCTACATAAGAACGGATCCTAGAGGAATATGGCCCCTACATATTTTTCGTAGGAAGAATTTGTCATAAACTTCCATACATATTTTAACAGCTAAACAACTAAATACAACTTATTTGGGAAAAAAATCCAGATGATTGAGGTCAAGTAACCTGACTGATGACTGATGGTAATATGCTTACCATTCTATCACTGCACGAAAAGTCCTTCTTTTTACCTGGTGCCCACTTGGCAGGGCGGCCAGCTGCATCTGAAACAGTCATATATAACTGTTGGTAGAATATTCTTTATACTGTAAATATAAATATTCTAGAGGTTATCTTATTTTAGTGCTTTTGGGGTTGCGGTAAAATAACTAGTTTCTGTATGTTGTTAGTAATCATCATGGATGCACTTATCTATTATCTGCGAAAAAGTGATATTGCACTAAAATTTGATTGTATGAAATGAAGTTAGTACACAGTAATCCAAAACTCATATAAAATTTCTCTATTTTGGAACTTCAGTACATGTATTTGTAATATCTGTAACACATAGCTTTCTCTAAGTTTGGAACATACCAGACTATTTATACAGTATCATTCCTCTGTGTCCTGCTTGGTAGCTTTTCAACAATTCAACTTTTTTTCAACTAATTGAAGGATGATTTAACTCTTCTACGAGGTTTATCTGACCTTCAAACTTTTAATCTTACCTCCCACATAAAAACTGTCTGGGATGCTCACTTTAATGTCCTCATTTCCCTGTAAAATTCACAAACTCAGTAATATTATCTATCACAACATCGTATCTATAGAATGTGTTGATTGAAGTATTCACACTTATATTTATCCTTTGGAATATTTCTATTAATCAGAACGCTAGGATTAGTAGTAACAGTTAGTTCCAAAGGCTATGACAATACACTGAAACCGTAACTGCATTATGTTTAGCCCAAATAGCAGCATTTTGATACGATATTCGCCCATTGGGAAATGAATAGATCTAAGCATTAGCTCTGAAGAAATATTAAAGTGTTACTGTCATTATGCAGGATGGCAGTCTGTTGGCCATTTAGTTTTTCACAGTCAATCTTAAAATAGACCATGCATAGCTAAGTATCAAGAACAAACTCCATGCGAAATTGGAGGATAGTTAATTCATTATGTACTTGTCACGAAAGAGTGACAACAACTTAAAAACGGTCCATGGTGGTAAGTAAACGAGTGACAGAAGACAATTAAAAGGTGTTAAATGGACACTCCTTAGAGGACCCTTAGGCCAACTGCAATATAATTTAACATTTCTTTGAATACAAATTTGACAATTTACGTTTCAACACACAATACCATAAAGTGATTCCTGCACTCACTACTAATCATCATGTTAAAATCCTATCACAGTGTATTAACCTTATTTATATGGCAATAGATTTATACATGTCTGGTGATAAGTCTGTTCATATCGATAACAGTTCTGTCATTATCTTGTCATTTTGGATTAATACTCACTCCTTAACTTTCAGTAAAGATAATAAGAAATAATGGGAACCAACTGCAACAGGTTCTGGTTTTTTCCACAGTAAACATCAAAGTGTCAGAAATGAGGCCATCGGCTCTCCAAATGACCATCAATAACTACAACTAAATGAACTCACCCTGTCCCGAAGGAACTTGAGCATGCCCAGACATGGTTTTCTGAACATGCCGTCTCCAGTGGATATCAGGATCTGAAACAAATCACATTAAAATTGTCAATATTGATCAACAAGAAAATGTACTTCTGTAATACCAACAGAAGAGGCCTCTTACTTGGAGTACTACCTCAGGTCTACTGAAGCATTTAAACAGTTCATTTGATTTCCTTTTTCACACAAAACAATGAAGTTAAATCTTTCAACATGAGGCATATGAAGCACAGCAAATGAATATAAAATGTACATTTTAAAAAAAAAGTCACAGTACTAACTAGTAATTATATTTAGAAATGTATAGTTTATGTGTTCTTACCAAATTATGCTTATGGTGAAATATTTGTACTTTCTACATCATTGGAGCACTCAAGCTAATGATAGTAAATGTAGATATATATTCATAATGACTTAGCTACATAATCATTACCAAATTATGCTAATGATGAAGTATTTATACTTTCTACATCATTGGGGCACTCAAGCTAATGATAGTAAATGTATATATATTTTCACAATGACTTAGCTACATAATCATTAAGTACTCATATTACCTGAGCACTGACTCCCATCAGTTTTAGCAATGAGGTAAACTTCTGTTGTAGATCCTCAATCAATGTTTTCCCTTTCTCAACACCTTTCTTTGCAAAGAAATTCATGTTTGTTTGAAAATCTTCAGTTGGTATAATAAACAAATCATATTTTAAAATTCTTTTTCTAAGTTCATCTCCACAATGCCATATTTCCTTAATTTTTCTTAAAAACATTTCTGTGTTTATTAAGAGTGTACATTAACAGATCTTTCAAAGTTTTGAAATTTTTTTTCTGAAAGTTTTTTTTTCAAAAAGACATACCCATATATATACTAATGTATTTTAAAAAAGTACCTTTAGGCAGGTAATTTTTTTACTCATATATTACCATAAAAAGTGTTAATACTTAATAGATAAAGTGGCATTAAGTCCCACCTGATTAGTAAAGAAGACAATTTTGTATCCCTGTTCATGGAGTTTCTTCAACTTGCCAGGAATTTCTGGATAAAGAATCCTGAAAAAACCACAAGAAATATCAAATAAATGCAGAAATATTAAGATAGCAGAGGGAATGAACAGTAAACACCATACATTGTCTAAACATACCTAGTACGATCAACATTTCACGCAATCTGCTGACAACACTTTCCTTTCTATAAGTACAGTATTTCTTGTTTGTAGAGTATACTGTTTTAAACGGCCAGGACAAGAGGTCTACTGCATGATATTGATAGCAATATTGTGGTATAGTGTCTTACCCAATGATACAAACATTACAGTAAAGGACAATTTGTGATCCTAAGATTCTTGGGAAACATAATATGTCCCTGGTATGAATCAAAGCCTGAAATCTTCTCCTCTACTGGTTCAGTGGAAGTTCAATAGGTGGCAACTCAAGTAACAATATATACCACAAAAAAATTGCATGTGCATGTTTGTGTATAAATCTCTTTATCAAAGCCTTAAAAATAAGTAGAGCGTTATGAATTCATCAGATATGCAATTACTATTCTCTTCACACATCAATTATGCATCGACTTGCATTTGTGTGACTATTTCCCAAGAGGTTTAAACATAACTATAGAAAAGGCTGACCTTACTTTATATCACACAATGTTTCCTATTTACTCAAGATTCATCACAGTATGTTTAAACCTACTTCCAATCTCCATTGTCCTTAGGAAAGACTCGTCCAGATTTTGTTGTGATGATGGTACCATCAATGTCAAATCCTGCAATCTATCAACAACACAACTCATTGTCAACACAAAACCTGCAATCAATTAGCATCACAAATCATTGTCAACACAAAACTCTACAAATGTTTGAAGTATTTCATTGTTTGATACTAGAAAATGTGAAACAGCAATTACCAAAGGTGAGATAGTAGCATTTTAAACATGTTGATTTCATTTACCTAATAATTTCAATTTTCAAAGAGGACATCTGTGAGTTGGTACATGATAACATTTAAAACTCTCCAGTCCTGTATCATCAGTCTTCCTACCTTTGAACTAGACCTGACACCCTTTCCAGTATAAACATATAGCTTGTCATGGTGTTCCCACTTTGCCTCCTCCCTTGGTGGACCTAAGCAGTCAGCTCCTTTTTTCAGAGTTTTATCATCACATTTAGAACTTCCTGGGGATGAAGACTTAGACGTTGAAGGAGTCACATCTAAATTTGATGTTGAATCTGATGTCTTTTTATCCTGATGTTTTTTTGGAGACTGTTTCATCCTATTTAATTTTTCTTGAATAGAATTCACATGTTCATCCTCTTCACTAGTAGATTCCTTTCTCACATGAGAAGAATTTGACAGTCTTGCTTTTTTCCTTTCATTTACCTGATGTTCACTATCAGGGGCAGGTCTCTTTTTTGTTTGTGATTTATTGTTGAATTTTTCTAACTTTTCTTTTGAATGTTGTATCTTTTCTTTCCCAAATTCTACATTCTGTGGATACTGTCCTGCAAAATAAATCACATTTCCATAATGGTTTTATCATGTACCAATAGCTCAGAGAAATTTCATATGGCTAAATAAACACAATTCATGCCGGTTTGGGATATTTTTGGGGCCATTTTCAAGTAAGTACTATCATGTTCAGCTTATAATGCCTTTCTCTTGGTACATGTATAACCTTAAAACTGAAAATTGACATATATAGCTTTCTTGAAGTTCATCACATATGGCCACACTTGAGTGCAAGATATTTCTGAATCAGAAAAAAATCTGAGTGATGAAATGTGATAAAACTTCCATTCCATTTTAAGTCTTTCTATCAATTACCAGCTAAAACATAAATTGTAGCTCCATCTTCCAATTTGCATTGTCTCCCCTTCTCCAGTTCTATACCATCTAATGCTGAGGAGTTGTTACCGGTCTGCTTTACAGTGACGACCTCTGTCTTCCAGTCTGCTGTTATTTCCACTGTGAACCAATATTTAAGAACCAATCCTAATTAACTGTGTTAATTAATTACCAAAGTGTACTCATCAATATTCATATTTGATCAACAACTATTGAATAGGTTTCATGGACAAATACTCGTAACTGAGCTCTATTATTAAACATGATATTGAGTGCAATTGATAAAAAGGCATCATCTGACTGCTGAGAGATAAAACCTTATCACTTTCGCGGGAAATAATACATCCCTTTTCCTTTAAAAAAGAATGCATCACATCTCCTAAGAAAATGTGCCTCTATTTTGAGGTAGACGTCTCATGTTACACTGGTGTTATCATCTTTACCATTAATTACATGGTAGCAAACAAACAATAAACAGAATTTGTAAAATTGGGACAACAAAATACTACCTGCAAAGAAAATAATAACCATCACAGTGAACTGTTCCAGAGGATTTTTATGGAAACCATGAAGAACCCAAACTTTGAATCACTGAAAACCATATAGATGCACCCAGTCTCCCATCCAAATAAAATCATGGAAACCGAATTATATTGCGTATTGAAAAATACCACTTTCGATGACGCACGGGTATATTTAACACAGTATATTCTCTGCAAATATATACAACAATCTTAACTCATAATTTTCACCCTGTCTATGTCACATGATCTGAAAAAGTACATATGATTACATTCTGTTATGGAGCGCTGGGTTCTGTATTATTATCATTATTGCCCTCTGCTATAAAGGCGCAGATCTGAAGTTTCTGACCGTGCAATCCTCTTTCACATGTCTTTAGCAAAATAGCGCTCCAGTCAATGTCCCGTGTTCTGAACTCTGCTTGAAATGATATGTAGACTTACACTGGTTTCTGGAACATCTAGGGTCCATAATACGGGTTAACGGACTACGCCCGATTTGCACAGTCTGGCCATCTGGCAATGGGATTGGATCATGGGTATTGTTGGGGCAAACCAAGTTGCAAAAACGCACTTTGTATTTACTCATGTTTCGATATGGAGAAAACTGGATCAAAGTTTGTTGACTACGCCTTAAAGAATTTGCAAACCTTACTATCATACATAAATAACCTGCCAGGATGGTCTGCGTTTACGTAAAATTCAATAAAGTGCATGAAAATCAGTATGACCGATCAAAATGCAGCATGCTCGCGCCAGAATTGCTAATTCCCTTTTATACCTTTTGACACTAAAGAGTTCCACTATTTGACAACAGGAAGTTGCATGTGGTAAGGGGTGGAAATAAGAGCATAATCAAATTAAGCAAAATATAAGATATAAATGAAATATATTTTACGCCGTTCATCAGTACTAGCAGTGTGAATGCACACCCAGCAATTCAGTTAAGTCTTCTTTAAGTGCCAATAAAAATAGTGATACTCTTATTTTTCATATGCTTTTATCTAGGGTCAGAATTTCAAACGTCTGTGCTTATTACAGTATTCTGGTTTATCTACGAATGTCAGTGGAAACTTTTTTATCAAAATTAATCACAGTTGTTTGGAATTCTTATTATTAATTGAGATATAAATACTGACTTTAAACAGATTATTTATATGGTTGGTTGCCAAATTCCTTTGGCTCCTTTGTATACACCCTGAAGTTGGAAATTTTGATAGATAGATGTCTTCCTGTGTAACTGGGTGTCCACACCAGACATTTGTCTAACAGAATATCTAACGTTTGGTGTTCAGAGAGAGAAGGCTCTTGTATGACTAAACAAACTTTGGAAGTAAATAGTGGAATTAATTCAAACTCTGTAGTCAATATTCAAGATTTAACATATTTATTATTTTTTGTAGTGTCAGCAAAATGAATAACAATGAAGAACAGATACGTCTGGTGCTGAAACTGTTGGAGGCACTAACATCCCCTGATAAAACAAAAAGTGATAAAATGGCTACAGCAAGCAGTAAGATTCTTATTTACAAAAATCTCCATTCCTGATTATGAAATCAACAGTCCAATATTTTTCTCAAAATGTAAAAAGCTAATATACATCATGAATCCAATTACATGTATTTTGTTTTGAACATTTTCAATTTTTTGTTAATTGATTTCTGTGTCATGAAAGATTTGGGAAGTGTTGAAAAGAAATCATTCAAAATATACTGGAAATGTATTTGGATACCAAAACTATCAAATATCTCAACATGATTTTGATTAGGTTAAACTTAGTGTAATTTTTGTTTCAGATAATACAGAAGAAAACGGATTTGACTTGTTGTTGAAAACTAATTTGACTTTGTACAGAGAACTACTCAAGACAGATAAGTATCAAAATTTGCGAATTATGTTGGATGGCTCAGTTCCCATGGAAACTGGAATTGACACTTGTAGGTGGCATTTTGTATGCGCATGCTTGGAAACTTTGACAATGCTACAGAAATCAATTTCGATAGCAATGGAAGAGTTCACCAAAAAGATCAAAGAGAATCCTTTGCCAGAGTTGAGACCAGGACAAGCACCACCATTGTCACCTGATAACCTGAGCATTGGTCATCACAAAATGGTGCTGACCACAATTCAGTTTGTGGTAATTCTGGGGATCAGTCCAAAGCTTGACTTTGGTGTTGGTATTCCTATGGAGAGAAGGTCAGAATTTGCCAAACTTTTACTTGAATCTTCTAAACCAGAGCAAACATCTAAGGAAAGCAGAAATGTATGTTTGTTTTCTTGTATAAGAGTGTTTATGACATTGTTAGATATTCCTTCCATTGCTGGTCTCCTCCTCTCCAGACATCTAAATGACTTACTGGCTTCTCTTTTAATGTTGCTGCATGGCTTTCCCAACTATGAAGAAGTATCTGGAACTGTCAAAGATGAAAAATCAGTAGGAATCACAACACCAGAATCCAAAGTAGATAGTTCAAGTTTGGCTACTAGCATTGCACCCTCCCAATGGACACCTGCCTCTGTTGTTGACATGGTAATAGGGAAGCAGTCAAATTCTGCAGACAAAGAGGATCTTATTGTAGTTGACAAAGAATCATCTGAGGGTGAGGAACCTAATGAGGGGAATTGTCCTAAGGAGGGATCCAGTGACAAGGAATACAAAGAATTACATAGAAAGGAACCCATTAACAAGACAGGGTTACTTGGACACAGGGAACTACATTTGTGTGAAACATGGTTACAACTGTTATTGGAAAAGGCTCACCCACAAATGCTTGTCCGTGAACTTCTCTTACTACAAAGTGGAGCTCCTGCCCCACCCAAACAGGTCAGTAGCATGATTTGAAGATTTCATGTTCCTTATACTTACTTTCCCGCCTGGATCGATACCATTTTGAACGAGAAAAAGGGGGGAAAAAATGTTTAAAGACAGAACTTGGACATGGCTTTGTCAAACAGCTGCAGACATACACTCGTATATATATCTGAAAAAATCTTCATGTATTTCTCAAACATCACCTGTTCTGTTGACCTGAATTCCCTCTGACCCAAAACACCAGATATAAGACATTTTGAGAGATAGATATCTGGTGCCTGTCAAAATCTGCGTATTGTATATACAATGTAGGAGTTGGTAAAGTATTGATTAAAAGTTATATAGAATATGTCCATTCTTTACTGCAAATTCATTCCAAATGTCCAGCTTCCGTAAACATAACAAACTCACATCCAAATACAAAAAAGTGTGTTTATCCAATATGGTAAATAGATTCAACACTTATTTTAGGTTGGCACTTCAAAGAAAAAGTGGGCTTCCCCAGTCTGGCTTAGAAAGGTGTGTGGACGTCTGCTTACCAACATTCTCATGAAACCCAAGGGAGTCATCCATGTCCTACAGGGCATGCTAGAGGGTCCTGGAAGGGGTAATATGAATTATTATACAGTCTGTATAAGTTATCATACAGTCTTTATCCTGAAATAATACCCTGGGACCCCTGACTCAATGTCAAGGAATGATCATGTTACATGGCAGTGAAATAGCATTGACTTTGGGCCCCTGAAACACAGACTCATTCATGATAATTATTGATATCAGTTTTGATAAAAATCTCCCAAGTGATGACATTGCTTCAGGAAATAATAGGATGTGAGAAAATGTTTTATTTCTGTGTATAAATTCTTTCAGAGAAGGGAAAGTCAACAGCTTCTGATTGGAAGAAATGTGATGCGGTTGCCAGGGTGATTGCCTGTTGTCCAATGTCCTCTGCCTCAGTGGAGGACTACTACGCGCTTGTTTCACCGCAGGTAATGATTTTTTCTAGAAATGAGTGATACAGCTTGCAAGTAAATTTATGTGTATGAACTGCTCATAGAAAGACAGAATTTTGCAGTGTTCATTTAACTCCTTCCAGCTCTACTTCAGACACAGAATATAAGAAACATTGAAGATAAAGTTTCTGTACTAAATCTAAGACATTGAATTAAATTGTTTCAAAAAAGGTATCAACTTTATTTATTTTACGACGATATCAGTTTATATTAATCAATCTTCACTGCGTGGGGTGAAGAAATGGAGGATCAAGGTAAAACCCAAAGGGTCAGGCAAGTGATCCCTAACCTTTACACATTCAATCGGGAATGGAACCTGGTTGTTTAGAGTTTGTTACTTAACTTACATAGCCATCAAGGTCCAACCATGATGTGAAGCAATGTAAAATAATCTCAGAGGATTTTAATGATTGTTGCAGTATTTTACTCTAACAGATTTTGCTGCTGCTACATCATCCTGACAGTCAGGTATGTCAGGAGTTCCTCAGGGTAGCCTGTACTACTATAGCAAGGATGATGGCCCAGCAGCCGGACCTTACCAGGAAGTATTTGTTATCTCCCCTGATGGAACCATTGGAGAGGTGCTCCGAGCTGAAAGGTGTGTTACATTTATAAGTTAGTGGTATTGAACAGATTTAACATGAACACGTGTGGATGAAGTATGAACAGAACTAATGTGGAAATTTAAGAGACAGAAATACAGGTTAAAATTAATGGAAGAAAGTTAAACATGTGAACGGGTTGTAGTTGGATTTCCTTGGTAGAGAAAGTCCCCTCATAAGCAGACACTAATGTTTAGTAAGTAAATAGATTGGTGATTCTCAATTTTTTTTTAATTTCAATGAAAGTATTACTGTTCAAGTTTAATTGAGGTCATTTTCATCCTGTGTCTACTAGATAATGTTACGATGATATGATATTAATTACAGGGCATATTAACATTCCTACAAATAGTTATGTCTGTTACAACAAAAACTAGTCTTCATTCATTAAATTATGTATTTGTAACTGGAGTTCTGGTATGTAATGTGTTCACACATATATGGGGACAAACAGTACAAGTTACCGAGATTTACTTTCAGATAGACAATGCAGTTAAAAGTACTGTTAACCAATTTTCTTTTGTAATTAATTTTCTGTTGTAAATTTTGCGATCCAAACAAAGTCATGAAAGTTGAAACTGGGGATTGAAGGCAAAATACATTTGAAACTAACGACTGATATATCTGTATGATATTGTAGAACATGGTGTTTTGTGAAAGGTAAATTGCCACTAGCTGGTGTTGTAGAAATTGTATAAGTTGGATACTAGCTGTGAAAGAAAGTTGATACATGATAAGATATAGATGTAATTGTAAAGATACATGACATTTTTATATGGTAAGTCTTTACTGTAAATAGCTTCTTTATTGCCTTCCTGTATATTCTCCAGCCATCACACCAGAAAAGCAGCGCTTGGTTCAGGAAAAAGAGCTAACCACATGCCTGGAGGATTTATATAAGGTAGATATATAGACTTGTAATAACATTAAGTCCTAATATTTTCAAAATGTTCTTAACATTGTAAATGAATATTGATGAAATACATTGTACAACATTGTGAAATTGTGCCCAACATTGTCTGGGCAATACATATAAGGTATTTTAGTGTAACCTGGAAATTATTAGGTTTGTCCCAGAAATGTCAAATTTTAAAGGAGACAAATTTCTCTCTCCAGATCTGGTAACAAGTCCTCTTGAAAACCATATCACAGGTATTTGCTGCTCTGTGTAAACCCTGCAACTCCCCTGATCCCAGTGTGTAACATAACATTATAACATTGTTGGTGTTGATGGCCTGATGTGAACCCAGCAACCCACTGATACCTGTGTGTAACAGCAATTTATATTGGTAATGATAAACAGTAATATAACAAATAGTTCTCCATGGAAGTGCTTTGTACACAATCAGACACAAATCACAAATATTAGTGTCTGGATGTGTATTGTGACATTAATATCTATCACAGGTATTTGTGTCTGGATGTTAACCAACACCCCTTTGATGAATTGTGTGCTTCATTTTGTTATATATAAACCAAGCACCCCTCTGATACCCTGTATGTTACATTACTATTACAGGTATTTGTGGGTGTATACCAAGTACTCGTGGATCACAAGTGTACCATATAATTTTATATCATTACAGGTTTTTGTGTCTGGATGTGAACCAAGCACCCCTCTTATACCTTGTATGTTACATTACTATTACAGGTATTTGTGTATGAGTATATACCAAGTACTCGCCGATCACAAGTGTACTATATAATTTCATATCATTACAGGTATTTGTGTCTGGATGTGAACCAAGCACCCCTCTGATGACTTGCCTGGTACCTGTGAGCCACACCATTTTTTTCCTGCTATGCTACACCAAGAAAGGTGTGTCCCATTTAAGGTGAGATGTGAATATCTATCAATACAGTTCCAATAAAGTATCAAGTAGGCTAAAGAATGGCAGAAGGTAGTTTGAAAAATAGGTAAAATGTAAATGAAGTAATAATGATGCACATGTGCTATTATATTGTCAATAAGTCCATATCTGTACACTTAGTGTATTTGTCAATAAACCCCTGTCTGTACACTTAGTGTAGTTGTCAATAAACCTATGTTGTACACTTAATGTATTTGTCAATAAGCTAATGTCTATACACTGACCGTATTTTTCAATAAGTCCATATCTGTGCACTTAGTATATCTGTCAATAACCCATGTCTGTAAACTTAGTGTAATTGTCAGTAAGCCTCTGTTGTACACTTAGTGTTTTTGGCAATAAGCCAATGGCTGGTTAAAAGCTTGCCCGTGTATGTTGTTAATCAGTTCAATGATAAACCAGTGCTGTTCATTGTCAGCCAACCCTTGACTTGGAGGAATTTGCTGACCTCTGAGGCTAACTGTAGGATAAATTGATGATTGGATATTGGCACGAGGAAATACACCAATGTGAACAAGAAAGACGGCTGTACTTGTGTATATAAATGTTGTATGAAGTCATAATAAATTGGAAAATTTTGTTGTTTTGTATATGCAGACATTATAAATCTACTGTTAAGGTTGTGTAATGTGACAGAAACATGTCACACTTACGTATGGGTGGGGTCAGTGAGAAATACTCTTATAAGGATGTATTTGGAAGGAAGGGCAGCATAACTTCGACTGCCTGACATCTTTGAAACTTACCCTTGGATATTTGTGATTTTCCAAAATTACATACATTATTAGTTTATAATATCTGTACAAACATTAGTCATAGTGGGTTGATTTCTTACATCATATATCTGTACAAACATTGGTCCTAGTGGGTTGATTTCTTACATCGTATATCTGTACAAACATTGGTCCTAGTGGGTTGATTTCTTACATCATATATCTGTACAAACATTGGTCCTAGTGGGTTGATTTCTTACATCATATATCTGTACAAACATTGGTCCTAGTGGGTTGATTTCTTACATCATATATCTGTACAAACATTGGTCCTAGTTGGTTGACAAGTTGACATTTTCTGTTTTAGCCGTATCTGTGAGGAAATCTTAGTTTCCCTACTGAAGGCGTTAGATAAGGAGGAGGCAATAGCCTGTTTGCACCAGTGGATCCTTCAGACAGAACAACTGGCAAGTGATCGTTTTAATGTTCTTTTTCAATTTTTGACTTTTTTACCAGTAAGCTTAAACCCAGACAGTTTCCATCTGTATTCTGTCAATAACTTCTTTTTAAAACCTTCCAGTACCTCTTTTAAAGGATTTAACTCAAATTTAAATTGTTGTATCCTTAAGAAAGGCTTCGTCACTTCTTGGTTGAGGATTTAGTTTGGAGTCTAATACAACTATCATACTTATTACCTTAAAATCTTTTAGACCAAGTCAACACTGTATATTTGTGAAGAGGAGATAAATGTTAGAATTATGTTACAGCAGGAAAGTAGAAAGACTGACAATGAGTTCTCCCTGACTAAGACACATCCTGATGTACGATTTTCTGCTGGAGACAGTGGAGGAGTCACTGTCTTTATCAACAGTATGGACAGGTATGTGGATTTATCAGTTCGTGACATAAGGATTCACGGCAATTATTTGTGACCCATATCCACAAGTATGGGTCATTCAAGGTCACATTGTAGCGAGCATGCTGTTTCAGTTAAACTGCTTATTCCCTAGAACTAACATGTATTCTAAATAGATAACTTCTGATTTTTGATTCGCAAATAATTTACCTTTTCTATCCCAGGTTGTTTTAAACTTCTAATAGAAATAGATTCATTTTGTGACATCAAAATATTTGTTCAAATTAGTTGGAGAACAAAATAAGAACATTATTTCTATCAAATTATTATTGAATGTACAACCATTCAAATAATTGAATGGCAGTATATGAAAACATGCCACCAACAACGGTACAGAATCATGGGTGTTATATTTACCAGACATTTAACTTTCAATTCCTTCACCAGATGATTTAGTTTTATTTGTGTACAGTAACCATGGTGATGAGGGAGCAGTGACTACTGAAATGATGACTGCCGCTGCTGTAGCAATCCTGAAAGAGTTAGAGAAGAATGGGTTGACTGGTGATTTCTTTCTGGCACTGTTAATGGTAGGACTGACTTGGAACATAATTTATAGTTATGATGGAACTGGCAGTCACATGGGATCTATAATGATATAGATAGCTGGTAATAGATTGGCGATCCCTGATCTTTTATGGCTTAAGATGTATTTATCAGGCATTGGGTTATAGTTGTATTATTAAGACAGTAATTTTACCTTTGTTGCTAACAACTGCATTTACAAAGACAATAACATGGTGTAGTTTTGGGTGTTACATTGATATGCTCCATTATTCATTAAAAGTGGTACCTTAAAAACTATTAAAAACGGTGTAATTTTTATGTATACTCTTAACTGATCAGATACAATATAATTCAAATTAATAAGATATATATAGTTTGAAAATTTAAAAATGTATTTATTACAGATTTCGATATTTTTTTTCAGGAGTTGACTGATATTATCAATCAAGAGATCCATGGAGACATTAGTTTAACACTGAACACAAAACAGGATAGACAAGACCTCATGGAAGCCGAAATCAGAGAGAAACAGATAGCAGATAGTTTCCAACGCAAAGTGTCTGTTCTGAATCTGCTGGCAGCCATCTGTGAAGAAATAGGACCATCATGTCTTAAAAACACCCAGCAGACCCTCAAGTTTGTACAGGTATTAAAAGGGCTTAGCAGATATGTTTAAAGTTACATTTAACTCGAAATACTCTTGTTTATTAAAAAAAGTAAATAAGATCCAGAGATTAAGCATTAGAGTAGTTAAGGATGCAGGTGTTTGATTGGATTGCACCCAGTATGCTGGCAGCCATCTCTATAGTAAAACATTGTAAATGTTCTGTTTTGAATGAAGCAGAGTTGAAAGTCAGATGTGAAATTATTTAATTACAGGTACATTTTGGTACCACATAAAATATTGCTTTGAATTACAGGTGACTCTTGAGAGAGGTGTACAAGTATGCAAGAACACTTGTGATGACATTCTAGGGGCATTTGAGAGTGAGACGCTCACTATGGCGATGGGCATGCTCACTGCTGTACTTACTGGTACTATAAAGGTGGGCACACATTATTATATACAGTGCTTTTGTTACATATATGTATATACAGTAACAGACAACTCTGAGTAATTAAGCATTGTGTATTTTGCTGCAATTATGAATCTTGTTTTATCAGCTTATTTTATCAATTCCAATTCATCATTTTTGAAACTATAATACCTACAGAAACCCATTAGGTCAGACAAATTACAGTCATCCCTGTTCACATCTGAGATTTAAACCTGTTAATTTGAAATAAATCATAATTTCTAAAGCTCATTTTATCTACCAGAAAGAGCAGACAGCTTATTTTAAGGTGTGAGTTTGTCAAAATGAATTGTGTAATGTTATTCTCTAAGGCTCACATTTTTGAACATTGATAATCTCTCCCACAAAAGTTGAAAAGATTGAATCATATTTGGGAATGACAGATGTATATATTCTGCTGCAGTACCAAACAACTCTGGTTACAAACAGTGGCAAAAATAAATCAAGGTTATTGGACTGAATCCAACAAAGAAGAAAGTGTTTTAAATTTTAAAATTGGCAGCATGGAAACTATTTTAAAGTCACTAGTTGATGACATGGTCACAAAGATCAGTCCTGTCTCCCGGCACATCTCTTACATAGAATGTACTAATTTCATTCTCACTGGAAAGGTTGCAGCCACAGAAATCCATTTATACATATTTCTAGACAGATGATTCTTAATTGGAGATGATAAAAAGGATGATGGCCACTGAAGTTGTAGATGTAGCAGTTAAAATTATGGTAATTGAAAACTTTTTGTAAAGATGTTTAAAGTATCTCTAAATAACATGTATGTTTGACTACAGATCACTGAGGATGACAGAGAATACATGAAGAAATTAATGCCACTTTTAGAAGATATCAGCTCAAACCATCCTGACAACACCATACAGGAAATGGCCTCTGATCTCAGAGTTGCCATCGCAACACATGGTGTGATCTGGTCTGAGCTACTGAAGAGTAGTGCAAAGGGAGAGAAGCAGCAGAAATTTTCAAGCAAAGTATGTACATCTTTTGTCTTTTGTAGTTTTGGAAATATATCAAGAGAAAGATAGATAAATGAAAGACAATTTGACAACATCTCACCTCTGTTTTATTTTCTAAGGCTTGATTTGCTTAATTTGTTCAGTCACTGCTGATATTTATCCACCAGAGTGTTCATAGGGAAAAAACACTAGTTACAGTCTGTGTATAAAGACGGAACTCTGTTAATATCAGGCTAATGACTCAATCACACTGGATCAAATGATAGTTGTTTGGCAGCAAAAGCATGCAATTTATTATCATAATACCTTAAAATCCAATGTCAGCTTCCTTAAAATGCTCTTTAATGCACTTTATATATCATTTAATTGTCACGAAGAAAAGTATTATTTCAATGCACTGATTAAAACATATCTTTCTCATTCAGCAGGAATCTCAAAGTACTGAAGAATTTAAACCAGACAAGAAACCTTTGGTGGAAGTTATAAGTGAAACTTCTGAAGAATACCTTCCCAAGCCACCTCTGAGTCTACCAACTCTGGAGCAAGTTTCTAGTGAAAAAAAAATAGATGCTGAAAGGAAAAGTCAAAAGCATACTGCTTCAAAATTAAGCACTGGTACAGGGAAAGAATCAATGGAAGAGATGTCAGCATTATGTCAAGCATTTGAGGAACTCCATGATCCACTCATTCCTGTCAGGGGACATGCATTAATTACAATGAACAAACTGATACAGAAGAAAGATCCAGAAGCAGTAGAGAAAATGCAGATTCTGTTGAATGTTTTTAAGGAAAATCTGCATCACCCAGACTCTTACCTATATTTGTCTTCGGTGAATGGATTAGTGTCATTGGTAGACAAGTTCCCAGATGTAGTGATCCCAGTCCTGACTGAAGAATTCCTGGCAGGAACTAACGGTGCACAGTCCCTGCAAGGGGAGAGAACAAGACAAGCTAATGACAGGATTAAAGTTGGAGAGTGCCTTGTTCAGACGTCAAGGAAATTAGGTTACTTTAAGCTGAAAGATACACAAAGGGATATTTTTTCTAGACAAGGGGAAAAATGACAACTTTGATATTCTTACTTTCCAGGGTGCTATAATATTTCTGTTTACATATAACCTTTACTGTAGCAGGTATAACCATTACTAGGAAACAACCAAGAAGCTAATCTGTTGTCAAGCACTTAAAAAAATCAAAATTTACATTGTATCATTGTATGTTGTAGAGGTATGGTTTAGATTGCACATTTTGTATAACATTGCATGTGTTTTAACATTTTTTTTACCATTCTTGCTGAAGGTGACATGGCCCCCCATTACCGGGACAAACTACTGACAACATTCCTGCAAGGATGCAAGGATGTTGATCCCCTTATTCGTGCCAGCAGTCTCTCAAATCTGGGTGAACTTTGTAAAGTATTACGCTTCTCTGTTGGAAACTATATTCATTTGGTAAGTTACCTTCACTGTTTGATAGATATGTATTGAAGTGCACATAGCAGGAAACCAGAGCACCTTGGGAAAACGTATTTGATCAATTTGGTGATTCGGTATCTTTTCACGTCTTTAAGTAGTCCGCTAATCAATCCTCAGTCACTTATATGACAGGTGAACAGTAGGACTACCCAACCACTCTAAGACCAGGATAGACGTTTGTTATTGTATTGAAGATAGATATTTACTTCTGACTATTTCTTTGATAATTTAAAGGGGACATGTTGTGAATTAAAGTTTTACTAATCAGTGGTCATATTTTCAGATTTTGAACTGTGCTTGTGTATTGCTGAAGTCTGACCCCAGCACAGAGGTGAGACAGGCTGCTGCCATGATGGTATCCCTACAACTAGAAGGCCTGGGAAAAGATTTACTTAAGGTACATACATCAGGTTTGAATTATATTTGGTCTTATCAGCAGAAAAATGGGTTATTATTGAAGATAAAAATATTTTAATAAACTAATGAAGAAACATGCCTTATCAAATATTTCAAGGTGAAAGCTGAACTATTCCTAGATACCACATAAATTCTGCACCAGATGTGGTGGAATCAGTCACTTCCTGTATGTTAACAATTTGTTGTAGGTTCTGGAGTCAGCTGTTCGTGATTTGTACAGGACACTAAGGCAATGCATGGTGACAGAAAAAGAAGACAGTGTTAAAATGCAGATCACCGTTGCACTGAACACTCTGGATTCAATTACCAGGGAAGTTATGTTCCCTACACAAACACTGGAAAAGAAGATCAGAATTTTGGATACAAATTAAACTTGATTGATTGTAAATTCATTGCATTGTGATATTATTTCTCTTCTGTGAGATTTTGAAAATGAAGCAATATTAAGTTTACTGTTTGTCTGTCTGAAAGTCAGTCTGTCTGTACAACTATCTGTGAACAATAATGAATTATAATTACTCCTCCTAAATGGATAACACAAAGACAGGTCCTCCTCCAGTCAGTATTCAGAACCATGTTACATTCAAATATGGTCACCATAGCAACCATATTGAAAATCTTGGTATCGCTACAGAAAGTCATTTCGAAATACGACTTCCATTAATGAGTTGTGTATGATCTCATGCAATATGAAAAATTGAAAACCATGAACAGAAATCATCTGGACAAAACATCCACTATTGTGTTGTGGTTTACAGATCAAGGTCAAGGCCATTAAATCTGTTCTATATTCAAGTTTGCAGAAATTAAGTTTGCAGAAATTAACTGTATGAACTGACAAGGCCTTTTTTGTACACCGCAGAACAGGTGAGTTATTCAAGTCGATTGGGTCTCTATCATATAAAAGTCTTTGTAGTCTGATTATTGTAAAGGTCCATGGGCCTCTTGGTGTTTTTTTTTTAATCAAACTCTGTCAAAGCCAATGCCACTGGGAATACATCCAACTGTCTATAGAAACTAACTTAGGTTACTTTGAAAATGCATCGTTTCTACTTTAAATTGTGCAAGACTCATAAACCCATCAATGAGGAGTGAGGATTTTGTAAACAGATGTTTATTTCCATTGTAATCAAAGAAAGTTGTAAACACAACAAGACTATTCCAAAAATATTAAATTCATTATACATGAAAATTGAACAAAAAATGTTAATGCTATACATTTAACTCAGTCTTGAGAGGGGAATCAATGAAAATGAAACACAGAAGAATACGTATTTTCTGGCAAATTGCTGAGAATAATTTTCAAACTTATACCAGAAGTGTGTACTGTAAAATGTAAGGGGAGAGTTATATATATAGAGGGTGGATATGCATTGATGATGACCATCAGAAAATTATCCAGCAGGAGATTTATCATACATACACGGGGAATTGATGTAGAGGAGAGTTGATGAAGGGCCAAGATGACAAAGTCATCCTTTTCCACCATTTGTAAACTTTCCTAAATTAAAATTTGCTTTAAGTCATCTGACCCGAAGGTGTCAAGATGGACCTATAGCCATTATGTTTCGTCCATTGTCATGCATTGTGTGTAACTTTTTCTTTAGAACCCAACTCCTCTTTCATACCTGGATGGATTTCTACCAAAATTAGTTTGATGCATCATTGGGAGAGGGTTATCATTTCTTAAATTCTTCAGATTTTTTATTCGACACAGGGTCCTAAAGGGGGAGGTGCTGAAATTATATATAAAACCCTACTCCTCCTTTCTGCCTGGGTGGATTTCAACAGACTTTGGCTCGATTCATCAGTTAGGGTAGGCAATTATTTCTTAAATTTAGAAATCTGATTTGGCACCGAAGGACTTGGATGGGGGTTGGGGGGGGGGGATGGGATGTGGGGGATGGCCCAAAAGGGGAATTAAGACAATATTTTGCTACAAGACGCTAATTCTTTTTAATGCTTAAATAGATTTCAACCAAATTTGGTCTGAAACATCATTGACAGTGGAGAATCATTTCTTAAATTCAGAAATTTGATTCAACCTGTAGGGATATGGGGGCAGAGCTCCAAAAGGGGAAGTTATACAAGATTTTTCTTCCAAATGTTACTCTTTCTTAATGCTTGAATGCATTTCAATCAAATTTAGACTAGAGCATCAGAGGGAGTGGAGAATCATTTCTTAAATTCAGAAAGTTGATTCAATCCCTTGTGAATAGGAATGAAGCTCACAGGGATCAAATATGTTAATATATTTAAATTACTTCTTTTCAATAACCAAAAGTCCAAGGATGATGATATTCGGCCAGTAGCATGCTAGGATGAAGGGCTACCAATTTTGTTAATATGAATGACATTAACCCACTTTAAAGATCACAGGTATCCAATGTGTTTAAATGTTTGAATAACTACTTCTCAACAACTAAAAGGTCAAGGGTCTTGATATTGGGCCTGTGGCTTGCTTAATCAACAAGCAATACATCCAGATTAATGGCAATAATGTACTGCTTGTATAAAGAATATGATTTCAAGTTTGCATAAAATATCTTGATGAACCAACAATGTCTTTTTATGTAAGATCTAGAGAAATTGAGCAATTTATGTTTGGCCAATTTTGCCTTTTTAGCCCACCATCTAATAGATGGTGGGTTATTCAAATTGTCCTGCGTCCGTGGTCCGTGGTCCGTCCAGGCGTCCGTCCGTCCGTAAACAATTCTTGTTACTGCTATTTCTGGAAAAGTACTGGATGGATCTTTCTCAAATTTCATATGCAGTTTCCCCTTAGTACCTAGTTGTGCATTATACCTTTTTGGACTGATGGATGTGAATAAGTATGGGGACACTTGTTTGACCACATAGGTTTTCGATGGGTATTCTGGTTTCCTCCTAGAGTAAGACACCTTCACCCCTCGCACTTTCATCCAGGCCAGCAAGAGTGATTAATGTAAGCTGATAGCTTGTTTCATACTTTTTGGAAAATAAATATAGTTTATATATAGATTTTATTGTGAATATTAATTAACGTGTAAATATTTCAACTAAACACCAATACAATATTTTTTTCTGTCACTCAAGTCCATTTGTCAACATTGTTTCAAACCATTATAGTTGATAAATAGGTTGAAAAGTGGCCCAAGAATAGCTCAGTATGGCATCAGGTGTGTACTTCATTTATTTCTTTTTTTTTTTTTTTTTTGAAAATTAGTTAAGGGTACTTTAAATTTATTTTAGATTATCTACATTGTAGGCTTGTAAGAGTTACTCCCCTTCATTTCTCAATTGTTAGATATATATTTTAAAATATCTTTAAAAATTGAAAATATAAAGCAGTTGCTTAGATAATGAAGTTTTTATATAAATGCTGGCCCTTGGAGTACAATGCATACTTGAGAGCAGGCGTCACTAAAGTGCTACATTTCCCTGAATTTTATCAGGCGCCACATAGTGCTTTCAAAAGTAGACATTTCCTGTACGTCTGATGAATCTACTCACTTGCGTAGTCAGTACAATAGATGTTGCCGTTACAAACACTCTAGCTGTAGTATTGTTAATTAATGATTCTTATTATAGTCACTGACAAACGTTGTGTGTTTAAAGCATCACTCAGATTTTTTTAGCCCACCATCTAATAGATGGTGGGTTATTCAAATCGCCCTGCGTCCGTGGTCCGTGGTCCGTCCGTCCGTCCGTAAACAATTCTTGTTACCGCTATTTCTGGAAAAGTACTGGATAGATCTTTCTCAAATTTCATATGCAGGTTCCCCTTGGTCCCTAGTTGTGCATTGTACCTTTTTTGAAGCATTCAAGATGGCCGACAGGCAGCCATCTTGAATTTTGGAAGTAAAAGTTTGTTACTGCTATTTCTTGGAAAGTACTGGATGGATCTTTCTCAAATTTCATATGCAGTTTCCCCTTGGTCCCTAGTTGTGCATTGTATCTTTTTTGGATATGGCCGACAGGCAGCCATCTTGAATTTTGGAAGTAAAAGTTTGTTACTGCTATTTCTTGGAAAGTACTGGATGGATCTTTCTCAAATTTCATATGCAGTTTCCCCTTGGTCCCTAGTTGTGCATTGTACCTTTTTTGGACTGATTCGAATTCAAGATGGCAGACAGGTGGCCATGTTGGATTTTGAATGTAAAAGTTTGTTACTGCTATTTCTTGGAAAGTACTGGATGAATCTTTCTCAAATTTCATGTGCAGGTTCCCTTTGGTTCCAAGTTGTGCATTATACCTTTTTGGACTGATCCGAAATCAAGATGGCTGACAGGCAGCCGTCTTGGATTTTGAGGGTAAAATCTTGTTACTGCTATATCTGAGGAAGTACTGGAAATTTCATATATTGGCTTCCCTTGGTTGTGCATTGTACCTTTTTTGGACTGATTTGAAATCAAAGTGGCCCACAGGCAGCCATCTTGTTGTAATACAGCACAAGCATATTGTCCATTATCCACCTTTTGCTATCTAATAATACTTTGGGATCTTTTTCATATGATATTTGCTAATAGGTGCTTAATAAAAATATCTTGTGCCATCATTGAGTACATTCAATGAAGACCAGTTCATGAACATTTACAACACCTGTAACACACAAAAAAAAATAAACAAATCATTAAGAACTGAAAACAGATCCTCAAATGGTGGGCGCCAAGATCCCTCTGGGATCTCTTGTTTTCTTTTTTTTTTTCATAAATCTTATGTGCATTACTTGATGGAACAATGGTTCATGACCTACATTTATTAAATACCTGTATTGTTAGCCCACCATCTATTCAAATAGATGGTGGGTTATTCAAATCGCCCTGCGTCCGTGGTCCGTCGTCCGTCTGTCCGTAAACAATTCTTGTTACCGCTATTTCTGGAAAAGTACTGGATAGATCTTTCTCAAATTTCATATGCAGGTTCCCCTTGGTCCCTAGTTGTGCATTGTACCTTTTTTGAACTGATTCGAATTCAAGATGGCCGACAGGCAGCCATCTTGAATTTTGGAAGTAAAAGTTTGTTACTGCTATTTCTTGGAAAGTACTGGATGGATCTTTCTCAAATTTCATATGCAGTTTCCCCTTGGTCCCTAGTTGTGCATTGTATCTTTTTTGGACTGATTCGAATTCAAGATGGCCGACAGGCAGCCATCTTGAATTTTGGAAGTAAAAGTTTGTTACTGCTATTTCTTGGAAAGTACTGGATGGATCTTTCTCAAATTTCATATGCAGTTTCCCCTTGGTCCCTAGTTGTGCATTGTACCTTTTTTGGACTGATTCGAATTCAAGATGGCAGACAGGTGGCCATCTTGGATTTTGAATGTAAAAGTTTGTTACTGCTATTTCTTGGAAAGTACTGGATGGATCTTTCTCAAATTTCATGTGCAGGTTCCCTTTGGTTCCAAGATGTGCATTATACCTTTTTGGACTGATTTGAAATCAAGATGGCTGACAGGCAGCCATCTTGGATTTTGAGAGTAAAATCTTGTTACTGCTATATCTGAGGAAGTCCAGGATGGATCCTTCTGATATTTCATAGATATTGGTTTCCCTTGGTCCCTAGTTGTGTATTGTACCTGTTTTGGACTGATTTGAAATCAAGGTGGCCCACAGGCAGCCATCTTGGATGTCGACAGTAATACAGCACAAGCATATTGTCCATTATCCACCTGTAACTGACTGCTATCTAATAATACTTTGGGATCTTTTTCAAATGATATTTGCTAATAGGTGCTTAATAAAAATATCTTGTGCCATCATTGAGTACATTCAATGAAGACCAGTTCATGAACATTTACAACACCTGTAACAAACAAAAAAAAATCTTCAAGAACTGAAAACAGATCCTCAAATGGTGGGCGCCAAGATCCCTCTGGGATCTCTTGTTACTTATATTGTACAGTCAAACATGTTATAAAGGACACCTCTATATAAAAGACAGACTCATCAATCACACTCAGTGAGATTTTCTATATAATTGACCTCTTTATAAAGGACATCTGTCCATAAAGGACACTTTTGCTCTGTCCCTTGGGTGTCCTTTATACACAGGTTTGACTGTATATATATTCAAATTATGTACCAGAGTAAATTCAATAATGTAACATTGAATTCACCTTAAATTGATTTTAATTCCTGAAATAAATATGTATTGCAATTTAATGACCATTAAGTCTTGATTAAGTGAACATTTCACCATAAAAATATTTTTGAGCATTCCTGATTTATTTCCCTCCAATTTTAGATTAAATGGCCAGTGTTCTCACTTAGTTGGTCTTCTAAAATGTCTTCAAGGATTTTAACTGCACAATTTCTCATGTGTTCCGGACCAGCAGAGCTGCACTAATGTGCCTCAGCAATGGCATGTTCCTCGGGAACAAAAATAGAGCCTGTTCCTCTGAATCACATTATAGTAGCCAGACCTAAGGAAGTGAGGAAAAGAAAAACCCTGACATGTGGAGTTGATGAAAACCATAGGTATTACAACATAAATAAAGGACTATATAGCTCAGACTTTGCCTAACAATAATGATCATCTTGATCTGGTCTGTTTATTGGGTGATGAACCAGGCAATCAGAAAATCTTGGAAGACTACCTATATTTCAGGAAGAGATTAAATTTTGGTTTGTCTCACGTTGGTATCATTAAAGTAATGCAAACAAATGTACTCTTAATGTCAGATATTATTACACCCTGATGACATTATGCTTAGTACATGTATTCATATTTAAAGAAAATACATAAATTGCATAAAAATAGCTTTTTAATTTGCCATAAATCTGTTTATCTACATGTAAATGACAACAGCACATCAGAAAATACTTAGCATTTATTGTTTTCTCCAGATTACCAGAAGTCACTACTTCAGATGAATCAAAACTGGCAGCATTAAAAGAAACACCACTCCAGCATCTTATGCTGAATTCTGCTCCAAAAGCAACTACAGCAGTATTTGGACAACTTCCTTTGGGATCCATTCTCTCATACCAGGTAAGTTTATTGTTATTCACAAGTGTAATATAGTTTTCTTTATATTACCAGGATGGCATATGTAATAATAACAAAACTCTTGTAGTTTTGGCAATACGTATGGGAAAAATGTTAGTACTTTCATTGTTTGTCTTTGACAAAAACATCCTGAAAAAGAGTCAGAAGACAACATACAGACCAAATTTCATTAATTTTTGGAAATAGACTTGTCGGCACTCTGTGTGAAACCATTTTGAATTTTTTTACTTTTGCTACGAGTCTCTCAATATGCACCCTGTGTTTAGCAATTTTTTGGGTTTCACTGATTTCTGCAGGACTCATTTGTGTACCAGTCTTGGCAAAAGGTGGAATATTTAACCTCAGTCCCAGTTTTTTTAGTTCATCATCAATAGTGAATCCCTTGTCTGCCATGATAGAGTCATCATCTTCCATGTAGCCATGTTTTTTCATGTCCTTTAAGACTTCATAAAATCCACTTTCTTCTGCAATAGCCTTGTCAGAAATGGCACCTGAATGAAACTCTGACACAAACATTACATTACCATTTGGGTCACATCCAATTAATCCTTTTAAGGTGTTGCAAGATTTATAGTCACTGTACATTTGACTTTGACGTCCAAGGGCAGAAGGAGTTTGGGTTCTTAGTTCTGTCCCATCAATAATCATCAGGGTTGTTGAATAGTCTTTCCTGAATTCCTTGGGCCTGTTTTGGATTATTGTGTCTCTATGAGGCCATATTGACAACTGTCCCAACTTGAAATACATATGAGCTATCCATGTATTAAACACAACACCAGCAGATTGTACACTGAGTCCAAACCTCATTGCAATATCTTTCAGACCGAAATTGTGACGCAAACGACACAAACTTAAAAACAAAGCATCGGCGTCCGATAGACGCTTTATGTCTCTCCGTCCCTTTTCATAAGGTATCTTGTATCCTGGGGGAACAAGGAAGCTGAGCAGTGCTAAAAACCGTATATGCACTATTCCTGTATAGTATTTGAAAACATTTTTGAGGTTGTCTTCCTTCTCCAGTACTTGTTTTACCCCAAAACCCTGCACCTTTGTTTTCTTGTTAAGTTGTTGTAACTCCTCAATAGTTTTTTCTTGGCTTTTCACTACTGCCCGAAGTTCATGAAGCTCTGTTGTGACAGAAAGTAGATCTAAAGGCGAGATCCCTGAAAAAATAATAACCACAATAAATGCATTTGATCAACATGATAACATGCATTTCATTCAGAATTAGTGGTATGTACATGTAATTTACAAGTTCATATATAATACTTATGTATCATTTTATAATCAAAATAAATTATATGTATTTACAATTTACAGACAAGAAACTTAAAGAAACCACAAGTACAAGTATCATCTGATGGATGTGGAGATACCTGTGTCACAAGACAAGCACCAGTAACATTGCCCTGTGAATTTCAAGAACTAAATCAAGACCACAGTGTTATCCAAGATTACATCATAGAAATTGAAAGGGAAACCAGAGCGCAGTCAAATTCAAAACTCTGGATTGAGGCAAGAAAATCAAGGATAACATCTTCAAACTTTGGCAAAATACTGAAGAGGAAAGCTAAACCGACTCAGTCATTTGTGGACTCGATCTTTGGTACCAAATATGTTAATGCGGCACCATCAGAATACGGGAGAAAAACAGAGGTTAGCGGGAAAAGAAAATATTTGAAACAATTTCCTTCATCACATTTTCATGAGTGCGGACTAGTCATCAATGAAGAATTTTCATTTCTGGGTGCTTCCCCTGATGGAAAGTTGTGCTGTGATGGTCAGTGTGGAGTAGCAGAAATAAAATGTCCATTTTCAGCAAGAAACATGACAATTTCAGAAGCATGTGACAAAATCAACGGATTTTGCTTGGAAAAAAATAATGGGAAAATTAACCTAAAGCAAAGCCATGAATAGTATGCCCAAGTTCAAGGACAGTTGATGATCACAGGATGTGACTTTTGTGAGTTAATTGTCTATACACATTGTGAATTGTTTGTACAAAGAATCTTGCCTGATATTCCATATATGAGAGATATGTTTTACAAGCTGGCATTATTTTATAAGGACAATGCTCCTCATTCTTGAAAAATGTGTATTAGTATCTATTTTGATGTTTATTAAATAGATTACTTACATCTCTCATCTGTCTGTGTTGCTGATTCAGTTGTTGAAAGGACTGTTCCCTCTGAGTTATCATCTGCTTCAAATTCACAATTTGTGCTGTAAAAAAAAAGGAATAAGAAATTGTCTTATGCTGTCTTGAAGGTATATATAGTCATTGATTTTGTTATGACACTGATCTCATACAATACAAATCAATATATACGTGTGTTCAGCGAATAATATAAAAAAGACAGTAGTTAAGTATTTCTGTAAACAATATTAAAGACTTGTAACTAATATCTGAAGATGTTTTCAACTTGTATTTTACAACACTCTTGCCTTTTATATGTATACATATTTAATTGTTAAAAAATGACTTTTTTGTGTCCAACATGTATTATCCAGTAACAAAGATATGTTTTACTCACATCTCAGTGTTTTCATTTAGTGGAAATTTCTTCCTCTTTTTATTATCTGATGACTCTGTGTCAAAGGTAAGCAATCTTCTTTTTGGTAACGGCCTTGCTGGGGTACTTTTTGAGCCATCAGCTGGTAATGGATCAGGGAATAAAGCAGTTGGTCCATTACCTCCTTCAAAATGCTGAGAGGAAAATAAAAAAATACAGCTGTAATTCAATTGATTAATTTTTTATGGTTTAATGTCAGCATGACAGTCTGAATCTAGCAAGATACATTATCTTTATAGTGTCAGGCTGTCAGCTCATTGCAGTTCTGTTTTGTGTCAAGGCACCTGTACCCTACAATAGCTGGGGTATATAATTTAATGATCCCTGATTTAAAAAAATAAGTTTGTGTACAAATAAAATGAATAATTTGAGATTTACTAGGTAATGTGTTATAACCTTCATGTTTAAGATTTACAGAAATGTGTAGTGCTGTTCAGATATTCTGAGATGATATGAAATGACTTCTCATCAATTTGAATACCAACTAATATTTAAATTTTTCAAACTGTCATGCTTAGAATATTGTGATAGAAATTAAAGAAAGTTGCATTTTGGAACAAAACAAAATTACACATATTTTTGTCTAGCCATGCAGATTAAACCACGTTTACTTCAAATATTGCTATAATGATAATCAGCTGATAGTATCCATCCGTGAATTAAAAAAAAATAATGTAACGTGATGATGCATGTATGCCACGACAAGCACATACAGTAGGTCCGTGTCTTTTTAGAACGTGTGCTAGGCCTGCTTGGCTCCGGGCTCACCATAATCATCAACATTGAACAGACGAAGTAAGGAGGGGTGTTATACTTCAAAATTATTCGAGCTTCCAAGTTTTGTATTATCAGAACATGTAAACTGAACTGGGCCTTGTGTTTCAAGTAACTTTAAGTTAATATTGGTAAGGAAAACCGTGTACAAAATTAAACGATAACATACCGTAGAGCACACGGCTTTGTGTTTGTTGATTCTGTTGACATTGAGCTGGTCATGCGGTCGTCCACATGTTTTTATCCATCGTAGACATTTTTCCAGGTTGGTCTTCGGCTTTGGAAATAGTATCAACCTTGCACCATTCAGTCGCTGTGGGTATCTCTCATCGGCAGTGCAGGTTCCCCATGCACATCGTAAAACCATATCTGTGTTTACTTGTGGGACAACGTGCGCTTGTGGACGAGTAAACAGCTGAACGGGGCAAAGTACATGCAATTATTTGATTGGTCGATATTATCGGTTTGATTGACAGGTCGGAACTATGTATTAGATGTTGATGTTGATTAATCACTTGAGGAGATGCTTACAACCATGTTGCCTTTTAATGTCACAGTACTTTCTAAAGGCGGCAATATATTTACCATCACAAAAGAAGTATCAACAAATCGCGGAAACTAAACAAATGTGGAAAAGATCATTGTATACTGCATTTGTAGTAAATTTATATACAATCTTCAATTTACTTGGGTAGAAAGATTCACTAGTTATACCAAGTTTGTGTAGAAAGGATCACTGTATACTGAGTTTGTAGTGTACATAGAAAGGTTTACTTACTTATTTTTTTCTGAGTTTAGTGTATACAATATATAAAAAAAACTTGTAGAAAAGATCACCGCATACTGAGTTTGCTGTTTACAAATGTGTAGAAAAGATCGCTGTATACCGAGTTTATAGTTTATAATTGTCTAGAAAAATCACTGTATACTGAACATAATACGACTTCTGTTTAAAACCTTCATTTAAACTTAGGCATGTATTTTTTTATGTATCTTAAAAGTCTACCTGTACTAGGATATTGACATGACAAGATTACATTGCTGATCAAAGCATGGAAAGAATACTGTATCTAAAAACTGAATAAAACAAGATATAAGCATCTGTATCATGTTTTTTTAATTTTTATTATTATTATACCACCCCCCCGCAACGAAGTTAGGGGGGGTATACTGGAATCAGGTTATCCGTCCGTCCGTCTGTCTGTAGACACATTTTGTCCGGCTGACTCCTCCTAAACCTGTGAACCGATTTTTATGAAACTTTACAGGAATATTAAGGATCATGTGTAGATATGCTTGCCCCTTTCTTTTTTTGAAAATTTTGGTTGCCATGGTAACTGGTCACTATAAACAAGTTTTTTAATAAATGTCCATAACTCCTCAGTTATTTTACCGATTGTATTCAAACTTAGTAAAAAGATTTAATTCAGGAAGGCCAATAATTGGACATATTAGACGTTTCCCAAACTGTTACCGTGGAAACAATCCTGGCCTCTGATTGGTCAAAATTTAGATATTGTCCAATTTTGACCAAATTTGGTATATAGGGTTATTAGGGGATGCCAAACATTATGAAATAGGTTTCGTTGCCATGACAAACATGAGTGTTTAGTGTAGATCAAGAACATAACAGCAGACATTTTTTTGTCTCTGTGGCCCTTCAGTGGAAAATATTACTTCAATAAAGATGTAAGTATTGCAAGACTCTCTTGATAATGAACAACATGTATTCCACCCCTTCTGATTTCCAGAAATGCAGGCACATGCAGAATATGTCAATTACTCTCAGAATAACACTTTAACTTATCCATTGACTCATTGCAGTGTGCGGGGGGGGGGTGCCTAGCTCAGCATAAAGATATTCCTAAGTACAAACATGAAAATATCAATTATCAACATCCTGTTTATTCTATATAACTGGTGTAACCACTTAATGCCTTTATTAAACATATGATCTGGGTCTATTTAAGTGTCTTAGGAGGACATGTTTGGGCATGTTTTAGATAGTATCATTGTAGATCTCAACTGTCAGGTGTAATATTTAAGTAATACATGGGTAACAGCTAGGAGTGTTTTAAAACTACAGCTAGGAGTGTTTTAAAACTACGGCTTTTTGGCCAGTGTACTGTTAAAGTATTACACAATCCATAACAAAAGAACACAGTTTATGTAAAGTATTAAATGTATTGCTTTGTAAAGTTTCAATACAGCAAATCCACCCACGAAGCTATTGAAATAAATATGATGACTACGCATGTCTGGGTCTTGTGACTGTAGTCAAATTTTGTTGATGTGACATAATCGTGTAACACTGAGACAGAGGTAGACATGGGTGGTTATCTCTCACTCCTAGGTCCATCTGAGGATGTACCAAATCAAGGACGATTCAATAAACCACCGGTCCCAACAGAACCAGGTAGGTGGCATGGCAGAGACAGGAAAGGGCAGGATGCCTAAGGGTAAGGCAAGGTAGGAGGCTACCAAGAAGGCTGAGCAGGGCCAAGGCAGGAAGGTAGGTGCAAGGGTAGAGATGGGACAGGACAAGATAGGATGTGTTGGAACATGGTAGGGCAGGAGAGCACAGACAGGGCAGGGTGGGTTAAAAGTATGGTAAATTACAGACAGGACAAGGTAGGGTCAAGAGGGGTGGGCTATGGCAGGGAAGGCAAAAAGTGGAGACGGGATAGGACAGGATCAAAGCATGGTGAGTTGATGTAGTGAGCAGGACAGGAACGGAAGACAGGACAGGGTCAAGGCAGGTCAAGGTAGGACCAGACAAAGACAGAAGAGGGCAGGGTCAAGGCAGTTCATGGCAAGACAGGAGGACAGAGCCAGAAGTGGGTAAAGCCAAGGCAGGTCATGGCAGGGCAGGTGGATAGAGAGAGAAGAGGGTAGGGTCAAGGCAAGTCATAGCAGGATTTATCTGGGTAGGACAGCAGTGACTTGATTAAGCTTGCCTAAGGGTGTTTCAAGGTAGGAGGAAAGAGATACAAATTAAAAACTGTGTTAAGATTATTGCAAGGTAACCAAAATGGGAATTTAACCAGCAGATAACTTTTATTGTAAATAAAGTCTTTTGTCTCAACATGAAATCTTCCTGAAAGCCTGAATTATAATGATGTTTCTAAGACTGAAAAATACTTATATTTACACAAGGGATTTACCTTCAAGTTAAACTATTTGTGTCATCATTTTTTGGACACTTTTTTTATATCATTCTATAGTCCTGAGGATTTCTATGTACAGGAGAAGGAGAAAGATATGCTAAAGTCATATCATAGGCTTCCTGCTCTCTACAGTCCTCAGAAGATGTCTTCTTTAACACATTATAGGCTTCCTGCTCTCTACAGCCCTCAGAAGATGTCTTCTTTAACACATTATAGGCTTCCTGCTCTCTACAGTCCTCAGAAGATGTCTTCTTTAACACATTATAGGCTTCCTGCTCTCTACAGTCCTCAGAAGATGTCTTCTTTAACACATTATAGGCTTCCTGCTCTCTACAGTCCTCAGAAGATGTCTTCTTTAACACATTATAGGCTTCCTGCTCTCTACAGCCCTCAGAAGATGTCTTCTTTAACACATTATAGGCTTCCTGCTCTCTACAGTCCTCAGAAGATGTCTTCTTTAACACATTATATGCTTCCTGCTCTCCACAGCCCTCAGGAGGTCTCTACTTTAACACATTATAGGCTTCCTGCTCTCCATAGCCCTCAGGAGGTCTCTACTTTAACACATTATAGGGTTCCAGCTCTCCACAGCCCTCAGGAGGTCTCTACTTTAACACATTATAGGGTTCCAGCTCTCCACAGCCCTCAGGAGGTCTCTACTTAACACATTATAGGCTTCCTGCTCTCCACAGCCCTCAGGAGGTCTCTACTTTGACATATCATAGGCTTCCTGCTCTCCAAAGCCCTCAGGAGGTCTCTACTTTAACATATCATAGGCTTCCTGCTCTCCACAGCCCTCAGGAGGTCTCTACTTTAACATATCATAGGCTTCCAGCTCTCCATAGCCCTCAGAAGATGTCTACTTTAACACATTATAGGCTTCCTGCTCTCCACAGCCCTCAGGAGGTCTCTACTTTAACATATCATAGGCTTCCTGCTCTCCACAGCCCTCAGGAGGTCTCTACTTTAACATATCATAGGCTTCCTGCTCTCCACAGCCCTCAGGAGATGTCTACTTTAACACTTTATAGGGTTCCTGCTCTCTACAGCCCTCAGAAGATGTCTACTTTAACACATTATAGTCTTCCTGCTCTCTACAGTCCTCAGAAGATGTCTTCTTTAACACATTATAGGCTTCCTGCTCTCTACAGTCCTCAGAAGATGTCTTCTTTAACACATTATATGCTTCCTGCTCTCCACAGCCCTCAGGAGGTCTCTACTTTAACACATTATAGGCTTCCTGCTCTCCATAGCCCTCAGGAGGTCTCTACTTTAACACATTATAGGGTTCCAGCTCTCCACAGCCCTCAGGAGGTCTCTACTTTAACACATTATAGGGTTCCAGCTCTCCACAGCCCTCAGGAGGTCTCTACTTAACACATTATAGGCTTCCTGCTCTCCACAGCCCTCAGGAGGTCTCTACTTTGACATATCATAGGCTTCCTGCTCTCCAAAGCCCTCAGGAGGTCTCTACTTTAACATATCATAGGCTTCCTGCTCTCCACAGCCCTCAGGAGGTCTCTACTTTAACATATCATAGGCTTCCAGCTCTCCATAGCCCTCAGAAGATGTCTACTTTAACACATTATAGGCTTCCTGCTCTCCACAGCCCTCAGGAGGTCTCTACTTTAACATATCATAGGCTTCCTGCTCTCCACAGCCCTCAGGAGGTCTCTACTTTAACATATCATAGGCTTCCTGCTCTCCACAGCCCTCAGGAGATGTCTACTTTAACACTTTATAGGGTTCCTGCTCTCTACAGCCCTCAGAAGATGTCTACTTTAACACATTATAGGGTTCCAGCTCTCCACAGCCCTCAGGAGATGTCTACTTTAACACATTATAGGGTTCCTGCTCTCCACAGCCCTCAGGAGGTCTCTACTTTAACACATTATAGGCTTTCTGCTCTCCACAGCCCTCAGGAGGTCTCTACTTCAACACATTATAGGCATCATACTGTCCCCAGTACATGCTTATTTTACACATTATAAGCCTCAAGCTCACCATTGTCCCCAGGAGGTGCTTATCTTAACACATGATAAGCCTCCTGCTCTCCACTGTCACCAGGAGATTCACCCTGCAAGGGTAACAACAGACACTCCCCTTCCTCCTCCAATACTACACCTGTTTAAATGGATATTTTTCAAAGCTTCTAATGATGCCATTGTATAATAATAGACACTCCCCTTCCTCCCCCAATACTACACCTGTTTAAATGGATCTATCTCTGGGCCTCCAGAAGATGTCCTGGTGTAATAATAGACACTCCCCTTCCTCCCCCAATACTACACCTGTTTAAATGGATCTATCTCTGGGCCTCCAGAAGATGTCCTGGTGTAATAAAAGACACTCCTCTCCCTACCCAGTGATAGCGTTCATAAATGGATCTATCTCTGGGCCTCCAGAAGATGTCCTGGTGTAATAAAAGACACTCCTCTCCCTCCCCAGTGATAGCCTTCATAAATGGATCTATCTCTGGGCCTCCAGAAGATGTCCTGGTGTGATAAAAGACACTCCTCTCCCTACCCAGTGATAGCGTTCATAAATGGATCTATCTCTGGGCCTCCAGAAGATGTCCATGTGTAATAAAAGACACTCCTCTCCCTACCCAGTGATAGCCTTCATAAATGGATCTATCTCTGGGCCTCCAGAAGATGTCCTGGTGTAATAAAAGACACTCCTCTCCCTTCCCCACTGATACCCCTACACAAATGCATGAGTTTAAGAGACTCCAGTACATACCCTGGTGCAATTACAGAAACCCAACCCAACACTATGATACATTTTTTAAATGCATCTGTTTCAGAAACTACAGAGGACATAAAAGACATTTTACATGTGACAGGAGTAAATTTTAATTTACATGATGATTGTAAGGCTCATCACACCTGGAAGTTTACAAAAGAACAGGTGGATAAGTGTTGTACCATCATCGTCCGCAGAGGTCAACCGTTTCAAATTATTCTCAATTGTGACCAGCCCTTTGATCAAGAACACCATGAACTGAAGCTGATCTTTGAGACAGGTACAAGAATTACTGAACTTTTGACCTATTGATTATTTTATCTATAGATGTACTGTAAAAATTATTGTGTAGGAAATGTTGTCTGAAGTTCTTTGTTTTGCACATTTTCTTTCTTTGTTCTAAAGAAAATATCTGTCATGAGACAATGCAAAATTTAGATAATTGCAAATTGTGCTTTATAGACCTCATATTTACATGAAAGGTGACAATCCTCTGCCAACCAAAGGAACACAAGTAGAGTTGATCTTGTCAGATGTTGATCAAGAGGCTCAATGGGGAGCCAAGATTCTGGAGCAAAAGGACATGACCTTGACATTGGAGGTCATAACTCCACCCTGCTGTATCATTGGCCGATGGAGCCTCAAAGTCCGAACACTGAAGAAGGCAAACCTGCAGCCATCTCACAACAGCTTCAATTTCCCCCAGCCTATATACATCCTGTTTAACCCCTGGTGTAAAGGTACCACTAGAAAATTAATGTTGTAAATGTACATGTACTTACTGCAGTAACATTTCTGTAAATAAAAGTTTTTGAGAGTTCATATGTTAAAACACTGTTATTACAACTGAATTTTAAATGCTGTGCATTATGCCTCTGCTGTGGAATGAACATCATCTCACACTTAGCAAAGTTGTTATGTAGGTAAACGTATCGTGAATCAAGTCTTCCTTTTGTCTACTATCTGTTTGTTCATTCAAAGACAGAAGTTTTCTGCGAAGTAAAGCACATGTCTACCTGTCTTCTTGTCTATAAATGGACAGAATTTTTACTTTAGAAGTGTGAATTATTTTCTCAAATGTTCATTCTTATGAAACGTTTTATGAATACCAACAGCAAAAAAACCTTTCCAGTACTATTTGTTTTAGTTTTTTTTCAGAGTTATGCCCCTTTTACATTGCAGTGAAGGTTGTGTAATCTTTATATGCGAGTGGGGCCAGCCTGCAGACTACAGCTCTTGTTTAAATCTAGGCTTATACTATATATTGTTAGATATTATACATTTTCAGATGTATTTCTTTTGATACAGCGGATCAGGTATATCTCCATGATGATGGACTGCTGCAGGAATATGTCCTAAATGACACAGGGAAGATCTTCAAGGGAGACAAGAAAAACATTTATGGGAAACCATGGAACTTTGGCCAGGTAGGTAACACTACTTTTCTTGAGATAGTGTTCTTGGTAAATTTTTTTTTAAAGTATGGGGTGTAAGATCATTGCATTGTGTTTTGTATATATGGTTCTTACATTTAGTTAAAAAAAATTTTTGTAAATAAAGAATTACCATGTTCCTAGCTTCTGTAAGCATAACAAGTCTATTTTATTGTCATTGTAGTTTGCTGACCCTGTGTTGGACTGTGTCCTTGACCTTCTAAACAAACTCCGAGTATCCGATAGAGGTGACCCTGTCAAAGTTGTGCGCACACTCTCGGCTTTGGTGAGGATTAATCAAATAGTCTGACTATTTTGTGACAGAAATCAAAACATCACTTTTTACGAGATGTTGAGATTTTTTGTTTTACCACTATGTTTTTACAGGTAAACTCATCAGACGAGAATGGTATTCTACTTGGTAACTGGTCAGGTCACTACAAGGGAGGTAAAAGCCCAAATTCCTGGACAGGAAGTAAGGCCATCTTAGAAGAGTATCACAGGACAAAATCACCGGTCAAGTATGGTCAGTGCTGGGTTTTCTCTGGAGTAATGACCACTTGTAAGTATCATCCGTAATTATCTTAAGATAACCACCAAAATTTAAGGTAAACTACAGCTTACTGTGTAGCCTAGGATTAGTGACAAATGTCAAATGCTTTCATATGTTGATGAGATTTGAAAATTTGGTCTGTCAGGTTGCCGAGCCCTTGGCATACCCACACGCAGTGTTACCAACTTCAGCTCAGCCCATGACACAGATACATCTGTAACCATTGACTACCACTTAAATGCAGAGGGTGAATTTTTGGATGACAAGAATCATGATTCTATTTGGTAAGTAAAATAAGGTTCATATGTTATCTCCATACTCTGATACTGTATGGTGTGTACATCTTCATACTCTGATACTGTATGGTGTCTATAGGAAAATTCCATGCTCTGATAATATATGGTGTCAACAGCTGTATGGTGTCTTCAGGATAACTTTATGCTCTAATAATGTATGGTGTCTACAGCTCCATACTCTGATACTGTATGGTGTCTTTAGGGTAACTCCATGCTCTGATAATATATGGTGTATAAAGGGTAACTCCATGCTTTGATACTGTATGGTGTCTACAGCTCCATACTCTGATATTGTATGGTGTCTATAGGGCAGCTCTATACTCAGATACTGTATGGTGTCTACAGCTCAATATTCTGATACTGTATGGTGTCTACAGCTCCATACTCTGATACTGTATGGTGTCTACAGCTCCATTCTCTGATACTGTATAGTGTCTATAGGGTAACTCCATGTTCTGATATTGTATGTTGTATATAGGGTAACTCCATACTCTGATACTGTATGGTGTCTACAGCTCCATACTCTGATACTGTATGGTGTCTATAGGGTAACTCCATGTTCTGATACTGTATGGTGTCTACAGCTCCATACTCTGATCATGTATGGTGTCTACAGCTCCACATTGTGATACTGTATGGTGTCTACAGTTCCATACTCTGATACTGTATGGTGTCTACAGCTCCATACTCTGATACTGTATGGTGTCTACAGCTCCATACTCTGATACTGTATGGTGACCTGGAGTGTGGTGTCTAAAGGATAGACTTTGTTACATATATTACAATAGGGAAAAACACTTGAAAGTTCTTGTATCTTTTTTACAAGAAAGATTAGTACTATGATTTTCAAAAACAGTAATAGCATCAATAGTAAATATATCATTCTTGGGTTGTCTTTTGACAGGAACTTCCATGTGTGGAATGATGTGTGGATGGCACGTCCTGATCGCAAAGACCAGGATTATGGAGGCTGGCAAGCTTGTGATGCTACTCCACAGGAAGCCAGTGATGGTATCATAGAAATAGTAGATGAATCTTTAATGACTATGAGATACACTAGATATATCGTGGCTGGCAAGATGTATTTTGTTCATTACTTTTCGCAGGTCCAGATCCCTTTTTCTAAACAGCTTTGTCATATCTGTGTAGTGAGTTTCATTACAAAAATATGCCACTTTAGTGAGGTGATGTAAGATATTCTGCTCATAAGGAAACAATGTTTTACCCTGCATTAACTTTAAAACACACTCTTTTCATGTATTTATGTACTGAATATTCAAACAAAAGAATGTTTTAAGCTCAGGTGCCACCAAATGAAAGTTAAAGTGGCATGTGATAGACGATTAACCTGAAGAAATATAGTGTCCAATCCTGAAGTGATAATTTAACTGTGAATAGAGAAAGAAAACTCACCAGCTGGCCAGAAGGATACAAATATTTAGAAATTTTAGTTTAAAACCAAATCTCAAAGTAATTATAATCTTTATAAGCTTTAGTGTAAAACAGAAATCGTGTAATGAATGATTAACACCCTATTCTATTGATTCAGCCACTGGAACTTGTTACAGCCTAGGTGAAGTAATGGACCTACCTACTTTGGTCGGTTTTCAAGGTTTGAGAAGTTTTGGGGATTAGATCAATATCACCATCTCCCCCTGTCCATCGAAATCAGCCTACCACCCCCACCTTCCCACCCACCCACCAACCCCACCCCACCACCACTACCACAACAAAGACAACAACACAAAGTCCTGACTTTACTCTTTGGTTAAGTAGTAAAGTATGTTGGTCGTTAGATAATAAGTTGCTAGTTTGAGCCCTAATGGGGACAGAGGACATGTTACATTTCTCCTGCCTAATACAATTGGAAAGTGTAAGAAACATACAATAAGTAAACTGTATGAAGTTGAATGTCATATTGTGTACATACATGATGTATCTTCTGAGTTGGAACCAGAATGTCTAAGCAGAGGTCTATCTTGAATCAATCATTGACAGGACTTCTCTACATTATAGGACTGTACTGTTGTGGACCCTGCCCTCTTATGGCCATCAAGAATGGGGACATCACTATGAATTATGATGGAAGCTTCATTTTTTCGGAGGTGAATGCAGATGTCGTATATTGGCAGGTTGAAGAAGGAAAGCCATTGAAGAAGTTGAAAGTTAAGACCGAGAGGTGAGAAAGTCATGAGGTCAAGAACCAGAGGTGAGAAGGTCATGAGGTCATTACCCAGAGGTGAGAAAGTAATGAGGTCAATACTCAGAGGTGAGAAAGTCATGAGGTCAAGACCCAGAGGTGAGAAGGTCATGAGGTCAATACCCAGAGGTGAGAAGGTCATGAGGTCAATACCCAGAGGTGAGAAAGTCATGAGGTCAATACCCAGAGGTGAGGAGGTCATGAGGTCAATACCCAGTGGTGAGAAAGTCATGAGGTCAATACCCAGAGGTGAGAAGATCATGAGGTCAATACCCAGAGGTGAGAAGGTCATGAGGTCAATACCCAGAGGTGAGAAAGTAATGAGGTCAATACCCAGAGGTAATAAAGTAATGAGGTCAATACCCAGAGGTGAGAAAGTAATGAGGAAGCTTCATTTTTTCGGAGGTGAATGCAGATGTCGTATATTGGCAGGTTGAAGAAGGAAAGCCATTGAAGAAGTTGAAAGTTAAGACCGAGAGGTGAGAAAGTCATGAGGTCAGTACCCAGAGGTGAGAAAGTCAGGAGGTCAGTACCCAGAGGTGAGAAAGTCATGACTGTCAATACCCAGAGGTGTGAAAGTCATGAGGTCAATACCCAGAGGTGAGAAAGTCATGAGGTAATACCCAGAGGTGAGAAAGTCATGAGGTCAGTACCCAGAGGTGAGAAGGTCATGAGGTCAATACCCAGAGGTGAGAAAGTAATGAGGTCAATACCCAGAGGTAATAAAGTAATGAGGTCAATACCCAGAGGTGAGAAAGTAATGAGGTCAATACCCTGAGGTGAGAAAGTCATGAGGTCAGTACCCGGAGGTGAGAATGTCATGAGGTCAGTACCCAGAGGTGAGAAAGTCATGAGGTCAATACCCAGAGGTGAGAAAGTCATGAGGTCAATACCCAGAGGTGAGAAAGTCATGAGGTCAATACCCAGAGGTGAGAAAGTCATGAGGTCAATACCCAGAGGTGAGAAAGTAATGAGGTCAATACCCAGAGGTGAGAAGGTCATGAGGTCAATACCCAGAGGTGAGAAAGTCATGAGGTTAATACCCAGAGGTGAGAAAGTCATGAGGTCAATACCCAGAGGTGAGAAAGTCATGAGGTCAGTACCCAGAGGTGAGAAGGTCATTGGGGAAATGTTAAATTACTTTTTTTGATGTCTTACTGTATATAATCAATACAACATTAAACTGTTTTTTTAAATTCTATATTGATGTCTTACTACAAGGTAGTTGCCCCTCTCACAATGGTTTCTCTTGTTTTGGTAAATGTTTCAGTGTTGGCAAGTACATCAGCACATTCAAGCCTCAGTGTTTGGTTGAGAAAGATACTTTCTCATATGCAAACCTCTTGTCACCCTGTATTGACAAACGGTGGCAGGATATCACCTCAGAATACAAATATGATGAAGGTAAGACTGTCTGACAGACAGCAACAACATGAATCTTTATTGAGCCTCAGGTTTAGCTTTAGTTTATGTCTATAACTACTGTTGAACATAAGTAAATCTTCAGTTTACATAGGTATGTATCAAGCCCAATTGATCATGATATGCATGTTGCCCAACAATATATAATTTGATTGTCTATACATATATCCCTCTAAGCCTCTGATTTGTTATAATTAACCTAAGGTGTATAGTCATGATGCTTTACCAATGTTTTCCGTCCTTCTATCTGTAACTTCATTAACAAAAGACGAGTGTCTGTTTTATCAAAATATTGACATACAAATAATAATCGGCTAACCTATTTATAAAGATCCAGGTGTGAAAGCTTGGAGAAATCCTGAGAACAGTATTTGTGCAGGATTTCAACACCTGGTCCGGGTATCAGTTACAGTGTATTCTTTGGAGGACAGTTCTCGATATCTGATGTTTTGATTCATTCTCTGGACATGCTTTTGTACCTTATAGTATGAATGTTTGACATTACTCATTGTCTTGTTACCTGTAGGCTGGGGAGCCGAGAGAGCTGCTGTGATGATGGCCAATATGACTGGTACGAGGAAACGCTTGTATGACCAACCTGTGGAGGAGAGTCAGGTTAGAATATTGGATTTTCACTTGGTTCCTGTTTGTCTCTCAAAAAAATGTTTTCTGCTGTTTCCACAAAAACAAATTATCTACCGGTAGTTTCTTACTGAATTTGTTGGTCGCCAGATTAAACTATAAATGTTACATAGACTAATGGCTTGCCTTGATTTAATCCTAGGATGTTGTTGTGAAGGTAGTAGACAAGAAGCAGGTCAATTATGGAGATGACTTTGAAGTTGAGTTTGAATTTGAGAATAAATCCAAGGAGGATCGTACTGTGAGTGGGAACTGGAGTTTAGGAAGTTTCTTCTCAACTGGGGTATTCGCTTACAAGATCGTCAGTAAAAAACTACAAGTTAAGCTCAGCTCTGAAAAAAGTAGGTGTACCATGTTACTCTTAACTTGTGTTTCCGTCAATATTACATAGGTAGCATACTTCCTTAATTTTGGCAGTCTTCATTAAACACTGGTAGGATACATTATATATATGTTATGTTAATATCATATGTATGAAATAGAATTAACGTCTTTAAATCTCAAAGTCACATAAGCAACATACAAACATAAATCCTAAGTCACTGTATGACATAAGCAGTATACACCCTTAAGTCAATGTTCACAGTATCATACTGGCAGCATACATTCTTACGTCAATATTTCAAACAGGCAGTATTCACCATAAGTCAATGTGTCACACAGACAGCATACACCCTTAAATTAATTTGTCACATAGGCTGACTACATCTTTAATAGTCAAAACTTTGATAGTGACAGCATGGGCATCGGTGTGTTTTAGAACATTATATAGTAAATACTGTCTTAAATCATGTCTTAATTATGAAATGTTATTTAGAAATCCTGTTAAACCAGTCTTCTCTTTGTAACACAGAAGAAACTAAGAAAATGAAGATTACGTTTGGAGAATATGACCACAAGACCGTTGAAGGCTGTTACTTCAAAGCATCAATAGTATGTAGTATACAGGAGACTAAGCAGACAGCAATGGATGAGGACAATTTTCGACTCATCAAACCTGACCTCCAATTGAAGGTAGAAAGTTTGTGAAAGAGAAATATGATAAGAAATGATTATTCTTTTTTTATGTATAATTTCAAAAACAGACTGTTTTTTTCCCCCTGGTAGCATATTATTATGAGAAGATGTTCAATCTCAATCAAAGGCAAAAAAAAATAATTCAACTTTACCTGTGTATAAATACTGTACACAGGGAAACAAGATTTAAACATGTGTGACATTGTCTTGCAGTCACCAAGTGAGGTAAAGGTCGGATCAACTTTCAGAGTCGAGATATCATTTGACAATCCTCTCTCCAAGAACCTGACAGATTGTTGGTTGGAAATAGAGGGGCCAGGGCTACAGAACCCTTTGACCAATAGACAAAGGTGAGTGTCCCATGACCTTTGATAAAATAGGGACCAAGGCTACTGAACCAATTGACCATTACATAAAGGTGAGTGTCCCATGACCTTGGATAAATAGGGACCAAGATTGCAGAACCCCTGAGTGAGTGTCACATGACCTTGGATAAATAGGGACCAAGACTGCAGAACCTCTGAGTGAGTGTCACATGACCTTGGATGGTCATGGTAATAGAAACATGGGTTATATTGGGGTCAGAACAGAAGTTAAACACCATTGTGTAGATATGGAGAGGAGACAAAAAACAGATTGAGGCCTGCTAAATCTGCATTAACTCAGTTATTGCATGATTTTTCATCACTTGGGTCTTATTACAACCTCGCTATCACTCCGATGTAATAAATTCCCTTGTTACGTGGAAACCATTCAACGTTACCTGTAACTGTCTTATATGCTACCTGTGGCTGTCTTATATGTTACCTGTGACTGTCTTATGTGTTACCTGTGACTGTCTTATGTGTTACCTGTAACTGTCTTATATGTTACCTGTGATTGTCTTATGTGTTACCTGTGACTGTCTTATGTGTTACCTATGGATGTCTTATATGTTACCTGTAACTGTCTTATATGTTACCTGTAACTGACTTATATGTAAACCTGTTGCTGTAAAATATTTTACCTGTAACTGTCTTATATGTTACCTGTTGCTGTCTTTTATGTTACCTGTAACTGTCTTTTATGTTACCTGTAACTGACTTATATGTAAACCTGTTGCTGTAAAATATTTTACCTGTAACTGTCTTATATGTTACCTGTTGCTGTCTTATATGTTACCTGTTGCTGTCTTATATGTTACCTGTTGCTGTCTTTTATGTTACCTGTAACTGTCTTATATGTTACCTGTAACTGTCTTATATGTTACCTGTAACTGTCTTATATGTTATCTGTGACTGTCTTTTAAGTGACTTTTTATTGTACAGTAACTTAATTATAAGCCAGCTGAAGATGAGTTGGGAATGTTCATTTTTCAAATGTCCTAATCTGGATACAAAAAGCACAATGCAAAACATGTATACTAGTTGACAGACCTTTGGTTGAGCAAACAGAGGTAGACATCATAAGAAGTTTCAATCAGTTCATACTTCACACCTCTCACGATGGCAAAACCTGGGTAATATATCTCTGCATACTTTACACCTGTCACAATGGAAAAGGGGGCAGGGTCAATAACTTAGTAAAGATTTAGTCAATGCTACAGATGAAACGGTAAGTTTTAATTAAAATACATGTGATTAACATCTATGCCATTACCAATTTTTAATTTTCACACATTTTGCTCAATTAACAGCATATTTGTTTTAATTTCCTTGTCATGATAATGTAAAATGTCTTCTTTTTCTGGAAATACTTTAATCACTTTAGGGTGAAAATTCCTCTCGTATCGAAAACAGATTATTTTCCTGACTATATCTCACATGATCTAAATGTCAGCTTACTGTTGTTTTTCTTTATCCTCTAGGACATTTTGGGTAAAAATATCAATAAATATATCCATAGAATTTTTTGCTGATTATTAGGCAAAAAATTCACAAATCACCTTCATAGTAAAATAATTTTTGTGTCTAATATGATTTTCAATCCTCTGTTTGTGCGAGGTTAGAAGTATGTAGTATGTCAGTTATTACATGGTTTCTCATCACTTGGCACTTATGATGCCTTCACCACAGTGCTGGTGTAATAAATCCTTTAATACATAGACTTTTAGGAGTCACACTTCAGTGAACACACATATCTTGCTTACAGTCCTGTACAAGCCAAGCAGACCTACAACTTTGTCATGGACTTTACTGCTACCAAACCAGGCACCAGAACCATCATCGCTAACTTTGACTCCAAGGAGCTGGTGGACATATCTGGAAGCTGTGAAATAGAGGTCAAAGATGAATGAGTTGTAAAGGAAAGGAGTCAAAGATTTTCAACTGGTGACTGTTGATAGCAATCCTGGGAGAAAAACTTGTTTTTACCCTGTGAATATTATCGACAGCAATCGTAGGAGAAAAGTGTGTGTTTTATGTTGGCAATATAGACAGTGATCATTGGAGAAATGCACGTTTTGACCTTGTGAGGTCCCAGGACAATAATGTATCACCTGTGAAGTTGATCCCTGGTTTTGTGTCTAACTTCTGATACTCCAACAATGGTGGACTTAGTATAATTAGCTTGTGTTACTATTGCTTGCCTGAAATATTGCTGTGTATTGTTCACCATATCATTATATAATAAATTTATACTTTGCTTGACTTACAGAATCAGCAGAATTTAATTTTCTTGATACATTGCTTGACTTACAGAATCAGCAGAATTTAATTTTCTTGATACATTGCTTGACTTACAGAATCAGCAGAATTTAATTTTCTTGATACATTGCTTGACTTACAGAATCAGCAGAATTTAATTTTCTTGATACATTGCTTTGCATGTTTTACTTCACTGGATATTTCATGTTTTGAATCATAAATGATATTTGCTTTTTTGTTTTTGTTTGTGTTTTGTTATTTTTTTATTGTTGACAATGGTATAGCTTCTGATCAATTGATTAGCTTGACTTAAATGCTCCCCTATGGTAATATAAAGATAGAGACTAAGCAGAGTTGATCCCCTTCCTGTAAAAAAAGCCTTTTCACTACTTCTACTATTCTTGGGGTCTTCAAAATAGCTTCACAACAGACCTCGATAGTCATTAGAAACATTTGTCACATGTCATATATGTCATAACATGTGTTCTGTGTCCACTGTCCATCCAGACATCTGTCTGACCAGTAGATCTGATGTCATGGTATGTCTTTGGAGTCCAGTGTCAGTCCATACATCTGTCTGACAAGTAGATCTGATGTCATGGTATGTGTTCAGTGTCCACTGTCCATCCATACATCTGTCTGACCAGTAGATCTGATGTCTTGGTACGTGTTCAGTGTCCACTGTCCATCCATACATCTGTCTGACCAGTAGATCTGATGTCTTGGTGTGTCTTCAGAGTCCAGTGTCAGTTCATACATCTGCGTGATCAGAAGAGCTTACTTGTTCTGCATTGAATATAGTATCAGAAGAGAACTAGCATTATTCAGTAGTGATAGACCATACATGGTCCAAACTAAGATGTGAATCAGTGTCACATTCAGGATGTTTGCCATTTTGGTGTTATTGCTACTAATTCTCGTGAATGGCAAGTTTATGAAGATGTAAATATATATATTCATATATATGGTTCATAATTTCTCCTTACCTATAAATTAGGACCGAATATGTTACAATCAGGATTATCCCACCTACATCAACTAGTACAAAATGGTTATTCCTCGCCCACACAGCAGAGAAAGTCCTGTACAAAATTCATGAAATTGGCAGATTTGATGGAAGTTTGAACCAGTTTACACATTTCTGAATACAACATTTGAAATTTTGTCACCAGGTTTTAGTAAAACATTGATTTCACAAATTCCTCCACAATTAAATTGAGCAGTATGCAGTATGAGGAAAACTGCTGGGTTGGTTTATCTGGATTCTTCTTAAATGATTTTTTTTCAAGAGAGAGGTGGGGGGGGGGGGTGGCAACAGAGTTTATGCCATGGTGCATTGACTGGCATATGACCCCATTTTTCAATTCAAATGTCTTTTTCTAAACAACTTAGAGACCCAGGATCTTGGATCATGATATTGGACCAGTGACATGCTTTGATAAATGGCACCAAGTTCATTCTAAGGTCACAACAGTTAAATGTGTTAATATTTTATAATAATTCTCAATAATCAAAATGCAGAGACCACTGGTATCGGACCTGTAGCATACTGAAAGGATGGACTGTACAGTTTGTTCCACTGAATGACCTGAATCCACTTTCAAGGTCATAGGTCAAATGTGTAACCTTCATGTATAATCCTTTATTCATTCAAATTTTTGCTCTGGTTCTATCTTAATTGATTCTGATTAAGAATTTTGTTGACATATCAAAATTTTTGACAAAATGGAGTTTACTTAATAAGAGTATACCTCAGAACACGTACATTAAAATGAACTTACAAAACATTATACTAAAATTTTGAAAAACATGTCTCACCCAACAAAGTTCTAACTTCTGACTTGGAAAATGGCAAAGGAAGAAAAGTTCATATCAGGTTTTGTTGTTGGACAAACTCCAGATGATTTAATGAAATTCTAACCTGGAATATACCAGACTGCAATACAAACATGTCTTCATCAGTTTCAAGTTAACTTTGAATTTTCAAAACCTGTGGAAACAGTCTCAAGCTAAATTATGGTAATGTAATAATATGTAGATCATCATTTCTGTGTTATTATATTTGTTGTACAAATATAGAGGTCAAGGTTACACAGCGCTACAACAACAATCATTTATTAGTCAGTCTACATCTTAACATGTCGGGGGGAAAACACAGGTTTTCACAGTTTCACCCATTGTGAATAAGTGTATAAAAGATGCAAGAGCAAAAATCATGTTCACTGTAAATCTGAGGGGACTTACGCTGCAGGACCTGAAGATGTTGGAAAGTGCGCCAATTAGATAAAGGAGTATACGATTGTAATTGGGAAAGGGACTTAATCATGGTCAGATGGCCAAATCCAACTGGCCTAGAGGGGCAGAATTGTCAGAAGGGAAGGGGAGAAGGGAGTGAACTATTGCGTTTTAAAGCAAGGTCTTAACAGTCTGTTAGAGGAAGTACTATACTACATGCTCATGACCTAACATCTGTGGGCCATTTTGGACCAAAACCCTGGAGAGACTCAAATGTACAGTGATCCGGTATGGGATGACTGAAACAATACGAGACTTCTAGCAAGGTTTGCAATCATAACATATGACCATCCCGCAAAGAACCGAACATGCCATGCTGGTAATCCTACAGAAAGGATACATATGGACATCCTGAGTCCATTGCCTGTGTTACAGGAGGGGAATAAGTACATTCTCACACTAGTAGACTAATTAACTAAATCACTCAAGTGCTATCCCCTGCCATGTCAGAGTGCTTTTTCTTGAGGTTGGAATGTCCAATTGAAAAACATGCTGACTAGGGCGTTAATATGGAGGGAACTATGGTGGCTTAATCTGTGAGCTGCTGCAGATTTCAAAAACATTTCAAAAAAAGAGAGGTTTGCCATCTGCTATATATTTTCCTGGGTACTGTATCGTTGAACCAGGAACTCAAGGAGTTGGCTGAACATATGCACTTCTTCAGAATGCTTTAAAAGCTCATCAGACAGCTCATGAAAACCTGTCTGTGGTTCAGAACCAGCAGAAGTGCTTCTGTGATGAACATCTGAACCAAAGCTTTATGAAGAAGAGGATGTCGCCCTCAAAGTGGTTTCAGCAACCAAGGTGGCACAGAGCCCAAAGCTCAGTCACCCAGGGTGGGTCCATATGTGATTACCACTGTGAAGTTACCGGTTTTATATCAGACAACAGACAATAAAAAAGAGAAGTTCTAGTTCATCATGACTGCATGAAACCATGCAAGGATCCTGAATTCCCACTATGACCAAAGAGACATTAAAACCAAATACTTGGCCAGGTTGGTGAGGCTGAGTTGGTAGACAGCATGGACAGCAAGGACATGCAGTTATCCCAGCTGTTTGTAACAGACCAGAGACTTACATCAGAATCATGGATGGCTCTTCAAAGGCCAATGCTGAGAGTGAAATAGTTTGTGGATAGTCTGGAATCTCAGCAGGAGCTGCCTCAGAATCACAAGGATGGGCAGGCTACAAATTGAACTGATGTTAGATCCAGGGGAAGGCGGAGAAGGATGCCTTATTGCTTGGCCGACTAAGGTTAGATACTGGATGCTGAGTTACGTAGATCACAGAAATCCTTATTTGAAACTAAGAAAATAGGGAGAAATTTGGTGAAATAGGTCTGCCTTGCGATACGCCCCTGTAGCATGCTGAAGTTACGTTTGGTTGACTTGTCCTGTAAATACCGAGTTGCCCTGTGGCAGGTCTGTCACAACTTAATGCCAGCCAGTCTACAATTTAGCGTGTCAGTGAATACATGAGTTCTTTGCAAAGGTCAATGTCACAGGTAATCCACTAAGGAAAATCCTGTTCTTTGCTTAGCTACTGGTACAGTTATATACCTCAATGTGTTGTACATTTGTAAATTATTACTGGCAGACTGTGGTATAATTCTATATAGTCTGGATGGGCCCTTTAAAAAGGGTATTGAATAATAGTGGAAGCAATCAATAGAATTATCTATTACAATGGCAAGCTGGATATTGGAAACATTTAAAATGCTGTCTTATTTAAATGGCTTTGTCAGCTTGCTATTGGCTTTACATTAACTTGTAGTGTTGGATCACTGAAGAGACAGATTCATCAGACACTATTCATGAGACTGTTCAATGCTGTTCAATGTGCTGTACTTTTTTCACTTGAGTTGGTTTTGATAAAGTCATACTATTTATAGTGTTGAAACTTGTTGGTTCTGATATCGTGTCAACAATGTGCTATACATGTAGTCAGCTCATCACGGTTGGGTGACAGAGTCTGTGGAAAAAATACTCCTTAGTAACGGTAAAGTTTGGTGGAGATACTAATAAACATGGCCTATATCTAACTATTCTACCTGTCAGCATACCTGTGTAAAGATTTTTGTCTGCTACAACAATGGGTTGTGGGAGTTCTACAACAGCTACAGGTGGCTCATCCAACACTCCTGTTAACAGACCAGGACGGACAAAACCACCGATCACTTTTGTGGTTAACCAGGAAAAACAGGGAGGTAATGAGAATAGTTTTGTATTGCTATATTTACTTACCATGTACATACATATTTACATATACTGTGCAGGTAGACTAAGAAACACTGAGGTTTCCTGTTAGTAAGTTTGGCTGTAAATATATATGATCTACCTCTATCACTCAGCTGATGGTTAGACCAAAAATGTCTGTCTCTAAAATGATCATTTAGTATCAATGATAATATAGATATCGATAACATCATAATGAATGTGAATATTGACATTAAATTATTATTTTAGAAACAGAAATTTTCAGTCTACTGACAGGTCAGTGTGATTACTTGTACACAGTGTTAAATATGATTTCTGCCCTACAAATGTTAAGACCGCTTAGAAAGGCTTAGTCAAAGCTTAAGCTAGTCAAAATCAGATCAAAATGTCCTACTTTATTTCATAAAAAAACAATGCAACCCTGGTCAATTCCTGTCAAGTTGTTCATCAATAAAGATTGTCAAACTGTATACTTAGACCTGATATTGTTGTTTAGTAGTCAAGGAAACTGCTTGGAACTCTTCTGTGTAAGTGATAGGTTACCCTGAACACTCAGGGTAAAAATCATAGCAAAATAACCATGCAGGCAGAGACAGTGGAGGATTGTCACAAAGAGTCTATCCCTCTGTCCATCTGTCTGTCGGTCCATTAGTTTCCTATAGTCATATATACAGAATCCTTTGTGTATATCAATCTTTAGGCTTCATACTTACCCAAATTTCCTGCTACCGCTGAGAACAAAAAGCTGTATATAACACATCTTTGCTGCATCAGTGTCATTTTTTTAATTCAATAAAGTTGAAGACAACTTAAGAAAAAATATCTCATTCATTTCTGTGAGGCAAATTGGGTCCTTTTTTCATTATTGTACAAAAGAAACTACCAAGGATTGTGGAGGGGTTTTTGTGTGTTTTTTTCTAAACCTCAAATTAATCTATGACATAGTCAGTGTTACATATCCTTCTAAACGGTACTGACCAATTTCAACAATATGAAGATAGTTTTTCAGGTGACAAAAGAAAAAAATCAAAATCACATAAGCTTCAGTGTAGAATCAATCATCATTTGAACATCTTTTAAATCTGAATTGACCTTGTTGATAATAACTGTTATCAATGTTAAACTGAAATTGAGACAATCTTTCATTTATTGTTAGATTGTTCTGGGAATGAAAAGAGTACTAATGTTTTCTACAAAACTTTGAATTTTTCCTTAATACATTGCTTTTGATAAAGAAACCTTTGGTTTTGGAAAATGATCAATAAAGGACAAAAGACATAGCCAGTACAATTCTTTAATCAGATGAGTGTTGACCTGAATTAATGATCAACAATACATGTTCTACTAATGTCCAATAAAACTTAGTGTCATCATGGCTGTTCCAAAATTCATTAAAAGTAAAATCACACTCTAAGTCAGACATCAAACCACCTTGTCATATTGGAAGGCCTGTTTGTACAGTGTATTGTACATGTTTGCCATGTAAAACACTGTCTCCATAATAGTTTCTATTTAAATCTCTTGACTAGGATCGTAAAATTAACGACATCTACAGTGACTATTAAATTACCCCTATGAGGTATAACACATCCCCGTACACAGGTATACACAGTATAAATCACCCCTGACCCAAGAATCAAAATGTGTGTGTTGTCCCCAAGGGCTAATTTCAGGATAATTAGAGTATTCCAGTAGATAGGTAGTTCAGTGGTAACACACTTCACCATTAGATGCTAGGGATCTGATTCCCTGATCAGACATAAAAACAAGTATGGTGTATTTACCAACACAACTGTGTAGGTTTACCCTGGTTACTCGGGCCTCCTCCTCCCACTGCAGGCCCCTCACACTCACAACAGTAGTGATTATCATAATATGTATCTGTAGCAATTAATGCAAAATAGATGAAGTTTAGATTGAAATACAGTAGTCAACTGAAGGCTGCTGCGATCAAACAATCAATGACTATTGTAATAAATCATTGATACATCAATAAAGAGATCTCTACAATCCTTCCAGAACAATGTGTTCGATTGTTAGCGGTTCACTGGTTATATTTTTCTTCAATCAATACTCTGTTTACTTGAGAAGAATGTTGAAAGGTTGTGCACAACAAGCTCATTGTTTGCAATTTTTTAGGTACAAGAAAAACGTGAATATTACTGATACTGATTAATTGAAGGCATTGACCTACTACTACTAAATTACCCTTGTATGCTGCTGAAGGTCTCCTTTCCAGCAGCTATATACCCACACAACTCAACCTTCTTAACATTAAACCCCTCTCTCCCTCATCAAACTATCACCCTCTTCTCTCTGTCGCCCCTGCATCTCTCTTCTCTTTCATTCACCCCTGCATCCCTTTCTTCTCTCCCTCACCTGTGCATCCCTCTCCTCTCTGCCTCACACCTGCATCCTTCTCCTTGTTTACTCCCCCCTCATCCTTCTCCTTGTTTCCTCCCCTCTCATCCTTCTCCTTGCTTCCTCCCCCTCATCCTTCTCCTTGTTTCCTCCCCCCTCATCCTTCTCCTTGTTTCCTCCCCCCTCATCCTTCTCCTTGTTTCCTCCCCCTTAATCCTTCTCCTTGCTTCCTCACCTCTCCATCCCTCTCCCATCTCCCCCCCCGCCCCCCTTGAATCCCCTTCCCTCTCCTCCCCCCCAACCCGGCCTATATATACCTACAACTCCATTTAATAGGTGTTGTGTCCTCACAGTGCCTATATACACCTAAAACTTCATTAAATAGGTGTTGTGTCCTCCTCACAATGGCTATATATACCTACAACTGCATTAAATAGGTGTTGTGTCCTCCTCACAATGCTTACATACACCTACAACTCCATTAAATAGGTGTTGTTTCCTAACATTGTTTATATACAACTATAGCTCCATTAGATAGATGTTGTGTCCTCACAATGTCTATATATGTCGGTATATACTTAAAGCCACATTACATATGTGTTCTGTTCTTACAGTGTATATAAGTACCTACAACCCCATTATATATGTGTTGTCTATTTTATGTATTTATGTATCCCTATAGGGCCGGAGTCAGAAATTTCGTCACTGATTCAAGTGAAGACTGTGAGTTTCCTCATTGCTGAGAACTGCCCAGCACATCACACTGATGAGTATGATATCACTGAACATAAATCGCAGCCCAAACTGGTGGTCAGAAGGGGTCAGGCGTTCAAGATCCAAGTTGAGCTAGATCGTCCATATGATCAAGCAAAAGACAAATTATCTCTGGAGTTTGACATTGGTATGTTATATCTAGAATACTTCAATCAATGTAACTGCTATGGTCTGTTTTAATACAAAGTCTTAAGCATGATCATACACCTGTGTCACCCTGAATATAAAATAATTTTATCAGATATGTTTTTTTTATTACATACATAAAAAGTGGTTTTACTTATGTAATAAGTAATATTATACAGCAAATAAAGCGTATTCCATGGCAATCTTCAAAATGTAGGTCATGTACAAACACCTGATTTTTACACTTCTCAGTCAGTATCAAAGTATCAAAATTCACACTTTTGAGTAGACCTCATAAACCCTCAGAACAAGTTTGGTTTATATCAACATCATTTAAAAGGTGGAAGGTTTACTTTATTTTAAGGGTTTGAGGGATTGGTCTAGGTTAAGGGTTTGAGGGATTGGTCTAGGTTAAGGGTGTGAGGGATTGGTCTAGGTTAAGGGTTTGGGGGATTGGTCTAGGTTAAGGGTGTGAGGGATTGGTCTAGGTTAAGGGTTAGAGAGATTGATCTAGGTAAAGGGTTGGAGAGATGGGTCTAGGTTAAGGGTGTGAGGGATTGGTCTAGGCTAAGGGTTTGAGGGATTGGTCTAGGTTAAGGGTTTGGGGGATTGGTCTAGGTTAAGGATATGAGGGATTGGTCTAGGTTAAGGGTTAGAGAGATTGATCTAGGTTAAGGGTTTGAGGGATTGGTCTAGGTTAAGGGTTTGAGGGATTGGTCTAGGTTAAGGGTTTGAGGGATTGGTCTAGGTTAAGGGTTAGAGAGATTGATCTAGGTTAAGGGTTGGAGGAATTTGTCTAGGTTAAGGGTGTGAGGGATTGGTCTAGGTTAAGGGTTGGAGGGATTGGTCTAGGTTAAGGGTTTGAGGGATTGGTTTAGGTTTGGGGGATTGGTCTAGGTTAAGGGTGTGAGGGATTGGCCAAGGTTTGGAGGATTGGTCTAGGTTAAAGGTGTGAGGAATTGGTTTAGGTTTGGGGGATTGGTCTAGGTTAAGGGTGTGGGGGATTGGTCTAGGTTTGGGGGATTGGTCTAGGTTAAGAGTGTGAGGGATTGGTCTAGGTTAAGGGTGTGAGGGATTGGTCTAGGTTAAGGGTTTGGGGGATTGGTCTAGGTTAAGGGTGTGAGGGATTGGTCTAGGTTAAGGGTTAGAGAGATTGATCTAGGTAAAGGGTTGGAGAGATGGGTCTAGGTTAAGGGTGTGAGGGATTGGTCTAGGCTAAGGGTTTGAGGGATTGGTCTAGGTTAAGGGTTTGGGGGATTGGTCTAGGTTAAGGATATGAGGGATTGGTCTAGGTTAAGGGTTAGAGAGATTGATCTAGGTTAAGGGTTTGAGGGATTGGTCTAGGTTAAGGGTTTGAGGGATTGGTCTAGGTTAAGGGTTTGAGGGATTGGTCTAGGTTAAGGGTTAGAGAGATTGATCTAGGTTAAGGGTTGGAGGGATTAGTCTAGGTTAAGGGTGTGAGGGATTGGTCTAGGTTAAGGGTTGGAGGGATTGGTCTAGGTTAAGGGTTTGAGGGATTGGTTTAGGTTTGGGGGATTGGTCTAGGTTAAGGGTGTGAGGGATTGGCCAAGGTTTGGAGGATTGGTCTAGGTTAAAGGTGTGAGGAATTGGTTTAGGTTTGGGGGATTGGTCTAGGTTAAGGGTGTGGGGGATTGGTCTAGGTTTGGGGGATTGGTCTAGGTTAAGAGTGTGAGGGATTGGTCTAGGTTAAGGGTGTGAGGGATTGGTCTTGGTTAAGGGTTGGAGGGATTGGTCTTGGTTAAGGGTTGGAGGGATTGGTTTAGGTTAAGGGTTTGGCGGATTGGTCTAGGTTAAGGATGTGAGGGATTGGCCTAGGTTAAGGGTTGGAGGGATTGGTCTAGGTTAAGGGTGTGAGGTATTGGTCTAAGTTAAGGGTTTGATTGATTAGTCTAGGTTAAGGGTGTGAGGGATTGGTCTAGGTTAAGGATGTGAGGGATTGGTCTAGGTTAAGGGTTGGAGGGATTGGTCTAGGTTAAGGGTGTGAGGTATTGGTCTAAGTTAAGGGTTTGATTGATTAGTCTAGGTTAAGGGTGTGAGGGATTAGTCTAGGTTAAGGGTTTGGGGGATTGGTCGAGGTTAAGGATTTGAGGGATTGATCTAGGATAAGGGTTGGAGGGATTGGTCTAGGTTAAGGGTGTGAGGGATTGGTCTTGCTTAAGGGTTGGAGGGATTGGTCTAGCTTAAGGGTGTGAGGGATTGGTCTAGCTTAAGGTTGTGAGGGATTGGTCTAGGTTAAGAGTTTGGGGGGATGGTCTAGGTTAAGGATGTGAGGGATTGGTCTAGGTTTGGGGGATTGGTCAAAGTTAAGTGTTTGAGGGATTGGTCTAGGTTAAGGGTTTGAGGGATTGGTCTAGGTTAAGTGTGTGAGGGATTGGTCTAGGTTAACGGTTGGGGGATTGGTCTAGGTTAAGGGTTTGAGGGATTGGTCTAGGTTAAGGGTGTGAGGAATTGGTCTAGGTTAACGGTTGGGGGATTGGTCTAGGTTAAGGGTGTGAGGGATTTGTCTAGATTAAGGTTTTTAGGGATTGGTCTAGATTAAGGGTTTCAAGGATTGTTCAAGGTTAAGGGTGTGAGGGATTGGTTTAGGTTTGGGGGATTGGTCTAGGTTAAGGGTGTGAGGGATTGGCCAAGGTTTGGAGGATTGGTCTAGGTTAAAGGTGTGAGGAATTGGTTTAGGTTTGGGGGATTGGTCTAGGTTAAGGGTGTGGGGGATTGGTCTAGGTTTGGGGGATTGGTCTAGGTTAAGAGTGTGAGGGATTGGTCTAGGTTAAGGGTGTGAGGGATTGGTCTTGGTTAAGGGTTGGAGGGATTGGTCTAGGTTAAGGGTTTGGCGGATTGGTCTAGGTTAAGGATGTGAGGGATTGGCCTAGGTTAAGGGTTGGAGGGATTGGTTTAGGTTAAGGGTTTGGCGGATTGGTCTAGGTTAAGGATGTGAGGGATTGGCCAAGGTTAAGGGTTGGAGGGATTGGTCTAGGTTAAGGGTGTGAGGTATTGGTCTAAGTTAAGGGTTTGATTGATTAGTCTAGGTTAAGGGTGTGAGGGATTGGTCTAGGTTAAGGGTTTGGGGGATTGGTCGAGGTTAAGGATTTGAGGGATTGATCAAGTTTAAGGGTTTGATTGATTGGTCTAGGTTAAGGGTTGGAGGGATTGGTCTAGGTTAAGGGTGTGAGGGATTGGTCTTGCTTAAGGGTTGGAGGGATTGGTCTAGCTTAAGGGTGTGAGGGATTGGTCTAGCTTAAGGTTGTGAGGGATTGGTCTAGGTTAAGAGTTTGGGGGGATGGTCTAGGTTAAGGATGTGAGGGATTGGTCTAGGTTTGGGGGATTGGTCAAAGTTAAGGGTTTGAGGGATTGGTCTAGGTTAAGGGTTTGAGGGATTGGTCTAGGTTAAGTGTGTGAGGGATTGGTCTAGGTTAACGGTTGGGGGATTGGTCTAGGTTAAGGGTTTGAGGGATTGGTCTAGGTTTGGAGGATTGGTCTAGGTTAAGGGTGTGAGGAATTGGTCTAGGTTAACGGTTGGAGGATTGGTCTAGGTTAAGGGTGTGAGGAATTGGTCTAGGTTAACGGTTGGGGGATTGGTCTAGGTTAAGGGTGTGAGGGATTTGTCTAGATTAAGGTTTTTAGGGATTGGTCTAGATTAAGGGTTTCAAGGATTGTTCAAGGTTAAGGGTGTGAGGGATTGGTCTAGGTTTGGGGGATTGGTCTAGGTTAAGGGTGTGAGGGATTGGTCTAGGTTAAGGGTTTAAGGGAGTGGTCTAGGTTAATGTGTGTAAGGGATTGGTCTAGGTTAAGGGTTTGGGGGATTGGTCTAGGTTTGAGGGATTGGTCTAGGTTAAGGGTGTGAGGAATTGGTCTAGGTTAACAGTTGGGGGATTGGTCTAGGTTAAGGGTTTGAGGGATTGGTCTAGGTTAAGGGTGTGAGAGATTGGTCTAGGTTAAGGGTGTGAGGGATTGGTCTAGGTTAAGGGTTTGGGAGATTGTTCTAGGTTAAGGGTTAGAGAGATTGATCTAGGATAAGGGTTTGAGGGATTGGTCGAGGTTAAGAGTTAGAGAGATTGATCTAGGATAAGGGTTGGAGGGATTGCTCTAGGTTAAGGAATTGGAGGATTGGTCTAGGTTAAGGGTTTGGAGGATTGGTCTAGGTTAAGGGTGTGAAGGATTGGTCTAGGTTAAAGGTTAGAGAGATTGATCTAGGATAAGGGTTTGAGGGATTGGTCTAGGTTAAGGGTTAGAGAGATATGTCGTGGTTAGGAGTTAGAGAGATTGATCTAGGATAAGGGTTGGAGGGATTGCTCTAGGTTAAGGAATTGGAGGATTGGTCTAGGTTAAGGGTTTGGAGGATTGGTCTAGGTTAAGGGTGTGAAGGATTGGTCTAGGTTAAGGGTTAGAGAGATTGATCTAGGATAAGGGTTTGAGGGATTGGTCTAGGTTAAGGGTTTGGGGGATTGTTCTAGGTTAAGGGTTAGAGGGATCTGTTTAGGTTAAAGATACAAGAAACTTTTATTCAATGTCAAACAAAGAAAAATGTTTGTGCTGTAGCGCTATTTTTGCAACAAACATGAAAAAAAGGGACAAAACCCAAATGCAAAAGAAAACATGTATATATGTATATATAGGATTGGTTTGGTATAAAGGGATTGAAGGATTGGTTTGGCCTTAGGGTTGGAAGGATTGGTTTGGTATAAAGGGTTGGAAGGATTGGTTTGGCAAAGGATTGGTTTGTTAGAGGAAGGATTGGTTTGGTATAAAGGGTTGGAAGGATTGGTTTGGGATACAGGGTTGGAAGGATTGGTTTGGTATAAAGGGTTGGAAGGATTGGTTAGGGGATATAGGGTTTGGAGGATTGGTTTGGTATAAAGGGTTGGAAGGATTGGTTTGGCCTTAAGGGTTGGAGAATTGGTTTGGGATAAAGGGATGGAAGGATTGGTTTGGCCTTAGGGTTGGAAAAATGTTTGTGCTGTAGGATTGGTTTGGTATAAAGGGTTGGAAGGATTGGTTTGGTATAAAGGGATGGAAGGATTGGTTTGGGCTAAAGGGATGGAAGGATTGGTTTGGGATAAAGGGATGGAAGGATTGGTTTGGTATAAAGGGTTGGAAGGATTGGTTTGGCCTAAGGATTAGAAGGATTGGTTTGGTATAAAGGGATGGAAGGATTGGTTTGGTATAAAGGGTTGGAAGGATTGGTTTGGGATAAAGGGTTGGAAGGATTGGTTTGGTATAAAGGGTTGGAAGGATTGGTTTGGCCTTAGGGTTGGAAGAATTGGTTTGGGATAAAGGGATGGAAGGATTGGTTTGGCCTTAGGGTTGGAAGGATTGGTTTGGTATAAAGGGTTGGAAGGATTGGTTTGGTATAAAGGGTTGGAAGGATTGGTTTGGTATAAAGGGTTGGAAGGATTGGTTTGGTATAAAGGGTTGGAAGGATTGGTTTGGCCTTAGGGTTGGAAGAATTGGTTTGGGATAAAGGGTAGGAAGGATTGGTTTGGTATAAAGGGTTGGAAGGATTGGTTTGGCCTTAGGGTTGGAAGGATTGGTTTGGTATAAAGGGTTGGAAGGATTGGTTTGGATAAAGGGATGGAAGGATTGGTTTGGTATAAAGGGTTGGAAGGATTGGTTTGGCCTAAGGATTAGAAGGATTGGTTTGGTATAAAGGGATGGAAGGATTGGTTTGGTATAAAGGGTTGGAAGGATTGGTTTGGCCTAAAGGGTTGGAAGGATTGGTTTGGTATAAAGGGTTGGAAGGATTGGTTTGGTATAAAGGGTTGGAAGGTTTGGTTTAGTATAAAGGGTTGGAAGGATTGGTTTGGTATAAAGGGATGGAAGGATTGGTTTGGTATGAAGGGATGGAAGAATTGGTTTGGCCTTAGGGTTGGAAGGATTGGTTTGGTATAAAGGGTTGGAAGGATTGGTTTGGTATAAAGGGTTGGAAGAATTGGTTTGGCCTTAGGGTTGGAAGGATTGGTTTGGTATAAAGGGTTGGAAGAATTGGTTTGGTATAAAGGGTTGGAAGGATTGGTTTGGTATAAAGGGTTGGAAGAATTGGTTTGGCCTTAGGGTTGGAAGGATTGGTTTGGTATAAAGGGTTGGAAGAATTGGTTTGGCCTTAGGGTTGGAAGGATTGGTTTGGTATAAAGGGTTGGAAGGATTGGTTTGGTATAAAGGGTTGGAAGGATTGGTTTGGTATAAAGGGTTGGAAGAATTGGTTTGGCCTTAGGGTTGGAAGGATTGGTTTGGTATAAAGGGTTGGAAGAATTGGTTTGGGCTAAAGGGTTGGAAGGATTGGTTTGGTATAAAGGGTTGGAAGGATTGGTTTGGCCTAAGGATTAGAAGGATTGGTTTTGGATAAAGGGTTGGAAGGATTGGTTTGGCCTTAGGGTAGGAAGGATTGGTTTTGGATAAAGGGATTTGGTTTGGTATAAAGGGTTGAAAGGATTGGTTTGGGCTAAAGGGATTGAAGGATTGGTTTGGTATAAAGGGTTGGAAGGATTGGTTTGGCCTTAGGGTTGGAAGAATTGGTTTGGGATAAAGGGTAGGAAGGATTGGTTTGGTATAAAGGGTTGGAAGGTTTGGTTTAGTATAAAGGGTTGGAAGGATTGGTTTGGTATAAAGGGATGGAAGGATTGGTTTGGTATGAAGGGATGGAAGAATTGGTTTGGCCTTAGGGTTGGAAGGATTGGTTTGGTATAAAGGGTTGGAAGGATTGGTTTGGTATAAAGGGATGGAAGGATTGGTTTGGCCTTAGGGTTGGAAGAATTGGTTTGGGATAAAGGGTAGGAAGGATTGGTTTGGTATAAAGGGTTGGAAGGTTTGGTTTAGTATAAAGGGTTGGAAGGATTGGTTTGGTATAAAGGGATGGAAGGATTGGTTTGGTATGAAGGGATGGAAGAATTGGTTTGGCCTTAGGGTTGGAAGGATTGGTTTGGTATAAAGGGTTGGAAGGATTGGTTTGGTATAAAGGGTTGGAAGAATTGGTTTGGCCTTAGGGTTGGAAGGATTGGTTTGGTATAAAGGGTTGGAAGAATTGGTTTGGTATAAAGGGTTGGAAGGATTGGTTTGGTATAAAGGGTTGGAAGAATTGGTTTGGCCTTAGGGTTGGAAGGATTGGTTTGGTATAAAGGGTTGGAAGAATTGGTTTGGCCTTAGGGTTGGAAGGATTGGTTTGGTACAAAGGGTTGGAAGGATTGGTTTGGTATAAAGGGTTGGAAGGATTGGTTTGGTATAAAGGGTTGGAAGAATTGGTTTGGCCTTAGGGTTGGAAGGATTGGTTTGGTATAAAGGGTTGGAAGAATTGGTTTGGGCTAAAGGGTTGGAAGGATTGGTTTGGTATAAAGGGTTGGAAGGATTGGTTTGGCCTAAGGATTAGAAGGATTGGTTTTGGATAAAGGGTTGGAAGGATTGGTTTGGCCTTAGGGTCGGAAGGATTGGTTTTGGATAAAGGGATGGAAGGATTGGTTTGGTATAAAGGGTTGAAAGGATTGGTTTGGGCTAAAGGGATTGAAGGATTGGTTTGGTATAAAGGGTTGGAAGGATTGGTTTGGTATAAAGGGATGGAAGGATTGGTTTGGTATAAAGGGTTGGAAGGATTGGTTTGGTATAAAGGGTTGGAAGGATTGGTTTGGTATAAAGGGTTGGAAGAATTGGTTTGGGCTAAAGGGTTGGAAGGATTGGTTTGGTATAAAGGGTTGGAAGGATTGGTTTGGTATAAAGGGATGGAAGGATTGGTTTGGTATAAAGGGTTGGAAGGATTGGTTTGGTATAAAGGGATGGAAGGATTGGTTTGGCCTTAGGGTTGGAAGGATTGGTTTGGTATAAAGGGTTGGAAGGATTGGTTTGGTATAAAGGGATGGAAGGATTGGTTTGGTATAAAGGGTTGGAAGGATTGGTTTGGTATAAAGGGTTGGAAGGATTGGTTTGGCCTTAGGATTAGAAGGATTGGTTTTGGATAAAGGGATGGAAGGATTGGTTTGGTATAAAGGGATGGAAGGATTGGTTTGGTATAAAGGGATGGAAGGATTGGTTTGGTATAAAGGGATGGAAGGATTGGTTTGGGATAAAGGGTTGGAAGGATTGGTTTGGCCTAAGGATTGGAAGGATTGGTTTTGGATAAAGGGATGGAAGGATTGGTTTGGTATAAAGGGATGGAAGGATTGGTTTGGTATAAAGGGATTGAAGGATTGGTTTGGTATAAAGGGTTGGAAGGATTGGTTTGGGATAAAGGGTTGGAAGGATTGGTTTGGTATAAAGGGTTGTAAGGATTGGTTTGGGATAAAGGGTTGGAAGGATTGGTTTGGGCTAAAGGGATGAAAGGATTGGTTTGGTATAAAGGGTTGGAAGGATTGGTTTGGGATAAAGGGTTGGAAGGATTGGTTTGGTATAAAGGGATGGAAGGATTGGTTTGGGATAAAGGGATGGAAGGATTACTTTGGGATAAAGGGTTGGAAGAGTTTAAAATCATTCATATTGAATCTTTTCAGCAACATGTTTGACATGAATGTCTCTAGGAATCAAGCATTCTTAAACACTAAGAACATGATTGTTACAATAAAGTGTGATGCAACAATGTTCATTTTACTGTATTTATCCAGTGATAATCCCATTTCTGGTAATAAGCCCACCAAAATCTTTCAAGAAAGAGTATAGGTCACTTTACTAGTGGTCAAGCGGTAGTGTCTGCCTTGAGAATGAAATTAAGGTTGCTAGTTCTAACCCTGTTGTAAAGTGTCTAAAGGGTTCAAGGTCACTAGTTCAAGCCATTTAGTCATGTGATAGTGTATGAATATCAAGCAAAATATCACTAGTTTGAACCCATAAGACAACTAGTAGAGTGTCTAGAGAAGAGGCAGGTTAGATTTTTCATTAATCCTTTGTATCATTTGTGGTAATTAACCCATCCCTGACCTCAATTAGAAGGGAATAGATGTGTTTTGACTCCTGGGTTTATTTGAGGGAACAGATGAAAACTGTGATATGCAAACAGTATGAAAATAAAAGAAATTATCATTCATAACCTTCTGGCATAAAAGAAAAAAATCATATTTGGATATTTGTATAGAAATATATTGAATTATTAATTAAAAAACTAAGACTAAATTTGGAGTTGTTTCCCCTTTATTAGAATAGGTCTAAGAAAATTAGGAAACGTATATTTGTGAATATTTGTGTGGGGAGAAGACTGTGTTTCAGCCTGAAGTCTTATCTATTTGATATTTTATATTGATTATTATTATAAAATGTTTAAAATGACAGGTTTGATATATCAGCTTATTTGTTAAAATATTACAAATTCTTGTAGCTGTCCACACATGGATACAAAGACATGTATAATTAATCTCTCCATAGGAAGTCACCCCACTCAGACCAACGGTACTTTCATCAAGGTGGACTTGGATGGAAAGGAAGAGAAGAATCAGTGGAATGCTAAAATACATAATTCAAAGGAGACAACACTGATCATCAGTGTACTGCCCCCTCCAACTTGTATCATCGGACGCTGGGGCATCCACATCAGGGTCTCCAACAAGAACAGCAAAGATGAAAAAACACCATATGCATACAAGATCTACACCCATGAACACAGGATCTATATCTTATTCAACCCCTGGTGTAAAGGTAAGTATTTCAGTAAATCTGGTGTAACATACTCTCAGCTAATCGTTCTGCCATATGGATGGAATGAAATTAAGGGAAGTAATTCTAGTAGATCAAAATGCTGAAACATAGCTAGAGATAAATATATTTGATCTTAAAGCTCATTTAACTTATGCAAAACATGAATATTTAATCACATACAGACACCATAAGATATCTACATAGAGTACAGATGATTTTACAAGGCAGAAGTAAAGTTAGCAAGCATTACCAAGAAAGCATCTAATACAAATTCTTTATACACTGAATCTATATATATAACTTAAAACAACTAATGACTTTCAGACCAATATAAGGACAAAAGAATATAAATATACAAAACCAGCACTTTAAAATATTATAAATCTGATCTAGCTCTTCCATTAAATCTATGGCTGTCAAATGGGAATTTTATTTATTCATATTTGAAAATTTTCCCTAACCACAGCTGGTTAATTCCAAGCAACCTTTGAAAAAACTATGGCATGATACCAATGCATGCTGAGAGTTTGTTAGTGGGTGACATCTCTCACAGAAACAATCATATTGGAATCAAGCCCTGTGAAACTATATGTGGTGTGTAAATAGTACAAGTGAGGCAGTAATGTTACTGTCAGGAAAGGGCAAATTCACAAGGATCATTTTTATCATAATTCAGTCTTCTTGAATGCTATCTCACACGGCAAGAATAAGGTATGGCTAAATGTTGAAAACGGGATGCAAAACGACATTCAGAAAAAACACTAAACTTGTTTGGATTTGATTTGGTGTTAAGTCCACACAGACTTTCAATTAATCCATAATTGACAGCTTGATTTTAAACCTTAGTTACAATATGTCTTGCCACACATTTCATCTAGGTTGCACTAGCAAATTGTTACTGAAAAGTTATTGGGCATACATTGGTGAAAAACACAGTGGACAAGGAGTGTTAAGCTTAATGTATTGTAATGGCAGCAAAGAATTACATAAAATAATGGTCCTTAATCCTTGTGTCCAGTATATAATGACATTTTCCTCATTTGGCCACATTTTAGAGAGGTACTCACCTCTTTCTGTGAAGCAAAAAACAATTATCACTACACCATCAAGTTCACCTTTGAGAAGCAGTCATTAAGCACAAATGGAGACTATGTTAGGATATTTCATATTAAAAAAAATAGTTGTACATTATATATATATATCTATAACTTCATACATATTCATTACAATGTTTCTTGGATAAAACTAGAGTTATCTTTCTTTAATAGATGCCCATTGTTGTGACATCATAGAACAACAATGCAATATGTTTGTTCTGAAGAAGCCAAATGTCGAGCAAAACAGGTCGACCAATAAATAAATTGATTGTCCCAGCCACTTTATCTATTGTGATTGAATTCTACTTACTTAACTTTTATTATATTGACACAACCACCTTGAAGAGAATGTTCTGAGATATGGTTCAGGATATGTGTTTGTTAAAGATGTATGGATGTTTTTGTAGAGGACACTGTTTACCTTGATGATGAGGGACTTAAGACGGAGTATGTGCTCAATGACTCTGGCAAAATCTACTTTGGAAGTAAATATAGGATCAGACCCCGTGCTTGGAACTTTGGACAGGTAAGTCAGATTCTGTATTTGGAACTTTGGACAGGTAAGTCAGATTCTATCCTGGAACTTTGGACAGGTAGGTCATATTCTGTACATGGAACTTTGGACAGGTAGGTCAGATTCTGTATTTGGGACTTTGGACAGGTAGGTCAGATTTTGTACATGGAACTTGGGACAGGTATGTCAGATTCTGTACATGGAACTTTGGACAGGTAGGTCAGATTTTGTACATGGAACTTTGGACAGGTAGGTCAGATTCTGTATTTGGAACTTTGGACAGGTAGGTCAGATTTTGTACATGGAACTTTGGACAGGTAGGTCAGATTCTGTACATGGAATTTTGGACAGGTAGGTCAGATTCTGTATCTGAAACTTTTGACAGGTAGGTCAGATTCTTTTCATGGAACTTTGAACAGGTAGGTCAGATTCTGTACATGGAACTTCGGACAAGTAGGTCAGATTCTGTACATGGAACTTTGAACAGGTAAGTCAGATCCTATACCTGGAACTTTGAACAGGTAGGTCAAATTCTGTACCTGAAACTTTGGATAGGTAGGTCAGATCCTATACCTGGAACTTTGGACAGGTAGGTCAGATTCTGTACATGGAACTTTGGACAGTTAGGTTAGATTTTGTACCTGGAGATTCGAACAGGTAGGTCAGATTCTGTACCTGGAACTTTGAACAGGTAGGTCAGATCCTATACCTGGAACTTTGGACAGGTAGGTCAGATCCTATACCTGGAACTTTGGACAGGTAGGTCAGATCCTATACTTGGAACTTTGGACAGGTAGGTCAGATCCTATACCTGGAACTTTGGACAACATTTAAGTAATTGACTGGATCCTTTACCTTAAACTTAGCAGTCAGGTAGATCAGATTGAGAACCTGGAACAGCTATATTAGAGCCTGTAATTTGAAACTTTAGACTGGTACACCTGTAAGTCAGACCTCATACCTCAGGCTTTGATCAGGTAGGCCACATCCTTTACCTGGATTTTTGGACTGGATGGGAGCACCTTAAGGTGCTTTACTGAAATTATGAATTTCATGACCCACTGGGGAGGGGGTAAATTTACTATAGTTTACATAGGAAAAGCAAATTTAATGTAATTTGTTGAATTTCCATTGGAAATATTTCAAACTTGGTTAGAGTTATGAGTTAAGGATGATAGCTTGATGGTCAAATTAACTAAAATTCAAAAATCATCTTCTCAACACCCAGATATGGTAGAATCAATTGCTCTTTGTGATTGGAAAGGTCTTAATTAGTGCTTTACCATAATTGCGAATTTCATGACCAACAATTTCACATTTCTCCATGGGGAGAAGTTTATAATTTTTATAGAAACTTGTATTTTTGAGCACAACATTGTTTATTTTCCATTGGAAATAACTTGGTAAGAATTATAACTATAGGATGACCGTGTTGATGGTATGCATGTATTGACACTGGCTTACTATCACCAATGTCACAATTTCTTTTACATGACACTTTAAAGCTACTAACCCTTAACCTTTACGTTCAATATTACTTATCTCCGGTGACAATCAAACCTCTTGTTTTATAAAGTGCGAGGCTAGACTGTATTCTTGATGCCATCTTTTAAGATATCCTGAAAATAGATGATAGCTGATTCCAGGAATGAAGGACATGCACATGATGCCTATAGTCCTTTGAACTTGTGATACACAAACAAGACCATATGGTATGGTAAATTCATACAACACTCTATGCAAATTAATGTATTATAGAATGCAGTGTTCAGAAAAATGTCCAAGTTGACAATCTACAATGATTTGGTGTCAATGTAATGTTGTAGTTTGATGGTGATGTCCTTGACTGTGTTCTTGACATACTCGAAGACAGCACACTCGATGTGGCAGCCAGAAACGACTCCATACTGGTGGTACGGAAACTGAGTGCACTGGTAAGTCTTAAGATGAACATTGTACATTTCTCAAGTGCAATGTGTGATAAACAATGTATGATGTACATTGTCTAATTTACAATGTATGATGTACAATGTATGATGTACATTGTCAATAATTTACAATATGTGATGTACAATGTATGATGTACATTGTCTAATTTACAATGTGTGATGTACATTGTATGATGTACATTGTCTAATTTACAATGTGTGATGTACAATGTATGATGTACATTGTTTAATTTACAATGTGTGATGTACAATGTATGATGTACATTGTCTAATTTACAATGTGTGATTTACAATGTATGATGTACATTGTCAATAATTTACAATGTGTGATGTACATTGTATGATGTACATTGTCTAATTTACAATGTGTGATTTACAATGTATGATGTACATTGTCTAATTTACAATGTGTGATGTACAATGTATGATGTACATTGTCAATAATTTACAATGTGTGATGTACAATGTATGATGTACATTGTCTAATTTACAATGTGTGATGTACAATGTATGATGTACATTGTCTAATTTACAATGTGTGATGTACATTGTATGAGATACAATGTGTGATGTACAATAATTGATGTAGAATTGTGATGTACAACATGTTATATAATCTCTTTACAGACCACTGATTAAGGTTCTGCCCTTACTATTCCTAATGATTAAACCTCTTTATAATGAACACATACATGTAATGGTCCCTTTTCCATGCTCCATCAGTATCCTTTAAAGACAGTTTTAACAGTACATCTCCACCACCTCAGAGGTCTATAGTTGTGATGTGCTGTGTCAGTGACTTTGTTTCTGATTTACAGGTTAATAACATTGGTGACAATGGCATTCTTGTTGGCAACTGGTCTGGGAACTATAAAAATGGGACTTCCCCAGTAGTCTGGTGTGGCAGTGTGGCCATATTTGAAGAATACTACAAAACCAAGAAACCAGTCAAGTATGGCCAGTGCTGGGTCTTCTCAGGTGTGATGACCACAGGTAAGTCATCAGCTTAAACTTAAGTACAAACAAGAGTTAAAATATTAACTACATCTCAACTGTAGACCATGATAATGAATACATGTAATTATCAAGAAACAAGGCTGGAATACAGAATGAGGACTGGGGTGTAGATTTGGATTGGTAATCTAACCAACTAAATTATAAAAAATAATAGGCAATTTCAATTGGACGTTCTAAATTGACAATATGGATTTAACTTTCAATATTTTTCCCATCTTTTTTCACAAACAACAATTAGCTGGGTCTGTGCGTCCCATGACATCACTTCTCATTAGCTAAGTATCTTAACCAATACCTGCTTTCAGAAGTCAAACAAGTCTATCTTCTCACAGTGTCATATTTGTGTTGCCGCCTTTCTTCAGGTACTGAACTTTCAATCAGAGCAGGACAGGTCATGAGTTCATGCACACATACAAGTATATATGCATGATGATATCAGTTTCTCAAAAGCATCAAAGGAAAACTGTACTATTCAGGAACCTAAGTTTGATTGTCTTTTTGAAGCCAGGTGTAATGTAACAGTTGGAAAAATGTGGCCACCATAGTAGCATCCACTGGTCAAATTACCCTGTGGCCAAGTGGTTTAGCATTCATCTGAAGAGTAATGTAGAAGATAAGAGTGCAGGCCATTTGGCTCCAATGGTCAGAATCATCACACTAGCTTCCACTGGTTTAATTTCACCTTGCCAGCTTCCACTGATCAAATTTCATCTTGCTAGCTTCCACTGATCAAATTTTACATTGCTAGCTTCCACTGGCCTAAATTTACATTGCTAACTTCCAGTTGTTTAAATTTCACCTTGCTAGCTTCCACTGGTCAAGTTTAACCTTGCTAACTTCCACTGATCTAATTTTACATTGCTAGCTTTCACTGGTCAAGTTTAGCCTTGCTAGCTTTCACTGGTCAAATTTCACTTTGCTAACTTTCACTTACTAGACTCTACTGGTCAGCTTACATCACACTAGTCATGCAGTAGTCGAATTTCACCTTATAAGCTTTTACTGGTCATGTTTTCCTTTTTTAACATCAATTTTCTTTCATTAAACTTGTGTTGATTTATCAAACTCTCCTTACTCGCCTTGAGTTTTAAATTTTAATCTCACAGCTGGTAACTTTACAAATTTCACCTCACTATCCATTGACTGTTCTTTTACCTCACATGTGTTGATATGTCAATTTTCATCTCACTAGGCTAAACTGGTCAAATTTCACTCCATTTGCATCAACTGATAAATTTTCCATTTTGCTAAGTGGTAGGACATCAGTTCAGAAGTGAAAGCATTGCTAGTTTCAAGCCCCAATGGCAGAGGAGAAATCTCACCACCCATCCAGCTCTGGTTGTCTTTAGGGTCAAGGACTCTGAGAGAAAGGAGATGGTGTAAACTCTCAGAATAAATGTTGTTTAAATAGTCTTGTCTGGTGTGACTGGAGCTGTTGATATATCCCATTCCTTTTCTAAAATATATCTCTTTGTCCTTGACTTGAAGCTAGAAAACATTACACTGTGTGATAAAAGCATTGTTAATATTTTTTTTATTTTTAGCTTGCCGTACTCTGGGTATTCCAACAAGGAGTGTGACAAACTTTGCATCAGCCCATGACACAGATGCTAGTATCACAATAGACAAACACTACGACATCAATCACAAACCAATCAAGAAACACAACAAGGATTCTGTCTGGTAACTATTTGTAAATTAGGGTTTTGTGCGGTTACTATCTATAAACAAGGGTTCTGTTTAGTAACCCTCCATATACAAGGATTCTGTGTGGTTACTATCAATAAACACAGGTTCTGTTTAATAACCCTCCATATACAAAGATTCTGTGTGGTTACTATCTATAAACAAGGATTCTGTGTGGTAACTATCTATAAACAAAGGTTCTGTTTAGAAACCCTCCATATACAAGGATTCTGTGTGGTTACTATCTATAAACAAGGATTCTGTGTGGTTACTATCTATAAACACAGGTTCTGTTTAGTAACCCTTCATATACAAGGATTCTGTGTGGTAACTATCTATAAACACAGGTTCTGTTTAGTAACCCTCCATATACAAGGATTCTGTGTGGTAACTATCTATAAACATGGCTTCTGTTTAGTAACCCTCCATATACAAGGATTCTGTATGGTTACTATCTATAAAAAAGGATTCTGTTTGGTAACCCTCCATATACAAGGATTCTGTGTGGTTACTATCTATAAACAAGGATTCTGTGTGGTAACTATCTATAAACATGGCTTCTGTTTAGTAACCCTCCATATACAAGGATTCTGTATGGTTACTACCTATAAAAAAGGGTTCTGTTTGGTAACCCTCCATATACAAGGATTCTGTGTGGTTACTACCTATAAACAAGGGATTAGTCCAGTTACCTCTTGAAACCTTGTGTTCTGTCCGGTAATCATCTATAAAAAAAAGAATGGTTAATCATGAATGCCTCAAAAGATTTCATTTTTATTCATGCTTCAATATCCCACCAATCTATTCTATGCCCTGATTAGATTTTGGTGGTCATTTGTCAAGATTAAAGGTCAAAGATCACTCTTGAACTGATATGAAAAGAAGGGCTTGTGTAAAAGACATCTCACTGTATCTGCATAATGCCATCACCTGTGTGACACTATGACCTTTGTGTCCTGTATTAATTGGTGTATGTCTGAATTCCATCACCTGAGTGTGTAACCCTATGACCGCTGTGCCAGTATTAATTGTTTTGTTTTCATTCAGGAATTTCCACGTTTGGAATGATGTTTGGATGAGTCGCCCAGACTTAGATGGTGACAATGGTGGCTGGCAGGCCACTGATGCTACACCACAGGAAACAAGTGATGGTAATTATTAAAGTCTCAAGGTAACCAGTAATAATGACAAAGTCTCCACCAATACCTAGTGATATCCATAAGTCTTTAGGTAAACAGCCATGACATCCTCCAGCTAACCTCTCTCCTGGTAACCAATGATGATACCCCTCTCTTGGTAACCAATGATGATACCCCTCTCCTGGTAACCAATGATGATACCCCTCTCTTGGTAACCAATGATGATACCCCTCTCTTGGTAACCAATGATGATACCCCTCTCCTGGTAACCAATGCTGATACCCCTCTCTTGGTAACCAATGATGATACCCCTCTCCTGGTAACCAATGATGATACCCCTCTCCTGGTAACCAATGATGATACCCCTCTCCTGGTAACCAATGATGATACCCCTCTCTTGGTAACCAATGATGATACCCCTCTCCTGGTAATCAATGATGATACCCCTCTCCTGGTAACCAATGATGATACCCCTCTCCTGGTAACCAATGATGATACCCCTCTCCTGGTAACCAATGATGATACCCCTCTCCTGGTAACCAATGATGATACCCTTCTCCTGGTAACCAATGATGATACCCCTCTCCTGGTAACCAATGATGATACCCCTCTCCTGGTAACCAATGATGATACCCCTCTCCTGGTAACCAATGATGATACCCCTCTCCTGGTAACCAATAATGATACCCTTTTACTAAGGGCAATACCTCTCACCTGGTAAATAAGGGCAATACCTACCAGTGGTTACTAAGGGCAATACCTCTCACCTGGTAAATAAGGGCAATACCTACCACTGGTTACTAAGGGCAATACCTCTCACCTGGTAAATAAGGGCAATACCTACCACTGGTTACTAAGGGCAATACCTCTCACCTGATAAATAAGGAGGAAACCTCTCTCCTGGTTTTCAAGGATGATACCTGTTTTCTGGTTACTAAGGATGGTACCTCTCATTAGAAGACCACAAATGATTACTAACAATGTGAAAGTGGAATTATTATAAAGATGATAATATCAGTATTATATTCTGATTTGATGTCATTCTCAGGTGTTTTCTGCTGTGGCCCATGTCCTCTGAAAGCTCTCAAATCTGGTGATGTGAACGTGCCCTACGATGGTCACTTCATCTTTGCTGAAATGAATGCAGACAGAGTGGACTGGCAAGAGGATGAAGAAGGAAAGTTTAACGTTGTGAAAGTGACCCCATCAAGGTTAGAAATGATTTGTTTGTATGTCTGCATCACTGGCTCAATATAAGCCAGGATATATATATTTGTCTGATATGTCCATAGTTTGGTGTTTCCATGTATCCACCCTGACAAGGTTTCATGTACAGACAACAAACAAAAGTAATAGTAAGAATATGGTGATACAATGTGTTGTCTACTTAAGCATCTTAACTGCCACCTTTATAAATTATATAATAGTAAAATCTGGGTTAACAGAGCACATATCAGTCACTATTTCATATACAGACTTTGGAAATAGGTATGACTTGAGAAGGTGCTACTAAAATGAGGTCTTTGTAACCTCTTCTCGACAAGTAAAAACAGTCTGATAATGGTGTTCGGATCATAAATGTATCTCATTCCTGTTTTGTGTTCAGACTTCTGTCTCATCAAGATTACATAGGAACATACATTTAGGTAATTGGTGTATTTGTCCATGTACATATTGCAAGTTAAATATAGAATTGTTTTATACTCTACAATAAAGTGGATAAACTTACACTGCCATCCACTATACAAAAATCACCAGGAAAAATGTTTACAGAAAGGAAATCCAAGGGGCACCTCAATAAAACTGTGATTTGCCATAATTAGGTTTTTGTTTCGGCGATATATCTCTTTTACTCTATTATCTATCAATAAAATAGGACTTACTAAATAAACATTACAGGTATTGTAATCACTCTTCTTCTCATTGTATCTATACTTAAACACGAGTTAGAATGTTTCACCTATGATGTTATCAATATTTGATATCAAATCCTGTTATTGCATTGCCAATCAAAAGATATGTTGCACTAGTATAAACAGCAATCTTGTAATAAAAAAGTCTCAAAATAGATTAAGATAGATTAAGACTGACTGAAATAAAAAAAACCTTCCACCCTCCTTATTGATGGGATAAGCTGATAGATAATGAGGTCATCTGTGTGCATACAAGAGATGGTTTTAATTTCCAGTTTTCAAGGTCAAAAGGTCAAGCCAAATGTCAGAATTGCATTTTATAAAGAATCCTCAAATAGATATGTTGGAATGGAGGTTATGTCTGTTATATATATGTGTATATATATCACATCATGTCTAGCATGCAGAAATAATGTCCTATTGTACAGCTCTGTCAGTTACAGTGACCATGAATGCCATAATGGTTCAATGTTTTAATGAACATACAGCTGGCAGTCATGGCCTACATCAATACATTGTACCAACTGATATCCATGAATGCCAACTAAATGTAGCTCAATACTCCTATTTTTAGTGTTCATTTTGTTATATATTACTGGCAATATGGCCATACATTTGGCAGTTCATTTACCGGTGATACATCTCTACTTTGTCAAGTTTCCATTTCTAGGAGTTTCCTGATTTTCTGCCCGTCTTCCTGATCATATTGATAAAAAGTGGTGTAATGTCCCAAGCTTAGAGATTCTGCTAGAGAGATCACATCTAACCTCATTATATTTTGTCAAATAGTTTATAGTAACAGGTAAAACTGACCACCTGTCCACATCATCAAGGCCTAGATCAGTTCACTACCCTGTTATCTAATGAGAGTTTCACCTTAATCTCACTGTAAATGTAGCACAGTAAAACTGACCACCTGTCCACATCATCAAGGCCTAGATCAGTTCACTACCCTGTTATCTAATGACAATTTCACCTCACTGACTGCCATGCTTTGTGTACCTGTGTACGGCCTGGTGATCCCTAATTAAAAGACAAAAGCAACAGGCTAATTGGTCAGGACTCCGGAATACAAATGATTAAGAAGTTATAAGACTGTACATGATCCTCACTCGTCCAAATACAAACTTTGATCCGAATGGTGTAACATTGTGAAGACACTCCCCAAGCAATGACAACTATTTGACCATATCTGTCTTAAATTCATCCTGGTTGGCATCCTCACTTTTCTCTCCAATGAAGATTTGGTAGAGTTACAATGACACACCATTGGCATAAAGGTTCAGTTCTTGTATCCTGTACATATAATTATTGGCCATGTTCTTCTGCAGTATGTTCCATCTTTATTTCTTTGGATATCATTTTGTTGAAATATCTTTATTTCTGAACTTTTTCTGTATTGTTGTAGTATTGGATTCTTCATCAGCACTCACCTTCCTAAGTGTAAAGGTGTTTCTACTGGCAGAGGACCATGCAGTGACAAACGATGGGAGGATATTACCTCAGAGTACAAACACAGCGAAGGTAATCTTCAGTTAGATGTTATCGTTCTACAGTGATGTCATGTGTTATTGTTCTACTGTTCAGTGATGTCATGTGTTATTGTTCTACTGTTCAGTGGTATCATGTGTTATTGTTCTACTGTTCAGTGATGTCATGTGTTATTGTTCTACTGTTCAGTGGTATCATGTGTTATTGTTCTACTGTTCAGTGATGTCATGTGTTATTGTTCTACTGTTCAGTGGTATCATGTGTTATTGTTCTACTGTTCAGTGATGTCATGTGTTATTGTTCTACTGTTCAGTGATGTTATGTGTTATTGTTCTACTGTTCAGTGATGTCATGTGTTATTGTTCTACTGTTCAGTGATGTCATGTGTTATTGTTCTACTGTTCAGTGATGTCATGTGTTGTTCTACTGTTCAGTGATGTCATGTGTTATTGTTCTACTGTTCAGTGATGTTATGTGTTATTGTTCTACTGTTCAGTGATGTCATGTGTTATTGTTCTACTGTTCAGTGATGTCATGTGTTGTTCTACTGTTCAGTGATGTCATGTGTTATTGTTCTACTGTTCAGTGATGTTATGTGTTATTGTTCTACTGTTCAGTGATGTCATGTGTTATTGTTCTACTGTTCAGTGATGTCATGTGTTATTGTTCTACTGTTCAGTGATGTCATGTGTTATTGTTCTACTGTTCAGTGATGTCATGTGTTGTTCTACTGTTCAGTGATGTTATGTGTTGTTCTACTGTTCAGTGATGTCATGTATTATTGTTCTACTGTTCAGTGATGTTATGTGTTATTGTTCTACTGTTCAGTGATGTTATGTGTTATTGTTCTACTGTTCAGTGATGTCATGTGTTATTGTTCTACTGTTCAGTGATGTCATGTGTTATTGTTCTACTGTTCAGTGATGTCATGTGTTATTGTTCTACTGTTCAGTGATGTCATGTGTTATTGTTCTACTGTTCAGTGATGTCATGTGTTATTGTTCTACTGTTCAGTGATGTTATGTGTTATTGTTCTACTGTTCAGTGATGTTATGTGTTATTGTTCTACTGTTCAGTGATGTCATGTGTTATTGTTCTACTGTTCAGTGGTATCATGTGTTATTGTTCTACTGTTCAGTGATGTCATGTGTTGTTCTACTGTTCAGTGATGTCATGTGTTATTGTTCTACTGTTCAGTGATGTTATGTGTTATTGTTCTACTGTTCAGTGATGTCATGTGTTATTGTTCTACTGTTCAGTGATGTCATGTGTTATTGTTCTACTGTTCAGTGATGTCATGTGTTATTGTTCTACTGTTCAGTGATGTCATGTGTTATTGTTCTACTGTTCAGTGGTATCATGTGTTATTGTTCTACTGTTCAGTGATGTCATGTGTTGTTCTACTGTTCAGTGATGTTATGTGTTATTGTTCTACTGTTCAGTGATGTTATGTGTTATTGTTCTACTGTTCAGTGATGTTATGTGTTATTGTTCTACTGTTCAGTGATGTTATGTGTTATTGTTCTACTGTTCAGTGATGTTATGTGTTATTGTTCTACTGTTCAGTGATGTCATGTGTTATTGTTCTACTGTTCAGTGATGTTATGTGTTATTGTTCTACTGTTCAGTGGTGTTACATGATTTTTTACTGTTCCGTTGTGTTTTTGTTATTGCTCCACTGTTTTGTGATGTTATATGTTGTTCACTTTTAAGCCATGTTTACATCTATTTCTTACATTGTCTTCTTGATATTTCCAGGTTCTAATGATGAAAAGGTTGCACTGAATAAGGCTAACAAGCACAGCACACGTCCCGGAGAGATTTACGGTCATACTGACTCAAACCAGGTGGGTATATGAGGGAATTCAGTTGATACATATAATTCATCCCCATAAGGAAAAGGTGTTATTATATTATCTAGTAATTGGAAGAGTGGATGGTTTGAATACAAAATAGCCATTCTTTATACTCAATATCAATACTGCAATATTTCATCAAGTTATGTTAATTTTAGATATCTTTGATCGCAGACAGTATGTGATGCTTACAATGTTGTACTCTCTGTAAAATGGGAGATAACTTGGATGACAGATGGCATCAGTATTTAACACTTAAGATAATACTGTACTCTCTATAAAAAGGGAGATCACTTTGATCACAAATCAGACCAGCACTCAATTCTGACAATGTTATTCTCTCTATATAAAACAAGGATAATTACACATGGCATCCCCGTTACTTGATGAGATAACAATATTTTCAGGATGTGAAGTTTGAGTTGAAAGAAAAGGATGATATTGTGTATGGTCAGCCATATGGGGTTGACATCATCATGGAAAATCAGTCAGGAAACAGTCGGGAAGTGGCAATCAGTATTACACTGGAGAGTTTGACCTCTGCTGGGATTACTGACAACATTGTGAGAGATACTGATGATCATATTGTCATCCCTGCAGGAGAAAGTATGACACATTATATACCTAACTAGCCCTGTGGTGTTCTGTAGAGTGTCACCTTATATACCTAACTAGCCCTGTGGTGTTCTGTAGAGTGTCACCTTATATACCTAACTAGCCCTGTGGTGTTCTGTAGAGTGTCACCTTATATACCTAACTAGCCCTGTAGTGTTCTGTAGAGTGTCACCTTATATACCTAACTAGCCCTGTAGTGTTCTGTAGAGTGTCACCTTATATAGCTAACTAGCCCTGTAGTGTTCTGTAGAGTGTCAACTTATATACCTAACTAGCCCTGTAGTGTTCTGTAGAGTGACACCTAATATAGCTAACTAGCCCTGTGGTGTTCTGTAGAGTGTCACCTTATATACCTAACTAACCCTGTGGTGTTCTGTAGAGTGTCACCTTATATACCTAACTAGCCCTGTAGTGTTCTGTAGAGTGTCACCTTATATAGCTAACTAGCCCTGTAGTGTTCTGTAGAGTGTTACCTTATATACCTAACTAGCCCTGTAGTGTTCTGTAGAGTGTCACCTTATATAGCTAACTAGCAATGTAGTCTTCTGTAGAGTGACACCTTATATAGCTAACTAGCCCTGTAGTCTTCTGTAGAGTGTCACCTTATATACCTAACTAGCCCTGTAGTGTTCTGTAGAGTGTCACCTAATATAGCTAACTAGCCCTGTAGTGTTCTGTAGAGTGTTACCTTATATAGCTAACTAGCCCTGTAGTGTTCTGTAGAGTGTCACCTTATATAGCTAACTAGCCCTGTAGTGTTCTACAGTGTCACCTTATATAGCTAACTAGCCCTGTAGTGGTCATCAGTGTCACCTTATGTAGCTAACTAGCCCTGTAGTGTTCTGTAGAGTGTCACCTTATATAGCTAACTAGCCCTGTAGTGTTCTGTAGAGTGTCACCATATATAGCTAACTGGTCCTGTAGTGGTCTCCAGTGTCACCTTATGTAGCTAACTAGCCCTGTAGAGTTCTGTAGAGTGTCACCATATATAGCTAACTGGTCCTGTAGTGGTCTACAGTGTCACCTTATGTAGCTAACTAGCCCTGTAGTGTTCTGTAGAGTGTCACCTTATGTAGCTAACTAGCCCTGTAGTGTTCTGTAGAGTGTCACCTTATATAGCTAACTAGCCCTGTAGTGTTCTACAGTGTCACCTTATATAGCTAACTAGCCCTGTAGTGGTGTACAGTGTCACCTTATATAGCTAACTAGTCCTGTAGTGGTGTACAGTGTCACCTTATATACCTAACTAGCCCTGTAGTGTTCTGTAGAGTGTCACCTTATGTAGCTAACTAGCCCTGCAGTGTTCTGTAGAGTGTCACCTTATATAGCTAACTAGCCCTTAGTGTTCTGTAGAGTGTCACCTTATATAGCTAACTAGTCCTGTAGTGTTCTTTCTAATATCGCTGATTTTCTAGAACACCATCAAAAATAATTTTTTTCACAAAAATACAACAAGTCACTCAAAAGCTTAGATTTTCAGATAATTACCTACACCTGGTAACATGTGAAAATCTCAAGAAAATCTAGTGCAGTACATTCTTATACTCTAATTTATAGAATATCAGTACAGTACATGCTTATACTCCAATTTATAGAATATCAGTACAGTACATGCTTATACTGTAATTTATAGAATATCAGTACAGTACATGCTTATACTGTAATTTATAGAATATCAGTACAGTACATGCTTATACTCTCATTTATTTATACAGTACATGCTTATACTCCAATTTATAGTACAGTACATGCTTATACTGTAATTTATAGAATATCAGTACAGTACATGCTTATACTGTAATTTATAGAATATCAGTACAGTACATGCTTATACTGTAATTTATAGAATATCAGTACAGTACATGCTTATACTCCAATTCGTAAAATGAAAGTGCAGTACATCTTCCAAATATATACCAGTAGTATTAGATCTGAGTTCTCATACTTCAGTTTATAATTATATCAGCACAGTACCTGTTCCAAGTAAACTAAGAATTTGTACATAATTTGATATTACATACATTTCAGAGAAAATCTACAATATGACAGTGCCTTTTGAGGAGTATAACAAGAAGAGTCCTCTATTCTGCAACTTCCGTGTGGAGTGTAACTGTGAGGTGAAGGAAACAAAACAACTATTTATTGAGGAAGATCAGTTCTCTATGGACAAACCCGATCTGGATGTTACAGTAATTATCTTACTATTAATTAGACTTGTTAATATATATCTTACTATTAATAAGACTTGTTAATATATATCTTACTATTAATTAGACTTGTTAATATATATCTTACTATTAATAAGACTTGTTAATATATATCTTACTATTAATTAGACTTGTTAATATATATCTTACTATTAATAAGACTTGTTAATATATATCTTACTATTAATTAGACTTGTAAATATATAAATATAACACAGAAAGTTGCTAGAGTGTTTCTACCAATATCATAACAATTGATTAAAGAATCACCCTACAGAAAACGGTCTCACTTACCACCTTGTAAATAACGCAAGTCTGACAAAGCTTGTACAATGTTTTTTTGCTGTTAGATATTATAAAGATATTTCCATCATTTTTCAAATGATATAAAATCAAATTTTCTGTTATACTAACTATTTGATCTGTAACAGGGACCAGAGACATGTAGACGTGGTGATACCATCACTACAGAGGCAAGCTTTACCAATCCATTACCTATCGCCTTGAATGGGTGTACTCTGGATGTAAAGGGATCCAAGATCCGCAATCAACCTACTGTTTTTATCCCAAGGTAGGAGGAATACATGTTGTTGTTCTGATGTCTCACATCTTAACACACCACTACTCTGTCCAATACATGCTGTTGTTCTGGTGTCACACATCTTAACACACCACTACTCTGTCCAATACATGCTGTTGTTCTGGTGTCACACATCTTAACACACCACTACTCTGTCCAATACATGCTGTTGTTCTGGTGTCACACATCTTAACACACCACTACTCTGTCCAATACATGTTGTTGTTCTGGTGTCACACATCTTAACACACCACTACTCTGTCCAATACATGTTGTTGTTCTGGTGTCACACATCTTAACACACCACTACTCTGTCCAATACATGCTGCTGTTCTGGTGTCACACATCTTAACACACCACTACTCTGTCCAATACATGTTGTTGTTCTGGTGTCACACATCTTAACACACCACTACTCTGTCCAATACATGTTGTTGTTCTGGTGTCACACATCTTAACACACCACTACTCTGTCCAATACATGTTGTTGTTCTGGTGTCACACATCTTAAAACACCACTACTCTGTCCAATACATGTTGTTGTTCTGGTGTCACACATCTTAACACACCACTACTCTGTCCAATACATGTTGTTGTTCTGGTGTCACACATCTTAACACACCACTACTCTGTCCAATACATGTTGTTGTTCTGGTGTCACACATCTTAAAACACCACTACTCTGTCCAATACATGCTGTTGTTCTGGTGTCACACATCTTAACACACCACTACTCTGTCCAATACATGTTGTTGTTCTGGTGTCACACATCTTAACACACCACTAGTCTGTCCAATACATGTTGTTGTTCTGGTGTCACACATCTTAACACACCACTACTCTGTCCAATACATGCTGTTGTTCTGGTGTCACACATCTTAACACACCACTACTCTGTCCAATACATGCTGCTGTTCTGGTGTCACACATCTTAACACAACACTACTCTGTCCAATACATGCTGTTGTTCTGGTGTCACACATCTTAACACACCACTACTCTGTCCAATACATGTTGTTGTTCTGGTGTCACACATCTTAACACACCACTACTCTGTCCAATACATGTTGTTGTTCTGGTGTCACACATCTTAACACACCACTACTCTGTCCAATACATGCTGTTGTTCTGGTGTCACACATCTTAACACACCACTACTCTTTCCAGTACATTTTTTCTGTAGCTTCAATGTATTGGTTACAAAGATAAATCTGCCTGATACGTTAACACAACATCATTATTATTCTGAAGGGTTCTGACAATCTATACACAAGTTTGTTCTTGTCTGGGTTGCAGAAGAATAAAATTGAGAGTAGATAATCATATCACGTTTATGTCTATCATCATAATCTATATGTTCTGATTTATTCTGGTTTGATGTTTCAGAGTTGAAGGACATGGCAAATTTACAAAACAATTCGACATTACTCCTGAGCGAGCTGGGGAACGCACCATCAACGTTGTCTTCAACTCACCAGAATTGGAAAATATCAGTGGTTCTCTGGAGATTCAAGTCACTTAATTACTAATATGGTCCCTGAGCTCCACCCATTGAAGTTACATGTTATGACAAGTAGTTTAATATTTGCTGAGATTTCAAGGCTTTGTTACACACATAAACTGTCATAGCTTTAACTTTCCTCATTCTAGTATATCCAGTATTAATCATTTTTATCTAATTTTTTATATATTTAAAACAACATGGTTATGGGACAGAGAGAGTGGGAAAAGGAGAAAAAAAAACATAATTATGGGGAAATATTTTCTGTGTAAAACCCACGTTGTGGAGACACTCCAAACATTTGCCTGTCCCTTAAATCGCTCTTAAATTACATAGAATACCCTGGAAAATATTGTTTTGAATGGCCCCACAACTTTTTTTTAATCAATCGTCTCTCAGCAGTACACTACAAATCAAGTTTCATCTTGTTCAGAATTTTTTTTTTATCAAGAATAGCACTGATTCACCCCCGATTGGCTGAGAAATTTTGTCCCTACAGGTACTCTCTCTTCCACATGATTACCATACATATGATATTGCGTTTGGAGGTGGGAGTCCCCAAAATGTCTTTGTAAAACCAGTGATAACACTAACGCAAGGTAGATAACTCCTGCAGTGTTAGTAATGTTAATCGTTTTGAAATATAGTCGCAGTTAAAGTATTTATACGGCCAAGCATATCTGTTTTATAGCACAAAATTTGTCGTATTTTTATTTTTATAACTTCATTCCACATTAAATATAAGTACAATGTATATTCGTTTTCAATATCTACATATCCGAGATTTTACCTTATTTGTGATAACCAGCTGTGATATTTTGTGCCATAATTTTTTTTCATCTTACAGCTATTCTGTGATTATAGTATTATACGTCCAAACATATTGTTTCTTTCAACAGAAATTGTCGTATTTTTTGTTCGCCATTATAACTTTCTTTTGCATTAAAGAAAATTATTTAATTAGCCGGTATATTGTAGACGAGGGGAGAACTCAGGAAATGTACATACGTCGCCTTTTGTCTTTGATTTTGTTCTCATATATACGGCAATAATTGGTTATATAATCTATACAAGTTTTATAATAACTTTTTTTTTGTAATAAACTGTTCTTGCAATGTAATGTTGCTTGTCTTCTTTATAGTCAGTTGTTGAGTTTAGTGGACTGACAGACGTACCGCTTCAGATATACAATGATTCAATTTGTGCTAAATTCGTGTAACCCTTGGAAATACCAGCCGCAATCAACCTCGCAGCTAGAGAGAACTTCTCTTTAGCACGATCGTTGTCACGGACTAGTAAGTCAGTGGTTTCAGGTTCGAATCCTAGCGGTGCGTTATATTAATGACTGTGTAACATTGGCGCCAACGTAGGGACTCGGGAATTATACTCAGCATACTTTACTGGGAACGTAAAGACAAGTGATATCATGGAGGGGAAGTATGCAACCCTGGTAAATTACTAGACCCAATGTACCGCCCGATTAAATAGAACTTTTGGCGGAGGGATTGGAATATATATTGACCCCTATTACATTCATACCTTATCTGTCCACGTGTCGAATCGTTTTAATGCCAATCAATATTGTTGATGAATTTAGAAGCTAGAAAGTTCTCTTGTTCGGTTCCTCTCACCTTTGAGTTGTCCAAACATTATATTATCAATGGTTTGTATTAATTTCTAGTGTCTAGTTCCCTTAAAGCCCGAAATCCATATTTCCGTCCATCCTTGGACTGGTCCTCATGTCCGTCCGTCCTTGGACTGGTCCATATTTCTGTCCGTCCTTGGACTGGTCCACATTTCTGTCCGTCCTTGGACTCTTGGACTGGTCCACATTTCTGTCCGTCCTTGGACTGGTCAACATTTACGTTCGTCCTTGGACTGGTCCACATTTCCGTCCGTCCTTGGACTGGTCCATGTTTTTTGTTTGTTCTCTGCTCGATATAACTATATGGTAGGGAATGCTATTTCTTGATTTAATTACATATGTGTCTAACATTAATTTACATCCGCCCTTTTTGGACTAATCTCTGTTAGTACCAAAACAATTCCACGTTTTACTCGTCGGTTTTATTAAGCTGTTACACGATCCTATTATTTACTTGTTTATTTAAAAACTAAAAAATATTGACACAAACCTACGAGTTCTCTGGTATTATAATACCTACGATTTGTACTGTGTTATTTGATAAAAGAGCCGATGTTACGCTGCTCCCTGTTATAATTAAGATGTCTGTCTTACTAATCTCCTGTATGAAGAATTCACCTTTGATTGTTGTTTAATCAATGTACGTTACCTCAGACCATACTAACGTAAAGCTGTCGTGACCAATAACTGACAACTTCTATCAACATTTCGGGTCAGCGGTTACAAATGAACGTCCTGATACACAGGGTCAGTTTCCCATCAAACATAGCGAAACACACACTTGCATTCATTTATACCACATTTTACGGATGATATCAGGTAAACTGAACATCCAATCAGATTTACGAAGGAATTCGTTTGAAATGATGCTATCAGTACAGCAAACTATTTACAGAAAAAGGAAGACATCAATAAATGAGATCTTAATTCTCGATAAACAGTACATTTATCTACTGTACTGTTTTACGTTAATAGACCGACATGTCTACTGGTCTTATCCACTGTACTGTTTTACGTTAATAGACCGACATGTCTACTGGTCTTATCCACTGTACTGTTTTACGTTAATAGACTGACATGTCTACTGGTCTTATCCACTCTACTGTTTTACGTTAATAGACCGACATGTCTACTGGTCTTATCCACTCTACTGTTTTACGTTAATAGACCGACATGTCTACTGGTCTTATCCACTTAATCTACTGTTTTACGTTAATAGACCGACATGTCTACTGGTCTCTGTTTTACGTTAATAGACCGACATGTCTACTGGTCTTATCCACTCTACTGTTTTACGTTAATAGACCGACATGTCTACTGGTCTTATCCACTCTACTGTTTTACGTTAATAGACCGACATGTCTACTGGTCTTATCCACTCTACTGTTTTACGTTAATAGACCGACATGTCTACTGGTCTTATCCACTCTACTGTTTTACGTTAATAGACCGACATGTCTACTGGTCTTATCCACTGAACTGTTTTACGTTAATAGACCGACATGTCTACTGGTCTTATCCACTCTACTGTTTTACGTTAATAGACCGACATGTCTACTGGTCTTATCCACTCTACTGTTTTACGTTAATAGACCGACATGTCTACTGGTCTTATCCACTGTACTGTTTTACGTTTATAGACCGACATGTCTACTGGTCTTATCCACTCTACTGTTTTACGTTAATAGACCGACATGTCTACTGGTCTTATCCACTCTACTGTTTTACGTTTATAGACTGACGTGTCTACTGGTCTTATCCACTCTACTGTTTTACGTTAATAGACCGACATGTCTACTGGTCTTATCCACTCTACTGTTTTACGTTAATAGACCGACATGTCTACTGGTCTTATCCACTCTACTGTTTTACGTTAATAGACCGACATGTCTACTGGTCTTATCCACTGAACTGTTTTGCGTTAATAGACCGACATGTCTACTGGTCTTATCCACTGTACTGTTTTACGTTTATAGACTGACGTGTCTACTGGTCTTATCCACTGAACTGTTTTGCGTTAATAGACCGACATGTCTACTGGTCTTATCCACTGTACTGTTTTACGTTTATAGACCGACATGTCTACTGGTCTTATCCACTCTACTGTTTTACGTTAATAGACCGACATGTCTACTGGTCTTATCCACTCTACTGTTTTACGTTAATAGACCGACATGTCTACTGGTCTTATCCACTCTACTGTTTTACGTTAATAGACCGACATGTCTACTGGTATTATCCACTGAACTGTTTTACGTTAATAGACCGACATGTCTACTGGTCTTATCCACTGTACTGTTTTACGTTTATAGACTGACGTGTCTACTGGTCTTATCCACTCTACTGTTTTACGTTAATAGACCGACATGTCTACTGGTCTTATCCACTCTACTGTTTTACGTTAATGTCTACTGGTCTTACCGACACGTGTCTACTGGCCTTATCCACTGTACTGTTTACGTTTATAGATCGACGAGTCTACTGGTCCTATTCACTGTACTGTTTTACGTTAATAGACCGACATGTCTACTGGCCTTATCCACTGTACTGTTTTACGTTTATAGACCGACATGTCTACTGGTCTTATCCACTCTACTGTTTTACGTTAATAGACCGACATGTCTACTGGTCTTATCCACTCTACTGTTTTACGTTTATAGACCGACATGTCTACTGGTCTTATCCACTCTACTGTTTTACGTTTATAGACCGACATGTCTACTGGTCTTATCCACTCTACTGTTTTACGTTAATAGACCGACATGTCTACTGGTCTTATCCACTCTACTGTTTACGTTTATAGATCGACGAGTCTACTGGTCCTATTCACTGTAGGATGTCTACACCGGAAATCAACGTTTGGTAAGCGGAGACGTTAGTCTGTAGGATATCTACACCGGAAATCAACGTTTGGTAAGCGGACGCGTTCGTCTGTAGGATTCATAACAACACTGCTTACTTTTACATTCCATTCTTGATACATAGACTGTGGAGTTGCAAGTATCTCTGCGTTTAACATTGAAGCTCTTTTAGCTCCCGCGAATTTGATATTTCAAAATTTTATGTATGACTTTCAATCAAAGCGTTGTCGGCTTTTAACTGGTTTGGTTTACCAGAAGTTGACCCCTTGGCGATTCAGGTCTCATGGGGCAGGACCTGCGAGGATAGTTAAAAGCTGGTGTTAGGATCTCCATTATAATTTGTGTTGAAGTTGAAGTGTATACAAGATTTCATATCAAACATATCCGGTATGTCCACGGACACTTACTTCTGCGGCACGCACGTGCCCTGAGTTACACGTGCAAGAAGCCGTGTCCCTATCTGGCGTGTCATCGCCCATTCGCCCCCCTTTGTAACTGATCGTTTATCTTCTCTATTTTTATTCTCATCTTTTCATCTGTTTGATGCAGAATTTACTTTAATATGAACGGAATATAAACTTGTCGCAGACTTCAAATATATCTACTTTTCATTCCGTCATACTACTGTAAAATATTCATTACTT